GCGACGATGAGTCCTGTTCCCTGCGTCTGACTTCCGCCGGGTAGGGTAGGGACGAATGATGCTCGTCGGAACCGTTGCAGGGAGCTACTGCGCCGACGCATGGAAATCATGCTTGGATACAAAATGAAATTCGCTATCGTCTGTGGCGCGTGACTCGGAGAAGGTAGGAGGGTGAAACCCCTTTCGTCGAGTCTCGAACTTTGCCAAAGCGAACCTGAACACACTTGGGACCAGAGTTAACTACAGGTTGGCTGAGATAGATATATCTGTCACACCAATTTGCTTTCACATCCTACAACACTTCGTAGTACTGCCTGGTAAGACATACCTTCTAGTCTTCTGGGTCAGCCTGTTTTAACTTGTTCAATATCTGCACTTCCTTCAGATCAGCACGATGCCTGGATGTTGCTTTAGCATACTCAGAAGTATCATATAGCGAAAATGTACGAACATAGATTCCTGACTCCTGATGATTTTGATAGCCACCTCTTTACCGGTTTCTGCATCTTGAAGAACGCGTGCCCGGACAACATTGGAAGATATTCCCTTTCCAAGAGAGAGAAGACCTGGTACCGACCACCATCAAGTTGCTCACCAAGGATAACTTGGTAATGACTCTCATGGTCTGAGGCGGAGTCTAACGTCGTTGTGATAAGGGTGGGTGCTGCTTTCTTCTGCATACAAAGTCAGACATCGTTGACGGACAAAATAGTGAGAACATACAACAACTTTCTGACTTTCTTTCGCTTCTTCTCGGTTATAGCTGCTGTGAACATGTCATCGACATCGTCCTCTTCTTCATCTTCCTCCTCTTCCTCGATAGTTTCTACATCCATGGGTTCGTCTTTGAGTACTCGCCTTTGTTCGTCCTCTCGGCGATCTAGGCTGGGGTCATAGTCGGCAGCAGATATCTGATCTGGTGCACCATCTTGCATCTTCGCACGAACATCTTCATCGTCCTCGTCCTTAGCAAGTTCAAAGATACTATCGTCTGGTTGTGGAGATGGTGAATCTCGTTTGCCTGCATGATACAATATATTAATCCACGCGAGATATTTTTTGGAGAGAACCTCACTCATTGAATCATGCCTCACTTTAGAGGTGTCGGCTGCTGAACTTGCGGAAGTATCAACAGCACTGTGGGGCTGAAGTGTATCAGACACAGATGCAACAGGTTGCGGTTGAACCGCACTACTAGGCCCAGGGCTGGGGCTGACGCTCTTATTGGCACTAGCTAACCCGGAGTCCTTGGCTAAAAGGGCTTGACGCCTGGCGCGGCGAGCGGCTCGAGCGGCTGCCTCTGCAGCAGCTGTATCGATCTCGAGATCACGTTCTGGATCAGGTTGCGGAGAAGCCATAGGTTGTACCGGCTTCTGAATACGAGTGACCTCTGAGGGAGTTTGTGTGGATGGTGTCAGAGATGCTGCACGGGCGCTACGCGTAGGAGAAATTCTTGACAGAAAAAAGTGGTGTGAAAGGGTATTCATACACTTGGGAGAGGTACTGAGTGGCGAGCAGGCAAGGCAACGGCAGCGACGAAGAGATAGACAGATCGACAATCGAACATCAGAGATACGAGACGAGATAGGAGTGCCCAAAGCTAACCTTGAGCTTGTTAATGTATTCTCGGCCTCCGGGCGCGCTACGCTTCTTTCGCTGGTTGCTTGTTGGACGAAATGGCTAGGTAACGGGTCGGCTCGCGGCTTAACAATTCAATATAGAAAGACACTAACGTGCAAGGATAGTTCTTAGACAAGCAGTGCTGATGTTTATCTTCAGAACGTTGCAGTTAAGCATATAAGGAAAACGTAATCACCTGTACCTGGCACTGAAATAATGAGAATAAATGAGATAATTGTCAGCAGGGTTGCTTGAATATTACCCACCTTGTCTTCGCCAGGGAGTCTATTGCATTTAACCTTTCGGGACCTATGGTGATGGGAGTGAATAAGTCTGCAGACGCATGTCCATTGGTTGGTGCAGGTGAACGGTGACGGTGGCTAAAGGGAAGTGAGGTGATTACATAACTTATATCGCGCCGTTATTTGATTATCGTTTAATTTAAAATTCACAAGATCCTAAGATAGGTACACCCCTGAGGCCTGAGGCGCGATCGATCATCGGGTATTTTGATATAGTACTGAGGTCAACTACCACTGGGTATCGTGCGTAGTATGTAGAGTAAAACGATGTATACATTGAATGGGGAGAATGCTCTACTGTGGTTGTGATTATAGTGTACAACTTGAATGGAAGTTGACGGCACCGGGCACGCGTCAGTGTGTAATGTACAGTGATGGAGTGTGCCGACTCATACCTAGAAGCTTGTCAAAGTAACGTTCGAATAAAAACAGAGCACTTACGCGAAGGATTGATTTCATTTTGTTAACGGCGCGGCGGACGGTATGTTTGATCATCGCCACGAGACGGCGGGTTGGCGGAACAGGCCTAGGCAGCCTTCGCCTAGGCACCGGCGCTACGACCGGTTGTGTGGGTCGCTGGATAGCGGTAAGTCCCCGGCAGCGACACGCGTAACGCGCTTACCGAATCTAACCATGCTTCAACTTGATTCTAAATATTGATTAGGTGACTACTTGCGCTTCAATACCGCTGATTACGAAAACCTACCAGAACTCTTCTCCCCTTCGTGGGAACTGGTCCGATTGAGGTCGATTGTATTACCCGAGTCATCTAGTCTATTGTTGGTGCAGCGAATGAGGCGCGGAGAATCGTACTTGCCGTAATTTCGCCCAAAGTAGTAGTGATGCGTGTCGGCAGTAATGGGGAATTGACATTGGCATATCACAACAAACATGAACAAACAATCTGCGGACTTTCAATCACCTGGTACTACCATACTACGTAGTAACTGATCCTAATCGATCACAATCCATCGATGGTTTTGTAAGTCCATCCGATTAACGAGACCAACTCAGTCGATGGTCCTCTCCCATGTGCATAGTCAAGACCTCACAGACCTTGAGCGGCAGAAGTTTATTGCTAGGTCGGGCCTCCGCTCTTCGTGTGTTGTTTAAGCTTAGAATCAAGAAAGACGCACGATCCTTGAAGGGAGTGGAAAGACAACTTGAGCTTGGCCTCATCACTGTTCGAAAGCTTTACAGGTCATATCTAGTTGACATCCGGACCTATCTTCCAAAGGGGATGTGTAGGTAGCCTGAAGCTGAAGGCAAATGGGACTTTGTCTAAACGGCGACACTGCAGAGAACCTAGGTGAGGCGCACACTAGGGATGCCATACAGTACACTAATATGAGTGACATACTCAGACACACATTATGACCCGCAGTCTTCTCTGCCAGATCAACAATGTCCATCAAACTTTGTACTTGGAGGCGATAGCATCCCTTATGCACGAAAACGGAACACGATGGTTGAAAGCGCGACTAGAGGATGATTCACCATCTCGTTTAAAACCGGCGGACCTTCACGATGACATGGTGGTAGGGTAACCTGGATAAATTGCTACTTTTTGCACGCTGCACATGCCAAGCCTGATTTCATCACAGACGATATCATCAACAAAACGAAGCTCCTCGTTGTCCAGGAAGGCCACTATCGGGATCCGTTCTCGTTGCTCAAAGAGGCGGTTTCTGCTGCTAATCAAAAGGTAAATGACGACGAATTGCAAGCGATAGCATCCCTTATGCATGAAAATGGAACACGATGGTTGAAAGCGCGACTAGAGGATGGCTCACCATCTCGCTTAAGACCGGCGGACCTCCAGGATGACATAGCGGAAGCCAGGCGCAGGGTACGAGATGAGCTTATACTACGAGGGGTCCGTGAAGACAATGCTAGGAATGTGGCGGACGTGTGGTGTAATCAAGTATGTGCCTACTATTTCACGAACTATTCACTAATGACATACAACAGTTTCAAGATGCGGAGCTGCAAGGCCGCATCATGGGTCATTGGTCGACTGCTGTGTGCCCTTGGTTGTACGACAGGTAAACTGATGGTGCAATTCGCACGACCTAGAGTCATATATTTTCCTGATTTGGATCGTGGGCGTGAATTTCAAGGGTCCGTACCATCAGGTCGAACACTGGACTGATCCTTCAAAGCCGGGACCCATTCCTGACAACTCTATGCCCAACGACAAAGCCAGCGACCTCATATCCAGCAAATTCCAGCGACCCTCCTGCCACTGGTCTGGCAAAGGTCAGCCTTCTACATCGGTTAAGCGGGTTTCCGCAACGCAACGCACCTCTGCCATAAGTGGCGATGAGGAGTTTGAAAGGCGGAATGTGATAGTCCCTGAGTGGGCCAAAATGGGCTCCCTAGACCTGCGGACTGAGCCTGTGCTGCGCCAGACGGAGATGAGGTGCTTCGACGGGTGATGCATGCAGTGTTGTTTGGTGATTCTAGACCCAATATTCTTGATCGTCCTCCTGGAGGAGGATACCTGATTGCTGATGCATCATCCGCCGTGGTACAGGTGAGCACCGTTCTGTTACTATTGTTTAGAATGCCCCCTCAATAACTTGAGATTGTTGAAGCGGTGGAGGAAGTAGAATGCGGAGCCCACTCCAAAACCAACGATGGCTAGGCTGTGAACTTCTGCAGGGTGTCGTGCAGCATGTGCCTCCGTGAGTTTTTTGTGTTCTTGCTATGGTGAAATGGGAATTGACAACATTAGCTGGTTTAAGGCGCAGCTAAAACGGTACTTCAAGGCAGTCGTCATGAAGTTGCTCACAAAAGACGCAGACGAGCAAAACGGATAAACATATATATACTCTTATCGCACTTCCTTCCCTTCACAATGACGTCAACGTTGACTGGCTGGAGCCGGACCAAGTTATATCCGTTGTGGAGGAGATTCGGCCATAGTTTTCATTATCGCCCACATACACCTCCGAAGCATCATCGCTGTTATATCAGCAGTGTATTCGGCATTGCTGAAAATCAAAGGTGACTCAGACACTCACGATCAGCTATTTGCCAAAATCAGACATTTCAGTATGGAAAGCAAGAGTGATTAGCTCGAACAACAACGATCAGCTTTCATAAAAAAGGCATTTGTTTGGCTTTTCCCCTGCCAGACCCCCAACCACACCTGAGTGCGACATTCATTACTTGACCGACAGCAGTGTATGTAGTAGATTTTTTTTCGTGCCTTACAAATTTGTCAAAGTGATGGCTGAATGTCTTGTGCCTTACGATGTTGCGAAGGTGAACAATTGTTTTAGTCCAAGCCTGGCTTGGTGTGACCTACTAATACTCTCTACTCTACTCATGGCTGATGCCAGTCTTCAACGAGCAAATCAACATAAGCCCTGCTGTTAGTTTTGGGTACATATTTATCTTCAAGTCACCAACTAACTGAATAACTATGTACTCAATGAGTGCACATCATTTTCAAGGTTCCCATACCTGGTGATCTCCTTGACGAGGTAGAAGGAATTTATGCACCTCCCAATCATCCTGTATTTGAGCTTGTGCCACCGATGTTCAAGAGGCAAGCACAGAATTTCTATGCTGCACTTGGCAAGCCTCCTGTCTCATCTGAATTGTTCTGGGATGTATACCAGCTTATGCAACAACAGTTTGAGGCTCTTGAGAGTGATCATAATTTGACAGTGGAGCTTTCACAGCCATTCCACCTTGAAGATGGTCAGGTTTCACTGATTACGGACCTACAAGATCTACCTCATAATGCTGGCTTGTTGGGACATGCAGGATACCTCTACATGGGAGGCATGTTCAACCCACCGACTCATGCTCTTCATGGAGTTTGTGACTGGGAACCACAAGGGGAGAAACATGATAATGAGGATGGACCTGAGTATGCAGAGTTCACTGATTCTGATTCTGAAGGAAACCAGGAAGAGGGCACAAATAGCTAATAGTCAACCATGCTATTATGGGTAATACTACAGAAAGCTTCATTCATACAAAACCTATCAAACTGAGAACTGTTTAAAGCTGTAAAAACTGCGAGCTTGGGCAAGGTTTTAGACTGCACTCCTGTGACTCAGAACTTCATATGCAGCAGTTATGGATTGAAAGTGGGAGTGTCATTCTGAAGCAGGAATATGTTGCACATGGGCAGAATCAGGATGGTGTTCTTGGACAAGTTTGTAGTCTAGGGATGCTGATCAGAAGTTAGTGTGAATATGAGTGAGTATACAAACACCTTGACTTGTGTGTCGATACGTTGCCGCCCCCGTTGAAGATGGGCGTAAAAGCACATCGAGTGGTTTTTGTGTGTATTCATGCCTGTTCGCAATGTGTGAAGGGATACGGGGCGGTGAGAGGTACCTTCCATACTGACTTCCAAATATACATGAGTGACTTCATTGGCTAGCATAGACAATTGGGCAATGATAGAATTGACGGTCATCTTCAAATCTAGCATTTCTCCCTGCACACTCACATTCACATTGCATGTCAAGTCAGCCCAGGTACCCTGCACATCTATGCAGAGGGCACAAATTGGCATGCATAGTAGTAGGGCAAGTTGATAGCACATATTAATCTGCAACCATGGCATATGGCAGTGTATGGATGACTAAAGTCTACACATACATCAAGACAGATAGAATTCTGAACACTAAGAACAGCAAGTTGAAAGAAGAGACACATCAAGATCCATATCAACGATGGCCAAATGATTAATTGTTCCTTCTCAAGGTGAAGCCTGACAAGTATTCCTGAATATGACACAGATCTGGCCATACATCATTCATGTAACATGCTGTCTGACCATCAATCATAATAAGAATCAGCACATCATATGTCAGAGATTTTTTTCTGGCATTATAATGTGCCTTGGAATCATTATGACCACCATTATGATCAGATTACGTCGTGATTACTAGATCGAAACTGAGTTTCAATATTGTTACGATAAGCTCTAAGTCATTATTACATAGTCGGGCATATGTGCTGCGCTCACCGTGACCTTTCTCTGATTCCATTGCCCAAGATACACCCCAATGCCCGAGACACTGCCCGCAAAGTGGCAGTGAACATCAAAGACCACTGAGTGCAGTCTTTTGGGTACAGCAATTCGAGCCTGTGGGTTAGCATCGCACTTAAAGAAGTGTGAAAAGAGAGAATGGGAACAACGTGAGGATGAAGAACTTGCCAAGATAGTTCGGACTGCTGAGCAAACAGGTAAGCTATTGAATCATGATGTTTTAATGTACTAACAGTTATAATTTGAATGGTACAGCACATCAAAAGGAGTGTCAAAGACTTTGCAAACAACAATGAGGTCTTGAAAGGCACACAGTCTGGATCCATGGGTGAGCACACATGCTATCAGTGATTTTATCATGTATCTGACCATTCTGGTATAACTATATAGTAAACCTTCTCATGATATGGGCAGCACAAGACGAAGGTGACATATCAGAAAAGGAGGACATAGAGAATGACATTGGTATGTTTGCCTTGCTGTTCAACTTTGCAAGACCCACTAAATTTTATCTATATAAGACATGCAAGGGTTGTCGCCATGTAGACGCCTATCGATCGACTTCGATGCTGTTGTCTTACCTGACCCTGACACTCTTGATCTCAATCATCCCAACGAGCTCCCTCAGGCTTACAAGCTTGATGATATCAAAGTTGAATACCATCCACATAGCAAACTTCCTTCCGTTGTACATCACTTTGCAGATTTTTCTCACAGCTGCTCTTCAGAGGGTCAGGTACCTTGTAACGACGCACCATGGGAACCCTTCCAGACGTGACTGGACTTCGAAGTTGCAGAGATTGCACTCAAAGCTGCAATGACCAAGGCACAGACGAACTGATTACTTGATCTTGTGCATCGATCTGCCAGTGGCGCAGACAAATTTACATTGCAAAGTCACAATGAGGTTCGCTCACTGTGGGAAATAGCTTTGCAGCGGTATACACCGGTGATTGTTTTCCTTTTTGTGCATTTATCAAACCTCATTAATATGTAGTGTGCACTAGTTTCAAAAGGATGTAGTATCTGTTGAGTACGACAATGAGACACATGAGTTTGACATGCACTACCGCCCTCTCTGGGACTGGGTGCTTGATTTATTGCGAGACAGCCGTCTCGCACCTCACTTTATGTTTGATGCTCAATGACTTTCCAAATTTAATGGAGAACAGTTCGTCCGCTTCATTGATGAACCATGGACTGCTGATGCCTTCTGGAATGCACAAGTATGTTTCGCAGGTTCTGATTCCTGTATTGTACTTAAAAACTGTCAACATTACTACTGTTGTAGTCTCAACTTCCGCCAGATGCAAAGCCGCTCACATTCATTCTGTATGCTGACAAAAATAAACTGTCTACTTTTGGGACTGCAAAAGGATATCTGATTGTTGCATGCATTGCAAACCTGCCTGTTCATATTCACAACGGAAATATGACCCTAGGAGGAGGTCGCATTGTTGGTTGGTTGCCGATTGTTAGTATCTTATGATGTGTCTCTACTATTACTTACTACATTTTTAGGTTGCTAAGAATCAAAAACATACAAGAAAGAAGAGCATTATAGACTTCAAAAACGCAGTGTGGCACAAATCCTTCTACCAGCTTCTCAAGTCAATCGAGCTGCACTCAAAAAATGGCTACTGGTTTGAATGCGGGGATCAGACTCAGCACCGTCTCTGGCCTCTGATATTGATTTTAAGCGGAGATTATGAAGAAAAGTATGTGTTACCATTAGTTTACTGCTCTACTATCAGGCTTATCTACTATAGGTGTGTAATGGCATTAATTCATGGTCTGAAGGGCAAGTTTCCATGCCCAGTCTGTCTAGTTCCTTGAGACAAACAGTCAGACAATCACGTCTTTGTATTGCGCATGAGTGCCGATTCCCAACAGGTCCTTTGCACCGCAAGAGCAAAATGTATGGAAAAGAGAAGGCAGAGGATCTAAAGGCATGCTCACTCCAAAATGTTGAGGTACGTGTTTTTGTGCCACTGTTGACAGACTTGTTGATTTCGTCGAATTAAAAGAATGTATTTTCGAAATTTTTTCTTACTGATGTTCATCACGCGCTTTCTATTGATTGCCTGCATATGAATCATGAGTGATTATGGGAGGATCATCTATGGAAGGAGCTTCTATTCTGGATCTCTGATCTTGGACAGGAAGCTGCTACCAAACTCGATGCAAAGTATGTAAATTAAATGTTATGTGAGCTCATTGTGGTGCTGACTTACTGCCTTAGCTTTGATGCTATTCCACGATGGCCCAACTTGACACACTTTAAGGCTGTGATGTTGGTCAATTTCAACGATGGTTCATTTCACGAGGATATTTCAAAGGTACGAGTGCCAACTTTGAATATGATTTTTTGTACTGACACAGACTTTAAATAAAAGCTTGTTCTCTTTACAGTGCAGGATGTCCTACTCAAATCAAAGTCTAAGATAGGATACCTCCTTCTACGCTGCATCCACTATTATCTCGAGCTCAACATCTATGCTTCATTCAAAGTTCACACCAAGGAGACTATTGTGGCTGGAAGGGCGACCTTGGTTAAGTTCTCAGAATTGATGGATATAAGTTTTTCAGATGTCATTAATCATTTTCAGTAATTGTTTGACTCATCTGATGTTAATAGGAATATATTACTCAGTCACAGCCTGAAATGAATAAAAATTGGAACTTTCCGAAAAAGCACATGATCACCCACATATTCAACGATATTTTGGCCAAAGGTGCGACACACAACTACAACACCAAGCTGAATGAGAAGATGCATGGCGCTTTACGGAAAATTTACCTTCAATGGACAAACTTTAAGGACATTGCTCCTCAGGTTCATCATATTGCAGTGTACAAGACTAATATTTTACTTACAAGTTACAGATCTTGAACTATGATCATTGGCTTTTAACATTGGCATGTATGCGTACCGAGCTCGATGAGCTTGACGACTATGTTCGAAAGGCTACCAATGACCCAGAGACAAATGAACCTCTGGATATCGAATTAGCAGCAGACCCTGTCATCCATGCACACTTAGGTTCGAAGCAAGGCCAACACTCTTTTTCAGACATTGCATGCGCACATGAAACTGACCGGGCCTTCAACGACTTTCAGACAAAGCTAAATGGCTTTTTGAATGTGTTCTTACCGCAGAATGACATTCCCTTACCAGATGGAAGGGCCCTTTGTCCCGGAGCCGAGGATGAGGTGCGCTATCTTACTCTATGTTGCAATTGACCATCCTCAATGATTTTTCTTGTAGATTACAGAGTTCCGCTTCCTGTGGGTGAATTATGAGTCCATGGTTGATTGGCGCATGCACCAAGACTTACTTCGGTGCAGCCCAAAATTTTATGAATCACCGAGGTTTGATTGCGTCATTGTCAAAACTACTGGCAAACCGTTCATCGCTCGGCTTGTATACTTGTTTGGCTGCTCAATTGGTAATACTCATTTCCCTCTGGCCCTTATACATCCTTATGATGCTGGTATCGGTATTCATCGAAGGTGGGATGTTGATCTGGGATTGTGGCGTGTACGTGCAAAACCTTGGTCATCATCTGAGATCATTTCGGTCTGGTTGATTATCTGAGGTGCTGCACTCGCCAAAGATCCAGAAATCAATGGAGATTACTTCATTATGCACACCGTGGATATGGACATGTTCCTTTGTGTCAAGTCTCTTCAAGTATAATTTAATGTTGTTCGTTCTACTGTGCACCCATATGCTCTGCGTCCTTTCAGGCAACAGCATGGAAAGTGAGATCCATCTATCTGAATATGTGGTCGCAATGGTGATCATTGATGTGTTGGCTTTTGGTGATGTATCAATAGGTCAGGCTATGTACAGACAGTGTTATGTAATATTCAACATTCAATATTCGCTGTCATGTGACGATATCGAGTTCATCTGGATGATCCCGGATTCCTCATCTACAAGTTCCTATCAATCATCAGCCTCAATGGGGGGCATGGGGGGAAGATATATGGGTAAATCTACTCGAAAGGCTATTACGTCACATCGTCCCGCTCGAAAAGTTATCGCATCTAATCATACCACCACCATGTCTCTCAGCGATGGCTCTGTATCATCTACTCATTCCCTCAGATTACAGGGACCTATCCAAGACAAAGATATGCTACCAAGATTGGATAGAAGTTGTAAAGCTCCTGCACATTGGACACATGATGAAGAAGCAAGATTCCTCCAGTACCTCCTCACCCATAAGGCGCAGGCTGGGGACACCATGAGCTTCAAAAAGTCGACCTTTCAAGGAGCTGCTGCTGATATCAGTCAGGTGTTTCCTAATCAGCGTGGAGGGGAAAAGACTGCAAATGTCTGCAAGACAAAGTGGACCAATGTAAGCACAATCACAATCATCCATTGCCAGCCGCAGCTTACTGTAACTATGTCTTAATAGCTAAAGGCTTCTTACAACGCCATCATCAACATCAAGAAAACATCAGGCTTTTCATGGAGTAACAAGCTTGGAGCAGGAATTACAGATGCACATGGGGACATTTGGGAGAAATATGTCAAGGTAAGTCAATGCACCCATTTTTTAACTACCCTGTCATTAAAATACCTGCAATACTAGAACAGTCCCGCTGCGAAACCATTCAAGACTAAGGGGTTCTTGCACTTCAACACAATCGACCAGATCATGCCCCATAGGCCAAGCACTGCAAAAGGAAAGTTTGTCAAGTGTCAGCCCCAGGCCGGCCTGATGGTCCCAGCTGCACCTTCTGAGTCGTCATCTTCCAGCGCTGTTATGATGCCCCCTCCACCTTATCCTCTGACTCCTGCTGCACATAACACCATGAATTTGATGCAGCTCGTGTCTGCTACTGACGAGATCAATTGTCTCCACTGGCCCAGGCATCCATGATGCCTCCATCCTCGAGCTCACACTCCCGGCCACCTACCAGTGGGTGGACTGTATCATCACTTTTTCCTCCACTATGAGCGACTTGGGGCTGACAAGTGTCAGCCGGGCTAAGTGCAAATTTAGCGCACTGCCAAATGAAGGAGAATGGCAATCACAGAAGTGGTCCTGTGCTCCCTCGGCATCTGTAGCGGCCCAGCAGGAGGGTAGTGCGGCGCTAACGTCAATTGCAGACATCTTGCCTCATATCATCAGGAGCCTCACCACAACCTCCGAGGCCGGCATCCACACTGCCGTGTCAGACCATCCTCCTTCCAGTGACCTTGGATGCGCCATCAACTTGCTTACTCAGACCAAGGGTTTGAGTATGGATGATGTTATGGACCTTATGGACTACCTATCATCAAACCCAACTGAAGCAGTTGTGTTCGCTAACTTTCATGGTACAGAATTTAGGGCCACGTGGGCATGGAGGAAGCTCTCCGTCATTTGTCATGGTGCTACCAGTACTACCTTGTAAGTAGTTAATAGTACTAGTCTTTTTCATGGTGCCGGTGTCTTCTTAGATAGATGATCTATAGATAAACACCTATAAAAACAAATATCTCCATGGTCAACGATTCAGACAAATACCAATGACTGATAACGTGGTCGTTCGTGGGTGGCTAGTTGTATACTACCCAAGGTATGTTCAGCTAAGGATAGTTCTGCAAGATCAGTAATACGATGGTCAATCCAATCTATGGACTTGACAGAAAACAAACAGACAATGGTCAGTCTGACAGTATGGCGATGACCAAAAGAATATACGGGTTTCTTCCTCAAGTTCCCTTTCAACAACAGTGCCTCGTACCAACTATACTCCAAAAGAAATGGTGCGGAATTACAATGATAAACTCCCTCAGCACAAAACAGGTAGAATCAAAGGTCAAGACTAGTCAAATGCTTTATTGTAGAACTCTTAGCTCAATATTGAACCTGCTGTCAAGGAACTCTTCTTTGAGTATTCAAACAGACTCAGGAACGGACGTCCTTGGGTTTACTACCAAGTCCCCTCTTCAACGGCTAAAGCCTAGCAGGCACAGAATATCTTGGCTCAGTATCACTACTCAGATGAGTGAGGTCAAGCTTCACTATCAATTCCTAAAGTCTCCCCACTATGCTACTACTGAGTCTTAGGTGGACGTAGAGACAACACGAATATTTTGGATCAGTATTTTTGGACAAAGAACACCAAAGGTCAGTGAAAGTAAAAGAAAAGAAAAAGAATAATAGAAATCAGAATAAAAGTGTGGCTGTACCTTGCTTGCTGGTTGCTGCACACAGTGAGCTCACAGCGGGTCGTTCAGTATGATGAGCTTGCAGTATTACTGTCTCTTGAGAATGTTCCTCTCAGTCTTGAAACAGTTCTTGACACTGGTACTGACACTTATCACACCTTACTTCACAACTTAGTGTTAGTTGGGCTGAGAAACACCCTACTACCTGCTGGTATCTGCTTGTTATTATTTCAAAAACTGGGGTCATTATATACACAATAAATGTGGCTGTGCTACTAGTGTATTCAAGAGTCATTAAGAGTCATAATGAGTCATATGTGCAAGGTGAGTCATAGTGAGTCATAGTGAGTCATTGGGTATTTTGCTAAGTCATGTGACCTGTCCAACCCCTGATGACAAATCCAGAAAGAGAGTAAGAAGTGTCACATGATATGAATCCTGTGTGTGGCTGTCTTTGCTTTGCTTTGTTTGAAGGGTGAGAATGACGCGAGCCTAGTATTTAGGGGTTTACTAATGTTTTTCCAGGACAACTTATGTGGGAAATATTTTTCACAGTCACCTGACATGTGTGGGATTTTGTCTGAGTCATCACCATGGCTGACTAAGCAAAACTCATCGCAGAATTAAATGTACTAAAATATTCAGGCTGCTGGCATATAGACTTGAAAAATAAAAAGAAAAGCAAAAAAAATATTCCCTTAGCCTCAGTCCAACTTCAGATAAAAGGGAAAAGGGTTTCATAGTGGTATTTCAGGGTATATGACTCATGAGAGAGTATTGGTCGTCCATGCACCGAACCGGTTTGGTGCAGGTCACCGGTCATACTACAAGTATCTGTTCAAGTCTCACTGTTACCAATATGTACAATTGTTGTCCATCTACAGTCTGTAATTCAACAAGAATGATACTGCCTACTAAGTCTTACATTGGTGCCGGTACTTCAAGTCCACACCAAGCTCGTTCTTCTAAGTAATCTGCCCACATGGCAGCCGCTATTTCATCACGATGCTGATCAGCTCTCCTCCTCTCCCTACTATCTGCCAGCCCATCAGCCAGATTCCCCTGCAATCTCTCAGGCAACCAGTGCACACCATCATCCATGTCATCATCACCAGTGATATCCAATATCTCACCATCTAAGTCAAAATCATGACTGAAGTTGGGGTCGCGACGATGGATGAAATTGTGCAAAGCACATAGGGCCAATGGTAAGCACGCCTGGATATCCATACCATACTCTGGAGGTAGTTGTAAGATGCGCCATTGGCGTCTGACCACCCCAAATATGTGCTCGATTACGTTGCGCAGTGAAGCATGGCGAAGGTTGAAAAGTTCTTTAGCGTTCTGTGGGCTTGAATACATGTCAAATGCAAGATAACAAATAAAAGAAAAAACTGACGTGAGAGATGCCTGACACCATTCTTTGAGGTGATAGCGCACACCCTGATATGGAACCAATAATGAGTCACAGGTGCCAAACCCTGCATCTGCAAGCAGGTATCTTCCTCCTGGTATCCACAGGTCATGTTGGCGTGCATCGTTCCAAAGTGCTGCATCAGCAGATGAGCCATCACAGCCACAAAGTGAGTAAATGACCAAAGAATCAAAATCACATATAAAAAGGCAATTCTGAGATATATAACCCTTCCGGTTATGCATAAAGGCCTGATCACTGAGTGTCGTGAATGCGCGGATGTGTGTACCGTCGACTGCGCCAATACATTTGTCAAAAAAATGAAAGCGGGGGTCATTTTGTATTGACAAAGGGATGGGGGAATTAATCGTCGGAAATTTGACTTGGGAGGAGTAGAAAGGGTTGTTTGAGAAGAACATAAGCATGCGCTTGAAGTATCTACATACATAATACAAATTAGTATATACTCACGGGCTAAGAGTTTTGGAGAGGAAGATTTTACCATGAGATCGTGTCAGAAGAGCATTGGAAACGCTCGCCAACATGGCGGGTTGAGAGACCAGTCACACACATATATAAAAAATAGCGAGTTGTTCCTCAACTGTGACACCATTGCGAGATTGGACGTATCCATTAGTCTTTAGAACTTGAAGCAGTTCTTCAAACACTTCCAGGTTGACCCCTAGATTGTGTCTAATTCAGGTCTGGGTGGCCTGTGAGGAGCTCGAGCACCCATGCATGACCTGTCAAGGCAGACATATGGTATGGGATACTGGTGCGTGGGGTTAGGAAGAGTTGGTAGTATAGAGCTGATATGTGAGCAATGAGGCAAGTGATAAGTAAAAGATAACGACAGCGACAGAGATCGTCCATCTGTAGAGCCCTTTGTGAGTGTTGATGACGGTGTAGATGATGGCCCGTTAAAGATCCGGGATCATCTGGATGAACTCAAGATCGTCACATGACAGTGAATGTTGAATATTGAATATTATATATCACTGTCCGTACATAGCCTCAAGCTCTCGCATCCGCAACACTCACACCATTTATGGTGGCGCTCCTAAAGGTTCTCAAATTCGTGACCTGCAATGTGGCATTGAGGTTGTGATCACCACTCCTGGACAGCTCACTGATATGCTGGAGACATCAAAGACCCATCTTCGTTGTGTCACATATTTAGTCATGGATGAGGCCGATCACATGTTGGACTCAAGCCCCAGATACGCAAGATTGTATCTCAGATTCACCCTGATCGTCAGACACTAATGTTTAGTGCTACGTGGCCGAAGGATGTGCAGAAACTTGCAAATGTAAACATTCAACATATTGTGGTTGCATGATTAATTTCAGTATTTACAGGACTTTTAAAAGACATGATTCAGGTCAACATTGGGTCTATGGAACTCACTGCCCACCATAATGTTTAGCAGATTGTCGAAGTCTGCAGTGACTTCGAGAAGCGTGCTAAGTTGATCAGGCATCTTGATCATATCAGCTCTGAGAACGCTAAGGTACTTATATTTGTCGGGATGATCCTTGAAACATGTTGCAGATGACATCACCAAATACCTTTGCCAAGACAGCTGGCCAGCCCTCACCATCCATAGCGACAAAGAACAGTAGGTTTTATTTGTTACTCCCTCAATCTATTGAACATTCCCACAGGCAGAAACATGATTGGGTTCTTGAGGAATTCAATGCACTTGGTACCTGTCTTCCTGGACTGCGATGCCCTTTGTTCATGCCATGAATTATGTTTTTTATATGAGGTCGTCCAATCTCTGTTCCTTGTTGTGTTGGATGCGCTTGTGTCTCTTTATTGTTGTCATGTTATTGATTGTGCAATGTGCTATATGTCGTCTATTCCTATTATGTTATTCTCTTGTTCTGTACATGACGTGGTTGCATTGCATTACTGGCATCACAGATGTCAAGAATCTCAGATATGTAATTGTGAGTGTTGTAGTGGTCCATTACTAGTACTGATTGGCTATTAACTTTCCTCTAGAACTACGACTTCCTTAACAACTGTGAAGATTATATCCACCATATTGGTCATATGAGAGTAAGTTGCTCTCATTCAGCCCACCAATCCTTAGTCTAACTCTTCTCAGCATACCAGCATGAAAGGTACCTCATACACTACACTTACTTCACTACCGATAACTCAAAGTCTGCTCACGAGCTGATATATATCTTGTGTGAGGTGAAGGCTGATGTACCACAACAACTAGAGGAAATGGCCATGTACAGTGGAGGAGGGGGAGGTCGCAGTAAGTCTTTAGCATGTCCATATGTTTCGCCTTTAGCAATGGCAACAACTCTGAACAATCCTGGCTTGGAGGGCGAATGTATACTAAACCAGAGGGCATTTTTGTGGTTCCGATGCCTCTTCCAAACATCACCAGAAGCCTGCATATTGGTCATGCACTGACTAGTATCGCCATTCAGAATTGCTTGATATGCTGGTAAATCATTCAGTACATGAGTTATTTGTTGAAGGTTATCGATGCTGATTACAGTCTCTAGACGGGATAGGACTTGCAACTCCAATTATTACGTCGGATCAACCATTTGTACAAATTGCTTCACCATATAAAGCAACTTGAAGGGTTCTTGTCCGGTCATATCTTTTCAAGCATTCTTCATTTTAATACAGACATAAGTAACTTTATTCCATCCATGACATCTGATCCGACCAAGACTCACAATGTGTGCTATTATACTCAGTAATATGTAATGCATATGCATTGTGCTGCGGTGATCAATCATCTTTATTGTGTTTCTACTCACTTCACTAAATTCAGGTCACAGCCTTGACAATCTGTAGTGCCATTGAAGGACTGGACTTGTGTACCGACATCCAGGTAAGTGTTATAATCAAATCGTGTATGATTACATTGAGGCCTCACTTCTGTATCACTTACTAATAGGACTTTGATGTTCACATGCACCAAAGCAGGCTGCTTCATGGCACCTGACTCCCCAAACATATAAAATATCAGTAATCTGAGATAATTGACTTGTCTTGCAAGCCCTACTCCCAGGTTCCTTTCGCTTTGCACACTCTGCCATTCTATTGTTGACCGATGACTGACTCAGAATCAGATTCGAAATCAACATCCTCAGACATCCATTCAGACTCAGACTTGGCAGATGAGAGCAATTGTGACCAGCCTGTTGCTCCACCAAGTGCAGGCGCTTCCATGGAGCATTACCAAGAGGTAGGCTTCATTCGCTGTTCTATTGATATCCTAACATGTTCCATTTAGTATATTAAATACCTTTAGCTTCAGCAGCGCAATGCAATGCTGAATGAGAACAACAATGTCCTCAATGCACAACAGCTGAAATGTTCTCACAAGCGTCCTCCTAGAGTGTCGTCCTCCAATATGATATCTTCAGCATCCCAACTGTTATCTGCAGGTCCATCTACAGCGAGCGCTTCATCTAAGACTAGTGACATCAAAAAGCTCATTCTCAGTGTGGCAAAGAAGTATTCAATAACTACTGAAATGTTCCTTCCCGACAAGGTCATTTTTCAAACCAATTGTCCTGACCCTCCAGCCGAAATCTTGAACCCAAATCATTATGCTAAGAAGTCGACGGAGAAGGACACACTTGTAACCAAGCTCTATGCATCCATTGATTTTGTGTTGCACCCTCGGATGTGAACAAATGCCTTTTATAACCAGGTTCATAATACCTTTATATCATTTAAATCAATCTGACTTATGAAACTTTGCACAGTTCGGAACTGGAATGCAGCAAGCTCGGTCATCGTTCATCAATGGGCTATGTTCCGTTGCAGGTACTATACTCAACATGCCGAATGAGTATTTCATGTCAAAATTCGACCATAACTTTGTTCCACAAGTCACACGATTGATCAGATGGGAAACAGGCAAGGGGAAGGTATATGATGTTTTTAAGGCACCAATCCTCTATCCTGACCATGTCATCAATGAGAAGAAAGTATTTAGAAATTGGTTGGTGTTTGCCATGGTAAGTGTGTGCCAAAAAGTGTCTGCAGTCATTTATATTTTGTACAAAAGGTTATCAAGGTTGCGGTCTGCGGCAGAATGTCATTATTTCCAAAGGCACACAGTGGCCCACCTCCCTATGCTAAGATATGGTAGCTCACCAGCTGTACTCCTGGCCTAATTGCCTTCGGCATCACATCTGTAAGGTTTCGGTAGTTTAAATATCTGAGTAGGCACTTACGAGTTATGATGCTGGTAGACAATCTTTGTCCTGTCTCCTGATCAAAAATTCTTGGGAGATGGTGTTGGAGCCATATCTTCGATCACAACCTTTGTGGACAAGGTGCAAATACGAGGACATGGAATACACTCAAAGCTGTTGAAGCAAGGCTTGAGGCTGCCGCCAGCACATATGAGTGTGCCCATAAGGCTCTTGTGGTTCTTGCACCACTGCTGAATCAGACTGGGTGGCACTCCTCACTGTGGCCACTAAACCGAGCAGATATCTGCTCTATGACAGATCTATTATGGGGGGAATCAGAGGGGACAAGACAACCATCTTGGATCTGGAGTATGTGAGGAGCTGCACCTGACAAGATGGACAAGGATAATGCTTTGGAAGACAAGTACTTTTTTTCTTTTTTGGAAGCTTCAAGCCTAAGGTTCGCAGTTAATGAGATATGTGAATCAAATAATGCAAAGCCAGGGCACTGGCAATGCGCTGGGCTGAAGAGGTGGAGCTGCTGAAGGAAGTGATGTGGAGGATCCTACAATTTTCAAATGGGATGTGCATGCTAGGACGAGTGGGGGCTAGAAGATGTCTTACACGACATGGATGATGATGATGAGCGCAAGGGACTGATAGCATATGCTAAACATCAAGCTTCATTATGTCGAAGGCTCACTAAGTCCTTCAGGACTAGTCAGACTGACACCTTGGCACTGGTGGACATATTCAACCACTCACTTGTCACTCAGCAAGACATGGACATTGATTGATTAGTACCCATAGTACATGCATACGTAGCAAGATGCAGTATAGATTTGTGCTAGCATTGGCTGTCTCATTCAAACAAGTAGTAGGTGTATGCGAATGTGGGAGAGCCAATGGGAGGCAAGAACGAGCAGGCCAATGGGGGGGGGGGGTTGGAACAAGTGGGTGAACAGGCGGGCAAGATGCATTAGAAAAATGGGCAAGCAGAGCACTACTATGCATCATGATGCATCGGTGGGAGGGTTGATGCATCAGCACGGGAGGGAGCCGATGCATTAGTGAGAAGAAAGGGTAGTATAATTGCAGCAATGATGCATCACAGGTGTGCTACAGTTACACTATTCAATGCATCAGCATGCCACAAACCTGTGCAATTTGGTAGTAATGCTGTAATTCAGCATCTTCCAAATGACCCTCAAAATTCCTGGTCTGTGGCCTTGGTCATGTGCCTATGGCCCTCCGGGTATCTTTGTACCTACGAGGGCATGTAGGAAATGGCTGGTCTATGTAAAGTCTGTGCAGACTCTGCCTCAAAGTCTGGGGGACACATCTGGGTGTGTCTTGTTGGCAAGCTCTGGGTTGTCTAACATCATTACTCCCGCTGTCTTCTTAGATAAATGATCTATAGATAAACACCTATAAAACCAAATATCTCCACGGTCAGTGATTCAGACAAATACCAATGACTAATAATGTGGTCGTTTGTGGGTGGCTTGTCTTTGCTCCTAAGGTACAGTCAGCAATGTATAGCTCTGCTCAAAGGTTAGCAATCAACAATCAACAGTCAACAGTCAATCCAACAGTATGGATATGAAACACAATGATAACAGAAACAGAACCTGATCGGTCAGTGATCAACAACAATAACAACACAACAGCAAAATATCAAGAGACACAGTCACTCTAACAGTATAGCGATGACACAAAGCAAATAGACACTCCTCCTAACACTTCACACACCAACAATGATTCATACACAAACTTAGTGCAGCAAGTTGTGTGGAGTTACAATGATAATCCCTCTCAAGAACAAAACAGATGAGACTACTGTCAGACCTAGTCAGAGCTACCGTAGCACTCTTAGCCTAATATTGAACCTGCTGCCAAGGAACTCACAATGAGTATTAAACAGACTCAGGAACGGGTGTCCTTGGCTTTCAGTACCAAGTCCCCTATTCAACAGCTAAAGCCTAACTCGCAAGTGACTACTTTGGCCCAGTATAACACGCAGATATCTTTGCTAGTTGTCAGACACAGTGAGCTCAAGGTATGTGCTAGATGTTCAACACAGTGGGCTCAGATATGTTGTGCTGGTTGTTGAGCACAGTGAGCTCCAACCTTGAACTGCACTTGCTGAATGTCAATTCACACTTCACTCATAATTTTATTCTGAGAGGGTAAAAGTGGCACTTGGGCATGCATTTATTGGGCAAGAAACAGCTCCTTATATAGACAAAATTGGTAGCTATACTACTAGTTTCTTGTACTTAAAGTTGTAACTTTACTGTGATAGTACCAAGTCACACGATATCTTTGAGTCAAAAAGTAAATATTCATAACTCTCGTTGGTATAATGATGAGTCAGCAAGAGCTGTGTATAGCCCATGGGTCAGGTGACCTTTGATGACTCAGCTAGACAAGGGTGAGAAAATGATTACATATTGTGTACATATGTTTGTGAAATCTGTGGCTGATGAAATGATTGGTAGCATAATGACATAGGACACGTGTTTGGCGATTTGTAAGCTTTCCCACAGGGTAACCTTATGCAAACATATTTTTCACAGTCACCCAATATGCGTGAGAATCTCTCTGAGTCATCCTCATGGCTGACTAAGTAAAACTCATCACAAAATTAAATGTACAAAAATATTCAGTCTGCTCGCGTATAATTTCATAAAATGAAAAAAGCGAAAAATATTCTCCTAGCCTCAGTCTGACTTCAGATCACAGGAAAAATGATTTCATAGGACATAGGGCTCATAGGAGAGTATTAGTCATCCATGCACCGAACCAGTTTGGTGCAGGTCACCGCCACTACGCCAGCCACTGTGACACTAATCCCATCTGCTACCCCTGTCAGTGGCTAGCCCTGCTATCTACATCAACCACCCTGTCAGCACTTCAGCCACCCCTGGGCCCTGTGTCACATTTCAGTAGGTGCAATTAACGATGAGTCCAATTGATGACATTCTGCAGGATGGCACCTGGAATACTTGGTGGCTGTAGAGCTGTAGTCGATGATATGTTGTCTGTAGGCATGGCGGGCAATGTGAAATGGCGGGAGAGGCTGATGGCACGATGGCGGGGACTGACAGCATCAGTAAATTCACACATTCCTTAATCTCACTTAGGGAACTGCATGGGTATGGGTAACCCGCACGGGTCATGGGTACAGGTACCGTTGGGGTACGGGTATGGGTCTGAGGTCATGATACCCCTACCCCTACCCGTACCCGCACTGCAGGTATCAGTCAAGGTTTGCACCCTTTGTTTGATGCTTTGGTGCATATGCTTATGTTATATTGTTTGCTCTTGTTAGATTCTAAAACACTCAACCGGTACAATCAGACCATCTTCTTCAACACAACACCTATTGTCAAGTCCCACAGCTGAAGTCTATTGTCATGTGAGTTATCCTTGATCATTCTTGCTTGTCTTTACTCCTTGCTCATTTTCTCAGACCTCCGCTGCACCCTCTCATACATTGTGCGCACCCTCTCATATCCCACGCACCCTCTTGTACATCCAGCACACCCTCTCGCACCTCTCAGACCTCCACCCTCTCATACATTGTGCACACCCTCTCGTACATCATCCTGTGCACCCCTCACATGGCTCCAACCCACACTCTTGTACATCCAGTGCATGCTCTCATGAGTCCATTGATTCTCATTCGGGCAAGAGCCATGCTGATCTGAGTCGTTGCCCACCATTTGCACTTCACGACATTCCCAATGCGACAGACACCATGCACGAACGCCCAGCGCGCGCCAGCAAATTTGCCCATGCCTCCACTCCTCCTTCTTGTGCCATCCATATATGTTCAAGTCACGTCAGCATTCACTGATGTGTGCTGGACATATGTGCTAAGCACTGGTGGTGATACCTATGGTACCCGCGGGTGAACCCTGCACGGGTGCAGGTACGGGTCTGAGCTTGTTGTACCCGCCAAAAACCCATACCCGTCAGAGCAGGTACATGTTTTTGCCGGGTGTGGGTGTGGGTATGGCCTCCAATACCCAGGGGTTTACCCGTGCAGTTCCCTAATCTCACTTGCTTCGCAAATTAACATTTATTCCCACTTTAATTTCACTTATCTCACTTTATCAACTTGTGCCCTGAATTTTGCAAGTACAAAAAGGAAGTGAGTGACACGCAAGAATGGAAAGAGGCACAAGTTGTCACAAGTACAACAAGCATGATTCTTGGACCATCGAGACTCGAGAGCAAGTGTGACATGTCACAATTGTGAGTCGTGACATTATCATTTTACATTTTGACAAGTCATTCAACATTGCAACCCTTCTACCAACCATGCCGCCACCTAGTAGTAATACTTTTTTTGTCTAGCTCCAAGTAAGTCCTTTGTTTTAACTTCACACCTCCTCACTCACACCTTCAGCTTTCTCCAGTCCCACCCGCCACTCCCTCATGTTCGAATGCATACCCCAATGACCACCACACCACATCCAACACCCAACACGACCATCACACCATGTCCAATGCCACCAGCACCATGTGCCAATGCCCAACACCACCACCACACCGCGTCCAACACCACCACCACCACCATGTGCCAATGCCCAACACCACCACCACCACCATGCACCAACACCCAGCACCACCACCATGCCGCATCCAACACCAGCACCAGCACCATGCACCAATGCCCAACACATGCCAATGACCACCACACTGCGTCCAATGCCACCAGCACCATGCGCAAACGCCCAACACACGCCAGCAAGTGCTGATGTGGCGCAAACACTCGTGGACGACACCAGGACACCGAAGATGAGAAAAGGACGAGAGGAGGAGAGAGAAAGAGTTAGAGACAAGCAGAGTACTACTAGGGCTACTACTAGTACTATAGTTTCAGACTGTTATGCTTACTCTCCCTCTATATTAGTACAATTGCTTTGCTTGAAATTTTGCTTGAAATGCAGTTTTTTATGAATTACTAAGTGAGCATAAGTACAAAATAAGTATAAAATAAGTGTGAGGCAAGTATGAAAAAGTGCAAAACAAGAGGAGGGATCTACTTGTTGAACTTGTGGCGACTTGCAGCAAGTGGTTTCTACTGTCCTTGCGAGCGACTTATCCACTTCTTGTGGGAAATTAAGTAATGGCAAGTGGCGGAAAAGCCAAACAAGGAATGTGTGAATTTACTGATGCACTAAATTATGACATGATACAGCGGGCAGACAAACATAGACTTCCCAGCACTTTCCGGACAACTGCTGGCAGACTAGTGTTGCTGCAAGTCGACGCGGTGTGATGCGGTGCTAGTGAACTTGAACAAGTAAATGATTCGAGTTATATTGAGTTACACACCAGTGCAAAAGCGAGTTCAGATGTTGTTCGGGAATTAAATCCACCAATCAACGGGCTCAGATCTATCTCTTTCTGGTTTAGCAAGTCAAATTTATTGGCACATAAATAGCTATATTTGGCAGAGGTACGGAGGAAGCCTGTATGGGTAAGATGTTGAGGGTGACTTTGTATGAGAGTGGATATACTCGTTCCACATCCTAATCACAATTAGCACCATGTGTGAAAACAATGAGTGCAAGACTTATGGGCATGTACATGGTAGTAAAGAACTCATGTGTAAAAAAGTAGAAATTTTTTGATTTTTTATGGACCGACAAAGTAAGTAGGGCAGACATATTGACAAGGTATAATGGTGAGGTGTAAAGCACTGGAGAAGTGCTCAAGATTGCATGAAATACTCGAGCTACAGTCGGCAAGATTATGGGAAAGTCTTCTCAATATGTCAATCACCAACTCGCAGTGCAAATTTGCAATATATGATATACACCTGTCGCAACTTCGGAGGCCCCCCCCCACCCCTCTGTCACAGTGACAGTAACACCAATTTAACCAAATATGGTAACCGCTCAATCATTTTCATCCAGACAAAGAACAAGCACAAGGCAAAAACAATGATTGATTGCAAGCAAATTGTGAGGGAACAATGCGGGTGCACGACAATGGAATACAAAAGAACATTAAGCAAAAGTACAAGAGCGTTTAGCAGCCTTGTAGCCAGTAGATGCAGTCAAAGAGCATTTGGAACTTGATGCAGGGACATTCTCCTTGTCCGACCCAGACAAAACACTTGGTGGGGTGATCCAGCGCTCCTTTGGGATGTGCAAGGTGCTCTGCTCGAGTTCAATCAGTGTCATATCATTGCGGATGTGTGCAGGCAGCTCGACACCCTCTGATCTCCTCCAGGAACTGAATATTCATCATGCTCTTTCATAATATGCTCCAGCATGTTGTAGCACCAGATAGCTTCAATGGCGAGGACAGGTACCTTTCGTGAAAATCTTCCAGGCTTGGGAGGGAGTACTGGATGGCACAGTGTGCACTTGAGAGGGAGGTTTCGGCAAGGCTTGTTTTTCAATCTGTTGTTGACGGCTCTGTATCTGAAGGCATGCTGATATGTACATTGTGTCATCCAGGTAGGTGCACTGCTCGCAGTAACGGTGATTGTGATGGCACACTCGGACCATCCTGAGTGCCCACAGAATCCACACAGATATGTCTCTTTAACCTATTGAGAATAACCAGCATTGTGAATAAATAGTATTAAAAGTACATACCTTTTCTTTCAAATCAATGACCTCAGGTGTATTGCACAATGCGCAAAGGATGTGTTACCCCATATGACAGCGCATGTCTGGTACCTTGGCTTCACAAAGTGGACACGTCACAACACGCTCTCCTTTTGATGCTACCAATAGGCTGATTGCCTCAACCGAAAAAATAGCGACACTCCCTGAGATATAAGAGAATTGTCAGAGACAATACATAACATCAAAGTAAGCAATATTTACCATTGGAGGACTGATAAGGGAAGGACTTCACATCTAATGGCATAACAGAAGCAATAGACTCAAGCAATAAGTCCACCTCAACAGCTTTTGCCCAGATAAGATCACAGGCAGCTTGCAAGGCATCTTGAGGGATCTGCCAAGTGCTTTGGCCACCATTGACTTGAGAAAATGCATCGCTATTGATGCCCTCACGTAGATGAAGGAAGGTTGGTTCAGGATTTATGGGTTCCACAAGAGCGCCGGGAACAGTGACAACAATCACATGCGCTGTAGAGTCAGATGTTCCTTGGATGACTGACCAAGTGGTGATATATCCCTTGTCCCACAAGAACATCTGAGCGGCATCAGATGAAGTGTCAGTTGGAATGATACTCAGGAGCTGTTCTGTGATCTTCGCAGTAGAGCGCAAAGATTTCCTGATAGCAACATTGATAGATGCAGGAGATATACCATTAAGGGTTGCTGATGTAGAGCAAAGGACTTCAATGGAAAGGTTATGGCCAGAGCGAAGGATGGCCAGAAAGATATCCCCAACAAGGAATAAGTTCTGGTCTGTGATCCATCCTGCCGACATATCAATTCATTTGTTGACCAGTCTTTGTTGATTATGAGCCGACATACAGTTTGCTTCTGGATCCAGCATCCACCATATAGTAGATAGTCATCTGGGCATATCCCTGGGCCATGCGGCAATGGCAGTGAAAGTGTGTCTACAGGAGGGGGTTCACTGGAAGGCTGAGAAGGAGCGTCAGTAGGAGACTCATTGATCAGCACCTCTTGAAAGGTTAGCATGATCTCGTCTTCTTCTTCACGTCCATCAGACTCATCTAGCTGAAGCATATCACCATCTTCATTTGACAAGATAGTTTCCAAAAATTGTGAGGGTGGTGAGCGCATGACAGGAGGAAGTTCTGGTGGTATGTGGCTCGGGTCTTCGAGTTCCTCTTCCATTGTGATGCCAAAGTACTTATTTTGTCCGAATGGACGCAGCATGTCGACATCAGGGTTGTTGAAATGGTCACTGAAGGAAGAATGGACCAGAAGGAATAATGGACCAGATCCAGTTGCGATGTGATAAGAATGGAAAGTGCAGAATCACGACCATTGCGCCATGCCAATGGAAGGTCGCATCTGTTGACAACAATGTCACCCTTCCAAATCTCTCGGTTGATATGATCAACTCCCTTGTGGCACATGAGTTTGAGATGCCAATGACCTGGATCGAGCTCTGGATGGTGTTTAAAAACACCATTGATGTCCTTGGCAGCACCGAGACAGTCAATAGCTTGAGAATAAAAGCATGCAGTGTTGTGCCCCCCGATCATATGTGTGTGACCAAAGAGAATCTCAAGTTGGTCATCCCCAACATCGCCAAGGTAGAAGCAAGCACACAGATCCAGTGACTGTTGTTTGGAAAGAGAGAAGGCGGCATTCTTTACCATGGTTTGAGTGTCGTAATATAGCTGATAAGACATGAATGAGCGCCAATGAGCATGAAAGAATGCATAAGCTAAGTGTGCATCTTAGGTATTGGAACTGCTCAGAGAGAGAGAGAGAGAGAGAGACGTTGATGAAAGGAGTAAGAATTGATTCAAGTAGCATGCTGAGGAGAGAAATTGAAATAAGGTCGGCACAAGCATTGATGTCGAGGGAAAATGAGTCATTCAAGACATGACATTGAGATTGTGAGAACTCAATGATAGCCAGCATGAGTTCAACGGCACGGGGGACATCTTGGGGGCCGTCAGGGTGAAGGAGCTTTGTCACTGCTGCCTCGTCATACGCAGGCAACCATACCAGATAGCGTGCAAGCATCATCGAATTAATGACACGGCCATTGTTTATGACAATTCCCCCAGGTGCCTGAATAAGTGTACAAATGCCTAGATTCAAATAAATACATGTCAGTTCATAACAGAAAAAAATACTTATGTTTGAAGATATGCTTGAAGTCAAAATCAAGCATAATTTCACCTTCACTGGTGAAGAGATTGAGGCCCTGCAAGTTGACAAGTGTGCCATACAAGGGTGATTCAGGAGGTAGTGGAAGTGGAAACTTGACGAATAATTTGTGACCAGCAGCATGCCTAGTCGCGTCACCGTCTGTCGCTAATGACCAGATTGGCCCGACCAATTCAGTCCTATTCCAACTCCCAATGGCACGGGAAAGGATATGTTCCATATCAGTGGCATCTTCAGTCTTGCAGGTGGGTGCCGCCAAAATAGGATATATCTCGTCCTCACCAAAGCAGGATGCACCTATAACGGTGAGCTCCTTCCCAAGGTGAAGTTCACCATCGTGAAGTTTTTGAGCAATGTTCACGGCAGACTCATACGTGCGAAGGACAGGTTCTATAGTGTGAGAATGCTTCTAACAGAGACCTCCAACTTTGTTATATTTACTAAAGTGAACCGCCATCTCTTCAAGGGCGATTTCGTCAATCATAAGACTGACACCACATAAAGATGCAAGTGATGAGTGTGTGTGTGTGTGTGAATGACGATGTTCTGAATATTCTGGTCAAACTGTTAGTCTCGTATTGGGCCAATGGTTGGTACGATGGAGGTGAAGGTGGACTTAGTATGGAGCGTACAGAGAGAAGGGAGACCAAGCGATTGATGAAGTGCAAAAAGGAGCTGGCACCCGCCAAGCCTAACAACAAGTGTTGTGATGTCCAAGTCGTTGGCACCATAACCTCGAGGGGTGTATGCACCCTCGAGAGCATCCTCAAGCTTGTTGACAACCTCCTGCACACTGGAACCGTGATGTAGAGCGACATCTACAATTTGGTGAATGCGTGGGATATCTTTTTTAGATATGGCCATAAGTAGTCGATTGTAGTCGTCTAATTGGGTGAGCAAACGCATATACTTGTGAGAATGATTGAGTTCCTATTCAATGTTAGTTAAAATACTTATCAGAAGCTATGTAAATGTACCTGCAATTTTAGCTGCTTGATTTGATCAGCATATGTCTTTGCGATGTCTTGCATGTGCCCGAGGCCAAGAAACTTGTAATTAGTGTGGTGCTTGGTATCCCGGGCTATTTCAGAAAGGTGCACAATGTGTCTGTGCACATCAGAACACTCGCCACATGGTGAACCCTGAAAACGAGCATGGCTGCAATGCTTCGAGCGAGCATGAGGAGCACTTGGCTGCATGCTATCGATGGTAAAAGGCAAAGCATCTGAGCCATCATGATACCAGCTCCAGGGGAAAAGCATGAGGAATGGACGTAGGTTGTCTGGCCAGACAACAGCGATTCCAGGACAGTTGTCAAGGTGAGGAGAAGCAGAAAGAGAGCTTAAAAACAAGGTAGTAAGTATGATATTAAGTAATTAGCTAGAGCTGAAATGAAAATACCTGTTATCTGAGGTAATAAGAGACTTGGAAGCGACAAGGGTGTCAGAACACAATAACGATTGAGCTTGCTCAGTCTGTTATTTAGCCTGAATGCATCGCTTTCTGCCTCGATGGCTGACCAAGGAACTGAATTGGCATTCATGCCAGAGCATAAGGCCCGAGGGTATGCTGGTCTGACACCATTCCTTACAGTCAGGACAACGGAGGGTCCATCTCGGACCGGTGCTATCAACCTCGGGGCCCTTTGCCCTGGATACATCATACAGTGCCTCAGTGGTATTGAATTTGAGTGTTATATTAATGTTGAAGTCTGCAGATAAGGCGATTGATGGTATATGCGGGGTTTCTGACTCTTGAGAATCCGCATATCCATCGGAATCCCAGCAGTCAGATAGCATGTCAGGTGAACAATGAGATACTGAACAGTATTGTTCTGAGTCTTCAGGCTGTAGTTGCACTTTGAAATCTATAATAGGACTGCGAGAATGTCCGGATGGATTAGAATCATTAATAGTTTGAAATGTGCAATCTGAGCTGTGTTGTGAAGTTTCATGATATGAGTTGTTACTGATGCTGGGTGCTGAAGTGTTGTAAATTGATGGGAACCAGCCTGCATGCGATGGATGAGTGTTAGAATACATAATGAATAAGAATGTGTGTTTGCAAATGAGAGTTGGTGGGCCGACAGGACAGAGGGGGCATAGGACTTGTACGCGTTATTGATATTAGACACGACTTAATATGACAGTCACGTGTTTTTACACATGACATCCAAAATGCTGGATTTAGTGAGCAGCGCCCTTCAACACGCATTTTTCATTGATTCGACTATCAAGATGTGTTCTACACTAGGAAAACCCCCCCTCTATGTCTTCAGTGAATAATTCTAGTAAGTTCTGATGCCACTATCGAGGAACTCAGAACGGTCTTCTGGCAACCTCAAGTGGCTGTACATTAAGGTTTTTTAGCTTATGTAAAGTTGAGCTGTGTGTTCGGGATTTCCCTTTTGCACACCTCTTGGCATGGGGCAGTTGCCATGAGTTGCATAAATTTCCGAGTTGAGTCGATGTTAACTCGATTCCAACTCACACTGGCGGCAACACTATGGCAGACCTGTCCCCCAGACCTCAACACGGAGTCTGTGACTTGTCTGTACTATAGACCTCATGCAGACTGGCCAAATCCCGCACTTTCTGGTACCTACCAAGTTTTTTCCGTCTATTTTCTCCTGATGTTTGCCAGAATCAGACCGCAAAACGGTTCTCAGTTCTAGGTCCTGTCGAATAGTTTGGTTCTGGTTCGGCCTTGTCAAACCCTTCCGAACCCTTCCTTCGATATCATTTGCCTCGATGTCCTGGCCTCACACGCGGGCGGTTTGGGAGTTTTCCACTATGTGAGATTGGTTTCAAAATGTCAGTGATAAAGTTGGCGTTTTTACAATACATTTTGACCCAGTAAAGATAAAAATTTGGATGTGCACCAAAATCCCAGGTGAAATTCTACATTTTATGTACCATTTTGAGTGCTATAAATCACAAACTTTTGAGCGCAGGAAAGTTTTCCTCAGAATATCATGTAACTAGGGACATTTTCTGATTGCAGAATAATCAAATTTTTTGCAAGTTAAAATGGGGTACGTAAAATGTGAACTTTTAGCATGAGAAAAATGACGTGGGCACTCATTGGGCACTCATTGGGCATTCATCAGGCACTCATTGGGTATTCATGTATTCATGTTGGGTATATTGTAGAGTACAGGGAGTCTGCGAGAGTATGATATAAGTGTCTATTGGAATCTACTTTCCTCCACGAGGCATATCTGATCGAACCGCAAAGTGAAGCTAATCCTAGCAGTAATCGCAATCTCAACAGTATTCTTCTTCATGTTGCACTTCGCGATAGTCATGATCTCACCACGAGTGTCGCCATCCAGGACGAGACACTTTCGGTTTTTTTTTGCGCAGTGGAGCTGGACTTAGATCAGTGACAGGGATATGATAGTGCTGAAGCATGGCTCCGGCACCATTGGATGTACAAAATACTGTGATACAGCCATCAGGAGCGGGTCCATTCTCACCGCAGAATGGGTCAGGACAAGCTGTAGATACGAAGCGATTATGCAGTCTGCCCCCCATGAAACTTGGTGACACTTTAAGCACCACGTGATGATGAGTCAACTTCAACGCAAACTCCTTGTTCATCAACCAAGGTAACGGGCCTGTAATGAAATAAGTTAAACATTAATAAGTCTACATTAGAGACTCACTGCCGTTTCGAGACTTCTCCTTCATATCTGTGATGGTGTCCTCAATGTCCTCTGCATTATTAGCAACCCAGGGGTCATATGTCTTGACACCAGCAGAAAGGCTATCTGCCGAATCATAATTGTTATGGCTGGACAAACTGGATGGGACTACGGGATCAGGTGGAGGGGTCTTGCTTCGACATGGCAGCATTATATATGATTTCTTCTGCATCTTGCAGAAAGAAATCATGTCCAGACCTTCGAGTATTGCACTGTCTAACCTCATTCTGAATCTTAGATAGTCATGAATGAAAATTAATACAATAATATGCAATGTGATCACCTAGTAGCAACGTCCTCACATTTAACCGTAGTGCGCGCTTGCCCATGCACAGAAACGGAGCAGGTATCATGAGCGAGTTGGTATAGCGTGGCTTGGTAGCCCTTCCGTGCACCTCCGATAATAAAGACTTCTTTACTGATGATGTTGCAAAATGAATCCGGATTCACAACTCCTATCTCATCCCTGATTTGAAGAGATTTGGGCTTGGGGAGAGGGTTGAAATCTGGCTGCATTGGCGGCCGTGATTGAAGAATGTGAGTCAAAGGACGACAATCTAGATAGTACTTCGATACTTCCACCTATGTAATGTTAGACAGGCTTACAGGATGTTCTATTTACACATACCTCTTCATTGGTGGCTTCTTGACACACGTGAAACAAGTCATCAGACTTCTTAATGATGTACCCTTCCAGACCTGCGTAAGCGCCTGCTACGACTCAAACTGTGTCGCCAACCCAAAAGACACGCTCAAGTCACCCCTCCTTTAGCGTTATCGGTATCTACACTGGATGGCCCTTTGTCTCATGTCCTCCCAGTTATTCAGAGTCACCAAAAACCACCCACCCTCTCCTGCCTTGCTCTCTCGTTGCAAGCCCATGATGCTTCACCTGACTACCTTACTGTTATCCTACAATGTGTCGGCTATTGCAATAGCGTTGGATACCTCGACCTTCCCTACCTCCACAGAGTCATTCCCATTCAGCAATAATTTACCCAGGTGCCCAGTCAGCAATCTATGTTAAACACTTGGGGATCTTTTTGGACGTTGCAGGCTTGTGCTCCACTTCGGCAGGAGATGCATTGGTACGTGTTTGTTAAAGTACTATTTCAACACCTGAATACTAACTGTAGCTCCAGGCCTTATCTGCTTCGTGGATTGAAGCCTTTCCTCAAGTCAAATGTGTTAGCATGCGAGGCTGTTCCAACCTCACCACCAAGTATCTTGTCCACGAGATGTGCAAGTTCGCTGCTGCTGATGTCGAACTGTCTGTGAAACTGTGTACTAAAGATTCCTTGTAATTTATGGTTTGTTACGCGCCCGCCTAGCTTGTCCATCTCCTCAGGATAAAATAGCCAAAGGCTTTATTTGTGTGTATGATACTTACTGATACTGACAATGATGTGTCCTGCTGTACTGCTATATTCTCCATCCAGAAGGGCACATATAGCATTAATGCAAATTGCATCCACGGGCGTTTCGCTCCATGTAATAGAATTCCTCTGCAAACGCACCCATGGAAAAGTTGTGAGCACTAGCCAGTGGCTACTGCTGTGAACATTCTTTTATTCCATTAACCTGTGGTAGTCATTGACTGAGCATGAACAGGTGTTTGTAAGTTTATTTCCGTCTCGACTCCACCTGTGACTCCCACGTAATCCCTGTAATTAGTAGTGCTAATAGATAAGGTTAGCACCTCTAAAACGACGCAAATTCAGCACCCGCAAGCCTCCTTCAATATCTATTCAATAAAGCCTGACCTTTAATGATGTTGTATAGTAGAGTAAGCAAGCGTGGACTCAATGCTGACGTAGTTAATATTACTGATGTTCGGCTAAGTCCGCCCGCCACCCGAACTTTCGTGGACGCTGTCTCACACAACGAGCTCGCATAGCTCATGTTAACATCGTCATTTCGAAGGCGCGTTTTCAAATATATATGGACAACTAAGGCGCTAGGTCATTATGAGGGACGTTCAAGCGCTTTTTCGAGAAGAGACAACGGCTAACGTAGTATATTGTACAACATATAAACAAAGGTAGCAGAGTACACTATGAGTCCTCAGCCTCTTCCTCGTCAGACGACTCAATAAATTCTGCGCTTTTGGGACCATCATGATGGCCCGCAGAGTTCCTTTTTACCTTCTTGGGGGGTCTGTCGTTCTCTTTGTTCGCAATTGGCAAAGGCTTGCGCTTGCGAGAGACGCCAGCGTTGGAACGCTTTTTGCGTGGCTGCCGAACCACTTCGCCTGCAGAACGGCGTGTGTCCAGTTCTGCTGTGTGAGCTTTGACCTCGGCTGATGTAAGGGGAGCCCAGTAGCATGTTCGAGCTTTGAGAGCGTCTCGAAGCTTGCGAATGTTGCCTGATAATCCCAATATTGGAAGGACTGACGAACTGAATGCTGGAGGGCCATCCTATCAGCTGGACAGCATAGGTTTCGACGACTGCAGTCTTGTAGTTCTTGTAGTTCATGGCAATATCTTTCTTGCCGGTCACCGAAACTGTGAAAAGGGTTAAACACGTGAATTTATGTTGTTGACATTGCTACTTACTCAGTCCACGGATAATCAGTTTTCGAACTTGCTTGCGCACGAGTTCTAATGAATCGCGCTCATTTAGATCTGCAGGATACTTGCTATCAATATATAAAAAAACAAGTGGGTGACAAACGAACTTACTTTGATTTTGTGTACACGCCCACTGTTCATACTGTCGAAGATAGTCAGCCATCGGAAGGTCGTACACATCTTCCCAGAAGTCTTCTGAATTGTCTGTACCATGCATCGAGCTTTGAATGGTGTCATTGACGTGTCCGTGAACAACAAATAAAGTCGCGTAGGTCCCGGTGCGAACACGTAAGTCGTTGAGCTTTGGAGATACAAAAAGATTCAAATGAGGTCAATTGAATACATTTGATGACCATGAACATACCTCTTTGACAATTCTTTCCGTTGTGAGTAGAACATCTCTTGCAGCAGCGATATTGTTTCCTCGCACACTAGCTACCTTCTGCTTGCGATGCTCCTCGAGAGCCGTGATATAACTAGCCTTTTCGTCCTTTGTCAGTTTTTTAATCCGAGAGTCATCGTCGACCATCTTGCGTAGCTCGACTAAGGTATATCGAGAGCCGGCAAGTTGATCTTATCACAACAGATCAGACTGTAAGTCTTATGACAGTGATGATTCAACTTACCGGAGTTCATCTCCTTGGCCTTGGCGTGGACGAGGGCGTTACTCAACTGGACCTTGCGTGATGTGTGAAACTTCGTGTGATTGCTAATCAAGTCGTCGATATACTTGGGAGTGACGTTGTGAGCACGCGCGAGGGAATCTATTTTCATTTTGTGGCCGTCCAGGTGTATGGTTAGAGCATTGTGTAAGTCCTTTGACGCCTCTGTCTTTTGGTCCCTCTTAATCTTTCGAGATGCTTTTTGAGCATCTGATAGCCGGTGGGGTGGGGTCCGTGGATGGATTGTGGCATGGGTCGGGTTACGTGCTGCCCAGGTAGATGAATTTGCATTATGAAGAGGATCTGACCTTAAGTTTCCTTCAGGTGATGGCGTGCGAGATGGAATCGCAGATTCATCTGCATCAGGTGACGGGTCTGCGAGAGTCGAGGTCCCCGTATTGATGGCCTCCAATTCATCCTTTGACAATGGCATCGTGTAAAGAGACAGGTCCTCCCAGTCGATATCATCAAATGAGCGCGCATTTCCACCAAACGCATCAGGAGGGTCAGTTGTTGGAATTTTGAGAGTTCCCGCAGCTTTAAAAACGACATCAGGTTGGGGAAACGCACATAGACAGTACCGTACCGTCGTTTTCATTGAACATACCCATGAAATAAGCAGGCCCACTGCTATTGATGTGATTCGTGTTGGAGTTGAAGTCGTCGTCAGGAAAAATATAGCTCATAGTTGGTTGGTGAGCGAAGGGCAAAGTCTGATGAAGCGTTGTTGTGCGGACGCGACTAGCGAATTTGCGTAGACCGAAAATACGGTTATCGGATACGCAATTCATGGCAATCAAAAATGATGTGTGTCATTGCAATCAAAAATCTAGAAAAAAAAAAGGTATCAATGCAGTGTTACAATGATCAAATACTACCATTAAACAAATGAAAACCTTAAGGTCGTATCATGAACTTGGGGGAGCAGTACTAGTAGAAGTACCGTAAACACTAGTGTATGGCGCTCACCATATGGGATGATTTGATAGGAATGCCCGAGCCTGTACCAGTAGTATAAGTGCCAGGTGGAGGAAATCATGCAGACGTTAGGGCCAGGCTAGAGTCAAACGTGAGTTAGGGCAGCAAATAGAAGTTAATGAGACGTTACCATGACCATACCGCTGCTCAAGTTGCATCAGTGTCGGGTAACTGCAAGGTGAGTGTTTGCTACTATGTACTCCGCAATTGCATAATCTTACATCTGCCACTGTCCGAGTCACTATCCTTCCAGATCCTTAAGATGAATTATGGGTTAATGGTTCAAAGTCTCAGGCGATTTCCACACTTTCACCTTGTACGCCGAACTACGATGGTAAGCTTCAATTTTGGCATTTTGGCATATCTTACAGAGATTCCAAGACTCATCGCAGCAATCGGGGGATAAGCCAGCGTAGAGCTACCGAGCGTTGGTTTGCTAAGCCAGGGTGAGTCCAACATGGGTGTTTTTACTCCAGGATCCTGCTCACCTGCCACCACAGCGTTCGAGCTGCCCAAAATGCAAAGGCGCGTATTCGAATGGCTTTGTAAGTACATGACTGCCCCTACTCTCAATTTTACCATGGGTACTTACATTATTTGTTCTAGCAAGCGGAAAACGTGAGACAGCATTTATGTTACTCCTACACCTCGCACTCACTGACCATGATGACAGCAAAAAAACTGATACGTTTCTTGCTGACTTAGATCCAATCGCACCTGTCACGAGTGCAACCGCACCTCACAGCCCTACTAGTTCTCACCACTCAACTCCCGAAGCCGATGATTCTATCCTCACAATGGACAATAACATTCCTTGTTCCTGCGACAATCCAACACTGCAAACAATCCAGACTATGGCAGGACACTGGGGGAAAGGTTGGGAATGGGAGGACACGTGGAATGTCACGTACAAAGAGGTACTCGCGCACGCACAGGCTAACGGGGAACAAGAGACCACAAGGTTCCTTGATGACAGCGGAAAACATGCTTTGGAAGGGAGGATGCTTCTAGATGACATCCGGGATCTCGTGTATACTAACTGTCCGTGTTGCAGGGAGCAGCTCAAGCATGACACTATTCTACTACATGATTTACTGGTCTCCATCACTTCGCAGGTCAAATTCTTTGAGGTGAAAGTAGATAGTTTTTGTCTATAATTTGTACCTTTATACACATTTGAATTGAAACGAACAACCTCGCAAACCAAACCTGAAGCACACTATTGAACATAACGAACACATAGCGCACAGGTATCAAATTCATAACGAACATAACGAACGCATAACGCACATGTATCGAATTTGTAGCGAACACATAGCACACACATGGCGAACATGTTTGAATTTATGGAGTATTGTACAATAGGATGACTTCTTTCTACTTGACTATCTCAAAGGTTAGTGTTTGTTGTCCTTGAGTGGTTTTAAACATGTTGTGAGTTATATGACGAGGTTTTGTGGCTATATAATCAAATTACAGTATCACTGCGTAAGGACTATATGTATCTCCAAATGAAGCACACTGTAATGCCGGCTGTGCCGGTCAAAGTAGTAGTGCTACATAGTACTGTCGACCTGTCAAATCACACAGAAGAACTTTCGTTCTGCAGAACGAAAGTTCTTCTGTGTGATTTGACAGGTCGACAGTACTATGTAGCACTACTACTTTGACCGGCACAGCCGGCATTACAGTGTGCTTCATTTGGAGATACATATAGTCCTTACGCAGTGATACTGTAATTTGATTATGAAAGTCACTGTTTTGTATAGCGCTCGTTCTGTTCAACTATTCTACTTGCAAAACTCACATACACGGAACAATTATGTCCACTGATAACCATTCGACATTTAGATTGCATGAAGGTGGTAGTACAAGCACTGTAGATACACTAGCGAGGGAACTATGGATGTATCTAAATATTGAAGCCGCCGATGCTCTGTTCCAAGTCCTCAACTTGGGACCACAGATCATCCGAGTCCTGAAGATAGTGTTGGGGATGCTGGCGATAGATTGGAAGGCCAGAAAGGGCCGCCTGGAAAAGGAACCGCTCGCACTCTACCCTCATTATGCTTGACCGTGTATACTTCGTGGGCCTTCTGGAATGAAGGATACCGCTTTTGAACATTGCCACTAACAAAATTTGTGCGTTCAGCAACATCAACCCTTCAATGATGATCAATATAAGTTAATGTAAATGATTGATTGTACCTACCAATGATAGAATATCCCCACTTCCTGCCCGACTGTGATCACCCAAAAACCTTCAGGTGTCAGACCTCCGTGTGGTGGTAGGATCTCGCTAGGATCAGGAACCGGCGGGATGTAGGAGGGAAACTGTAGAGGCGCTTGTACTAGATCTGTGTTTGAAGATCCTTGTGTAGACGAGCTTGCTGATAGATTTAATGGGACGTCATAGCGAGGCAGAACCGTCACTTGGCTGCTATGGGAGGAGTGCGACTGCGATGATCGAGATAAGGTGATGGACTCTTCGGTAGTCTTCCGCTTCCAAGTAATCGTATCTAGTGATGAGCCTGACGTCTCGATCATGAACATGTAGTCGATTTGGCAGAGAGAGATTTACGTACCCGACAGAGTCATGCCTTCAAGTAAACGTTGCAGGTCTTGGACATGATCATCGTGGGTGACAGCGGATGATGAGGAACTGCGTGACATTGTAGATTTGAGCGGGTGAGTATTCAATGATAGTTGGAACCGAGTATTATCTGAAAACTTGTGCAATGATTAGTCACGATACAACACACGCAGTTAATCACACACATACCTGGCGCCTCAGACTCTTTAAAATATGGGAGATTCTGGGAAACGTCGACTTCGCAGCAACTTGTCCCTGAGGTCCATCCGGCGTATAGGAACTTCGAGGGACAAGAATGGACTTCCCACCAACTCCATCTCGAAGATCGTCAAGCACAGGACTTTGGTCCAGCAGGCAGCCAGCTATAGGGAGCGCAGGGAAACACGTCTACAAGGCAAGTCGTTTATATTTAAAGGAGAAACAATTGAACCCAAAGTACCTACCTTTTTTTTTACAGCAATGACTGTTGACGAGTGTCGAGCTCTTGAAGCGCTTAGAGATAACTCTGCCCTCCATCCTAGCTTCGAGGAAGGCACAGAAGACTTCGATTTTGGTGATGTTTGGAATGGTACTGAAGCGCTCCCCATCAGTCACGCGGGGGGCGAGTTCAATGACCTCGCAAGAGGTATACTGGGCGATACCTGGAAAATGTAAGTGTTAGTAAATTCATATGAAGTAGCTCATTATAATAACGTCGTAAATAGACAGGACGGTACTCGAGGGGTACGACGTGTCGACAATCGCACTCGTCGGGATCGCGTCCTGCGCAGGAATGAAGCTTTTACCAAGCAAATCCCTGCAATGACTGACGCTTACCTTGTCTGGAGTCTAGAAAAATCGAGGATGGGACACCGAAGTTTTTTCGATCAATCTCACAAAGGCGAGCTTGAGGATGGTAGTGAGTGGGCAATGACTATCGTAGATGTTTATTGTAAGTGACACTGCCACGTTTGACGATCACATTATCTAATGCGCATCATGTTCAGTTGCTGAGAAAGTGATACTTAAAATATCTTCTACGGACAATACCGTTGCTTCTGCACTTGTGCGTCAAGGTATTCTACCTTGCTCTCCATATCACCGGTGGTGGGTATAACTGCCGAAGCCCTTGAACTATATCGTGTCGCACACCTTAGGAGCCCTCATCTTTCGGTTCAAGCATTTGTGAAAACGATGTCTGATCTACATGGGGTGCGTTTTCTCACTTTTCAGCCTCTGTACTCACTGAACATATACAGATCGAATTTCACCGCCATTTGTCACGACAATTCTCTATTGCATTTGACTTATACCTCGAAATCAGACGATGTGTAGCCACCATGGTAGCAAAAGCACTCCAACGGGACTCGCCTGATTGGCGCGTCAAACACACGTGTCCGGCATGCTCATATATACTAGCTAACGAGGAACAGCTGACCTTCAAGATGTTGTACGCTATGGACTGGCAACGATTCATTGAAATGAGTACTTCAGGCGATCTCTGGATGATGACGACACTCTTGGTATATCGTCCGAACTCCCTACCGGTCAGATACACACCAGCGACCGCTACCTTTCTCGCACTTTCGTAGACCAATTTACACGGGACTTGCCACCTGCAACAGGTGACGAGGTGAGTCATCAATATACCTTAGGTAGCCATTATTAACCATTCGTCAGAGTACACCAGCGGATAACTTATGCGAAGGCCGTTGGAAAAACATGGACGATATGAAGACAATGAAGGCCTGGGGTATATATGATGAAACGGGTGTTTTCGTAGCTGTCTGCCGTCACAGGTTTTGTCTCCTCATTGCAGACATGGTGCAGAGCGGAGAACTGTAAGTAATGTACTTGTTTCTTCTTCTATTTTTGACTGATGCCCTCACAGCGCAAAGTATCCATTGGCCGTTGTGGCCAGGCTATTGGACGTTTTCGGTGACGGCTTAGGTGGTGGCTACGACATCGGGTGTCAATTCAAGGTTACCCTTGATAACAGTTCTCTTGGTCCGCTCGTACGTTCGCTAAATCACACTTGCTTGGTCGGAGCATTCCACGGACATGCGCACAGACGTTTGTGCCAGCTTTTTTCCCTCACAACCTACATTAAAGGCCTCGGAATTGAGGACCTCGAAACGTGCGAGCGCACTTTCTCAAAATCAAACGCCCTTGCATCATCTCTACGTTACGCCAGCGTGTTCCACCGCCAACAAGCCATCGACTCGTATTTCGAGCACAACGACGACTTTGAGGTATACGCAAATCTATGTAAGTACTTATTCTATCATACATACGCGAGCCCTGACAGTCATCACCCGTCCCCTAGCTAATTTTCTTCACAACAACTACAAACAAGCCCTGGATATATTAGCAAATGGCAATGCGGTGCTACCGAACATGATGCGAGATCTTGGAGTCGCAGATGACGGAGTGTTCGAACGTTGGTTGGACGAAGAAAAGGCCTATCTGAAAGGTTTGACGCATGAGCCCGAAGAAGAGACTTTGCAAATGGAATATTGGCAAAGGTTGGTCAACCTGAAGGCAAGCAGGTGAGTTTTTTTAACCATATGTATCTTGTGCTACTAAAGTCTCTATCATGAAGCATTGCTCTCGACGCTGCAACCGCTATGTTTTCAATGGATTCCCACCACGACATCGCATCTTATGACGCCCATGTTCGAACGACGCGCAAGGCTGAAAGTACACATCGTCATGTTGTCGAGGACTACGAGAGGAGCCTGAAGCTCGTGCAAGTACTAGAATGTAAACTGGAGGTTATCATGCGCTGGGTTCCTGATGATGCAGAGTGGCAGAAAGCAAGGACCCTTGTCGCTAACAGGAAGTACCAACGGGCAGTAGACCGTTTGGAGGGTTTGGTGGTGGCGCGCATTTTTGAACTTACCAAAATGAACAGGGCGGGAACAGGTAAGGGTCAGTTAAAGCCTCACTTGCCAGCGTTGATTATGTTGTTCAAGGTTATAGATTGCGCAAGCACATCGCTAAAGCATTACAGACGCGCTCGGTGGCTATCAGATCCGCACTCAACACTTATAACACCGTTGCCACTGCGATGTCCCCTCCCCGGCAAACACTCAAGTGGGAGGAGGTTGTCGATTACGCATTCCTATCTGACTTTGACCTGCTACGCAACACGCGTGCAGATGTTTCGCAAACCCCTTGGGCTACACCTGGAGCTCGTAGTGCAATGGACCTCTATTTTAAGATGTGCCGGGCACAGGAGGAGATTTCTCGTCTCAATGTTGAGATACGCCGTCTGGTCACATATATATGAGACGAGGACAACTATTTACGAACATGTGAGGATCAGCTTAAGTTTCGCAGCCCAGCTCTTGCACATCAACTCGCCATTCATCGCAACACTCGAGGCCGGTTCAATGCACGCCATTTGAAGAGGCTTCACAATATATCCACACTCCCTGGTTTCAGTGGGACATTGCTCCCTGGTCTCAGTGCGCGCATGGGTTCGGGAGAGAGCGCCAGTGCGCCGGACGTGATCCCTGTAGATGTGCTTACTGACAACATGCCCACAGATAACCCATCATCAGCTGTACTATGTGCCGATAGTTATGAAGATCTGGATGAGGAGGAGGAAGAGGAGGAGATGGCTGAGGAAGCATCCAGGAACTTGCAGGACGTCCTCCTCATCACTGATGATTTTGCACGGCTCGAGCTTAACGATAGCTTAATTGACTTGACATAATGTAGCAATTGACCATATGCGCAATGATGATTACTATGTTGAAAACGCGCCTTCGAAATGACGATGTTAACATGAGCTATGCGAGCTCGTTGTGTGAGACAGCGTCCACGAAAGTTCGGGTGGCGGGCGGACTTAGCCGAACATCAGTAATATTAACTACGTCAGCATTGAGTCCACGCTTGCTTACTCTACTATACAACATCATTAAAGGTCAGGCTTTATTGAATAGATATTGAAGGAGGCTTGCGGGTGCTGAATTTGCGTCGTTTTAGAGGTGCTAACCTTATCTATTAGCACTACTAATTACAGGGATTACGTGGGAGTCACAGGTGCTCGACTCCCTGTTTCGTATAGCTCATACATATTTAGGGTTTTTCTTACAAATCACCCTCCCGTTTGGCTCGCCTTCTCGATGAAGGACACTGTCCTTCTTTCAATGAGCCCCTTGATGTGAAGCACTATCATTGTTATTATATGGATCTGCTGTGGTGGACAGGCTTGGTCAACATATCCTTTCTCAGCTCGACCAACATGAATTGATACGACACGAACATAGAATTGAGTTGGTGATCAAAGCTCAGAACTTTGATGCTATGCGCCGGCATTTTCGAAAGAGGTTATCTTAGACTGTTTACATTGTTATCATGGGCTCAAGTGGACTGATCCTCCTGTTTGTATGGTCTGTTCTCGAAGACATCGTGAGTCCACAGAAGTTGTTGTTTCTTTGATGCCTGAAGCACCTTCACTAATAAATTTAGATGCTCTGCGCATTACAGATGCCTTTGTAATCCGAAAATGTATTGTGCAGTGCGTCTCACAGCTTTCACTTTCGAAAGCAGCAGAAATTCTTGATAGCTTGATGCTTGATAACAGGTATCGTTAAGAATTCTCGACTACAATGGATGTCTGTTCTGATTGTTTTGCTGCTCTATCGAAGGATGACCGTGCTCCCCGTTTCATGCTCGCGAACAACTTGTGGCAAATTTCTGACATATTTTGATGACCTTACTTGTGTTGAAGAGAACATCTGCACAATCATGATATACAGTACCACTGCTCATGTCACATGCTTATTCCAGTCGTCAGATCCATTGCAGCCAAAAGTCTTTCACAGTAATATTTGCGCTCATGATATGAATGTCGTATTGACTGCTTCTGTGTTGCCTCGGACTCCTGCAGATGTCAATGGGTTTTCCAGCATTGTCTTTGTTGGTCCTGGTAAATTCAAACCTGAACAAATGGGACCCATGTTTCGAGTGCGGAAGAATAAAATTTGGTCATTTCTTCTGGTTGAAGCATCACAATTGTCTGTATTCTGATATCCTACTCGAACCAAACAATCTAATGCTTTATCTCAGTGATGATGTGTTGCCTGGATAGTCTGATCATGTAGTTGAAAATAACGAGCTTGGTGTCTAGATAGTTTTTGAAGAGGAAACAGCTGGATTTCAGGAGCACCCAGCGGAGCTTCTGTTCGATGTTGAGTCCTAACATTCTGGTGGGACAATGCTTGAGAAAGCGAGCATTTCTGATCCAGAGTATGATAACATCAATGGACACACATTCATGGCTGCTGCACTCAGGAACCTGGTTTCTGCACATTTGACGCTGCCAAATCATATCTTAATGTCTTTATGTGGAGTCAGGGTTCTGGCGCAACCTAGCGCTGCTATGGGGTCCTACTTTGCATATTGAAATTCTGGCAGAGCTTGATTATGTAGTCATTCACTATATTAGGTACGTTCTTTCAGTGCTTTACCTCTTTCCTATTGTCTTACCCTTAATACCCTATACTTACGTGGATTCCAAGCTCATTCACTCATGTACTTAAATATAGCACTACTATGTACTTGTATACTTATCGTGATGTTCTTATTTATGTTGAGCGTTCGAGATGTGGTGCGTTATTTCCTAGATGGGATGAACTTGATTGAAATGAAAAGTTAGTCCATTATGCGTGAACAGTGACCGTATATCAAATTTCAGATTTGGCTTTCCTGTAAGTACCTCCACTGACTTGATGATCAGTGCTAACTACTTTCCCTATCATCGTTCTCGTTTGTTAGATGCCCAGCTGAATATTCCTTTGCAAATGTACCCAATGCTGCGAAGTTGGAGGTGACAGAGTGCCTAGTAACCCTGGTGGCAAACAACTGCCTGTCGCAATGAAGCATGTACATTTGTTGCAAGCTTCCAACATCGCTTCCTCACTTCATGAAGCTTCTGTGCTTCATCTTGCTTGTCAGACCTTAGAGCCCGGTGATTCGCATCACTTCACAGATTGTCAAGCATTGTTTTCCTCCCAACCTTTGGCTCACCCAACACATTCACCCACAACATCGACACCAGTGGATGACCTTGCCGCTGAACTATTCACGATCACCCTAAGCAACATTGAGGGTGACCCAGATAGTCACAGCAAATTCTGGGTCTCCTGATCAGAGGTTCAACGGGACAAGGGTAAAAGCTACTCTCTGGATGCTGCGGCCAATCTGGTGTCTGGACTCACTCCAGATGATACACAGTAAGCATCATATTAGACATCACCTTACATCGAGCCCTCTAATTGTTTCTTAGACATATTGCCCATGCTCTCCAGGCTGTTGAAGTGCGGTGCCAGTCAAGGGCTCAAGTAACTTTGAACATTGTAGAGTCACAGATTGCTAGAGCTCATACTCAAATTTTCTCCACGACTTCTTGCGATGTGCTATGTCTCATACGAGATGAGCTAGGTGGAATAACTACAACCCTCAGAAATGTCAAACACAAGGTCTCTTCCATCATTTCTCATAGAGGCCAGCTGGAAGCCTATGCAATGAAATGCATAGACTGCTCACCAACAAGGAAAATGACCTTCCTGTGTCATCTCAACCAGTCGAGTTTGATTCTTGTGAGTTCCATTCATTTCCTCCCAATGTTCCTCCAACTAATGTCCTATGAAGCACATCATTACAATTTACCAATCGACTACTGTGACAAGGTTGCCCAACTATCCCTCTTTTTAGGGGCAGTTTCTGTTGTCATCTTTGGTATTTGTTGTAGACACGGGGAGTTCTTCATGGGAGTTCTATCCTTAATTTTGAGTCTTGCGATGGATGCACAGGACCCTCATTCCGAGTCTCGTTGGCAAAATATCCTTGCTCAGATTCTGCAATCTATGGAAAGCACGCTTTCATGCTTCAAGCTCAATGACCAGACCACTACTTATGCAGTCTGTCTGGTGTGCAATTGTACTTACAAGCCGACGACCAACCTCAACACAAGTAACGCGTGATATCCCACAAATTGTTCCAACAAACCCATACCAGAAGGTAATCCTTGTGGCAAACCATTGCTGCAGCGCTCCGCTGATGGGCAATTCGAGCCAATAAAAACATTCCTTTATCACCACTTCCACAACTACCTTGCTGGATTGTTGTCTCATCCCGACTTGGAGGCCTTGATAGATAGGCCTTGTGATGATTTACTAGCCTCCATTGGGAGTACACCGCATATCATCAAGGATGTTTGGGACGCAAGTTTCTTTTGCACCTTCCAGGGTCTGTCCAGCCAGTCTCTATTTATCGACAGATGCGATGAAGGCCGATACACTTTCACACTCAATGTTGATTTCTTTAATGTCAAAGGCAATCGTCAATGAAATGCATCAACATCCACTGGCATCATCTCATGTCCATGTTTGAACCTCCCCCTCGATATCTGGTACAAACATGAGAACATGTGTTTAGCTGGTATCATCCCTGGACCTTCAGAACCTTCAGGAGACGAGTTGAATTTCTTTCTCAATCCTGTGGTTGATGATATGGTTGAAAGTTGGAAACACAGAATATGTTACAGCCGCACAGCTCTCAATGCTCGCGGCCGGGTTACATGCAGCACCATAGCATGTCTAGTATGTGATCTCCCGGCAGTGAGAAAGGCCGCTCAGCTAGCGGGTCCAACGAGCCATTTTTATTGCACTGCCTGCCATTGTTGGCACAGATCATCTTGCGGTCGAACAGACGTCCAGTCTGAAGATTGGAGACTTTGGGACAAGGACGAAGTGCGCCACCATGCTGAACTCTGGAAGAATGCCGGAACTTCTGCTGAATGCAACAAGTTGTTCACATCACATGGGGTGTGGTGGTCGACACTCTGGAGGTTATCATATTGGGATCCTTCTTGTCAAATCATCGTTGATGCTATGCATTGCCTGCTGGAGGGTCTCTTGCATGCTTATTTTCACAAATTTTTAGGCCTCACATCTGATTCCGCACATTGCAAGCCTGATGTTATCCCTGCTTTTACTTATCTCTTCCTTAACGTCGACCTCAACAAACCTCAAGACTTCCCAGAAAAAGACGTTAGAGCTGTCAAATCAATTCAGAGTCTCCTCACTGAAGCAGTCCCCAACCTTGAAGGGAATGACCCACAGCTTATCAAGGATCACCTCACACAGTTAGAGAGAAAATTGTTGAACAAGACAGTTGCATCCCTTCAGTTTGTGTCGGAAGGATTGGGCATCATGCCAGACATCCCTCATGCTGGCAAAAAAGTCTTCAAACCCTATTGGGTTAGATCGCTCATCAGTTGGGTGAGCATTTTATATTGTTGGTGTTATCATATGCACTTAAGTGCCTCTGTGTAGCGTCGAACTTAACCTTTCGCGCCTGAGCTGTCAAACTTGCGCATTGCTACCCCAGAGGTCATGTGATGCATTACTGATGTGATTAGGATGATGGATATGCCATCCTCAATAAGATCAGTCCCCGTAACTTCAGGGAAACAAAAGCTGGAACCTTGAAGGCCTATGAATGGTGCACGTTAATGACATTATACTTACCCATAGCTCTGGTTAGCTTGTGGGGCGAGGGATCTACTCACCGCACGTCAGAAATCGCAGTCAGTCGTCGTGCAATCCTTGATCATATGATGGCCCTCGTATCTGCCGTCCACATCGTGTGTCAACGATCTATGACAACCGCTCGAGTAGAAGCATACCATAAATGCATTATTGACTGGATGAGGGACCTGCAGGTGTTGCTTCCACATGGACCCCATCACATGAATGGCCATATGGCATTGCATATTTGTGACTACTTGCAGCTCTTTGGTCCGGTAAGGTCATGGTGGTGCTTCCCATACGAGCATCTCATTGGGCAGCTGCAACGGTTGCCCAACAATCACATTTTTGGTACGATTCTAACTTCTGTGTCAATAATTGACTTACGCTGCCTCACGCAGGTCAGCAAGAATCCACTCTGCTTCACTCATACATGAAGGCTGCAAAGCTTAGGTACTGGCTAAACTGACCTTCTTGTCCTCCCGTGTTTAGGGAGATGAAGTCTCTATTCAACAGACTTGTGTCTCCCTCAGTCGACGCTGATCCTATTTCTGTGTCCAAAGATCGCCCCCTTACACAACAAGTTATTCCAGATGACCTCCATCAACTAATCCAAGTTCGGCAGGCAATCTTGCATGCTCGCACATTCCATGAGGGATCCATCTATACCCGTGACTCCACCCATGTAGGCAACAGCCTGATCCTCTATTATTATGGCAGTATCAGGAACATGCCCCCAACACCAGGGATCATCCAGTACATTTTCAAGATGGAGCGAGTAGTGGGCTTTGCCATACAGTGTTACCTCCCTCTGCATTCTCACCTTGATTCTTTCAGACACTATCCTTACTTTCTGGCTCGTTTATATTCTACAGTGCTCATCAATCATCTCAGAACTATCAAGCCTGAGTGGGTAGTATCACACTTCGCACGATGGAATTTTTCTCCACAGCACATTGTTGCCGTGTCCTTGTGTCAAGTATGTCCCTCCCCATTTTTCACACGTCATATCTCACGATGTATAGGACTGAATTTCAAAACCCAGATAGTGGGGTTCTGAATCCAGAAAAATCCAAACTGAGTCTGAGTCATTCACTATAAGAGGCTCCAAATGTAGATTTTTTTTTCCCTTCTTCCCTCTTCGGAATATATCATCTGTTATTGCCGTTAGCCTATCTGTACATACATATTCATATCTCTTATACATATTGTCACACACATACCCTGTACATTTTACCCATGAACGTTACAGTGCCTGTCGAAGGTACCTCTACTGTAAAACCAGTTATGCATCCTATTGTGGATGGCCCCTATCTAGGTCCCAATGACGTCATTGATACTCCTATCAAATGGGACAGTTCTACCATGCTGCCCTTTACGACTCTTACATGATGCCGGCTCAAAACTATTAATGCTATGGGTAAAGAGATGAAAGGGTACTTTGTCGGCCCGATGCCAGTTAGGGACTTTCTCCAGGAATTCCTACCAACTTCTCAAATTCCCGATTATGATCCTTCATCCTTCACTTCAGCCTTCGCCGTTGGCACATTCAACGACACGATCTCTGTTAGAAATGAGAAACATGCTTACAAACCCTTCATGACTATATCCTCGCACATACATTATTGAGATTATTGATCGCCATTCCAGATTAATGCCATCACACCTTTCGCTCCTCAACTGTCGTTTGTCGACACTCACAAATACGAAGACATGAAAAACTGTTCGAAATTAAATTCAATGGTATTCAACATCAAGTCGGATGTCTGCATGTATCCCGATGGATGCAAACCTTCATCTCCCAACTGCGATGTTTCTGCCACAGAAATCATCATAGAATTCAAATGGTCACCCTCACACGATGCATTCCGTCACCCTGGAGCTGATAGCCTCGTGTCCCAGACGGAGAAGGGTATGGACACCCTGGGACAAATAACGAGTTATACTGCTGCTCAGCTCGGCACCCAGTTCCGTACCCACGTATTCTCTGTCCTAATCGTGCGTGATTGCGCTCGGATCACCAGATGGGATAGGGAAGGGGCTATCGTCACCAGCGCCATCAACTACAATAATGATCCAGACTTGGCTGACTTTTTCTATTGTTACGCACAGGCATCACCTAAAATGTGTGGTGTTGATACTTCCATCACACTTGCTGGCGACAAGGAGGCCGACCTCGCAAGGTCACAGCTAAATATCCCCAGTACCACTCATATGTTGAAAATCGATGTCCCTAATGTTGAGGGCTCTGGCTCGCTCACTTTGGTCCTTCCCCAACCTGTTATGAAATCTCACTCGCCTGTTGGCCGCTGGACACACGCATGTCCGGCATTCGATCTTGTCAACAAGAAGCTCGTGATGTTCAAGGACTCTTGGCGGGTATCATTACCCGATGTCTTACTGGAAGGCAAAACATACAAGTTATTGATGTCGCACAATGTTTCCCATATCCCAAAGTGTATCGCATATCATGATGTACCCCCCTCTATCGCTCAGCAATTCACTCAAACTACCAAGTTCAGCAGTGCTGAATGGGCACTTCCCCACTTACCTCTTACTCTGCATACTCATCACCATCTTGCCCTCGATATTGTGGGCAAAAAATTGACCGAGTTTGAGAGTTCTCATCAACTCGTTTCGTCTGTGTGTGATGCACTGATTGGTACGAGTTTTTTTAATCCTCACACAACTTATTCATGATCTATCAATGTAGCTCACAAGGATGCATTTGAACTTGCAAAGGTGCTCCATCGAGACCTTGGTGTTGGAAACATCGTCATCTACAAAGGGAAGGGCTACCTGATTGACTGGGACCTTGCAAAGTTGGTTAACATTCACGGTCCCCGACAAACGACACGCACAGTATGTTCACTCCACACACTTTAAATCTTGTACTAATTTTGCTATTACTAAGGGAACTTGGCAATTCATGTCTGTATACCTCGTCGAGCATAAATATGCTATATACTTGGTCAAGGATGACCTTGAGTCCAGTTTTTACATTGTTCTGTGGACGACTCTTAAGTACAAGGAGACATACATGGACATTGTTCGCCGGACATCACTCATAACACAGGTCTTCGAAACCAATCCCGGATCATCCTTGAAAGCAAATTGGCTCATTGGGAGAAGCAATCTTTCCAATCTTATGTATGTCGACTGCAAACCGCTCGACAATCTCGTCTATAGTGATGGACAGGTCCAGTTCAGTCCAGTTCTCAGGCAGAGAACCACAAACCTGACCATAGGTTCGGTTCTCCCAGTGAGCAGAACCATGGACTGGACCATCGGTTCAGTCCAATAATGGTCTGGTTCTGGTTCGGCAAGGGTTCGAACCGAGAACTGAACCATCCAAAATAATAAAAATTTCGTCAAGAAAAATCATATAAATGAAACATGCCTGACAACAGAAGTACCAATACTAAATGCTACTACTAGTACTAGACCAGTTCACCATCCTCATCATCTGTGTTGTCATGGAGTGCAGCAATCAACGAATCCAGATGTTGCTCAGCATCACTAGCAGCAGAGATGTGGCCATTGCGGTATGCACTCTTCAACAGTTGCAAGTTCTCGAATACATCCTTGTTGAGATGGTTCTGTCGTTTGGTTCCCGTTGGTCCACCACTTGAAAAGGCACACTCCGATGCTGTGCTACTACCCTGGATGGCTAAATAATCTCAGGCCATGAGTGAAAGTGTCGGAAATTGTGACTGATGGTGCTGTATGAAGTTGATGTAAATGAAATCGCAATGATGAGAAAAAAGACTTACACCCCACCAACCCACAACATCCTCTGTCTGCTCAAGAGGACTCTGGAGGTATGCAGTAAGTTCAGCACGAGGCCTAAGCTGGGTGCGATCAGATGCTTGATGTGCTTGTACAGCAGCAAGGACCCAGGAACGGCCATATTGCGCTTGCCCAGGTGGTGCTTGTTTGACGTCTGCATCCACAGGAGCTGAGACGGGGGCAATAGTATAGTACTCGTCAAACTATCGAAACATGTCAGCAAATATTGGCTTCAATGGTCAACAAATATTAAACATACCACTCATTCGAGATCTTTGAGACCGACTTTGAAGGATTCCATATCCCACTGATGCTCGGAATAGGCAACCTTGACATTAGGATCGAGTGCTAGACAAATAAAGTATGTGTTAGTAGCTTTTGTTTTGTCATACCACTTTGCAACATTGTTCAATCCCTTGAGAATAGCATCGCGGACTTGTGAGAATCGAGGAAGGGCTGCCATATTTTCCCAGGACTTCTGCAAAAACTCGAGGACTGGAATTGTCCACCAGACGGAAGGATTGGACGAATCAGAAAATGTTTGCGTGGCGCTCGCTGGTTCCTGTGCAAGTATTAGTAATAAGTACAGCTGGTAGAACTAGATACACATACCTGAAGAACTTCGTGCACCAATTTCAATTTCTCCCAGTCCTTTTTGTCAAGATGAAAGTCCGCATAACATTTGCCTTTGAGGCCAGGGACTTCCTCACTGTCGTCTGCGAGCTCGACAAAAAGATTGACACCCTATAAAGAACAATGAGCTCATGGACGTGCAACATATGAGAGACGTACCTTTTGAAGTAACAACATGCGGGTGATAAAACTGTGCATGGACGCCCACCGAGTCCGTATCCATTGTGTAAGCTCCAGAACAGGGACATCTGCTTGTTTACACGACTGTGCAAAGAATGTGTGGGCCTGAGGTGATGCACAGATCTATAAATAATAGTTAGTAGAATGTAAAAGTTGTCAGATGGAAGTCAACAAACCTGTTTCACAAGCGCAAGAGCCTTACCAATCGAGTCACTGACTCCGAATTCATCATCCTCGTCATCATCCTCTTCACATTCATCCGCTCCCTCATAATCAATCCCAACATCTAAAGCATCAAAATCGATATCTGAGTGTTTAACTGCCACCTTGATTTTCTTTAGAAGTGTGCAGCTGGATGTTGGTGAGACAGCCATGAGAAAATGTCCCGCAGCAAGGTTGATAGTGTGTTCCATGCATCTTTGGTATTGAGTGAGTGATGAATGCACCAAATGACGAGGCAAAATCATACCTGATGTGACCTTCTACTGGATCCCACCTCTGCACATCAGACTCGGACTTCTTGTTGGTGTTGATAGTGTCGGCGAACACCGCGAGGCATGTGTCGTTACTGGCAGCGTTATCACAGGAGAACCAACCAACCTTTTTGCGGAGACCATAGCGGTCAACAGTTTGTGTGAGCAAGTTGGCCATATTGGCTCCTGAATGCCATCCTTCCATTGGAGCAAAGGCAAGTTGTTCGGTTCAGAGTTTCCAGGCATTAGGACGTTCAGGTGGTGCATGTATATAATGACCAGTTACCGAAAGAAAAGGGTCACCAGGATCCGAAGTCCAAGCATCAAAGGTGAATGAGACTTTGCCAGGTATATCCTGCATCACACCATCAGGACTCAGGGCTCGTGAAATAATACAAGTACATACCTTGAGAATTTCCTTGACACGCACTTCAGTAGCTTTGGCTTTCTTGATGATTTCCTCGCAAAGGGCCTTTCGGTGCGGAATATCCTTGTCAGACAAGGTTGGTCAGACGTATGTCAGCAAGCACCGAAATGGTCCCTTGTCCACCAGTTGGAATGCCTGTATGATTTAGTTAGTCGCGCGTTGTTATTTGAACTATGAACAATTGAATTACCTTGTCTTCGCATACAACCAGCTCGACAATGTAGTCGAGAAGACCGCTGGTAGTGAAAACAGGTGCCCGAGGCTGATGAACTACAATGCCATCAAGACTTCCTTGACTGAATTACACAATGAGTATGTAGTAAGTAGATTACAGAATAAACTTACCTTTGGAGAGTCCCATCAGGCTTTGGACATGCTCGTGCGTGCATAGGAATTTGCAGATTCTTGCAGCATGCTTGATAAACAGCAAAGTGGTTGGGATGCCTACAACACCACTCCATCAGCAATAGTACTTAGTCAGCAAAGATACGGCACCCGCTTAGCGATATGGGTACGAAGTGTTGACATACCTCCTTTGAAGAAGCAATGGTGAGCTGGGACACCATTCTTTCTACAGAACCAAGTCAGGTATGTAAAGGCAATATTAGTATGATTGTTAAAACTCACTCGTAGATGGTGCAAACATGTCCAGACTCGGACCCGTCATCCTTTTTGACGAAGATGGTGCGAACGTCTGCAGTACGTTCGCTTTTGAGACGAGTCTTGCCTGCCTCACGATCCGCATCCCCCATAGCCTTAGTTTGTGCATACAAAGCCTCCGCACCATCCTCTGCCGCACCATCCTCTGTGCACTCTGCATCATCTTCACCATCCAAATTGCCTGCATCGTCACTAGAAGCACTGGAAGCTGGAATTACCTTGCGTGCAACTCGCCGGCTGGTCCCTGGACCACTGTCCACAGCCTTTCGCTTGCTCCAGGCTGAACTCGATGAGGCAACATTGTCAGGGTCGACAATTTGCGTCAAAGGTCTTGGTGCTCAAGCGCTACATTGAGCACCAGTAAAGAAATGGTGCACTGGGGCAGTAGATTTTTCGGTGGTGCGACCAGGGGCAGGTAGAGGGCACTTGTCATCTGGGTCGTTGTGCCACACGATTTCGGATGCATCTTTGAGATTGCCATCAGCGCCAACAGCACACTGGTCAGTCATGATTGTGGGCGGGAAACTGTGATCAAGCTCACCATAGAACTCATGCCCTCCAGCTTTGAGCCGGCGCCATGATTATTGATTGAAAAAATGTCAGTTTGTTTGATAAATAACCTTGAAACATTGATTGAGGATCTGAAGTGTCATCGTCAAGGCATCGGAGTCGCAGATGAGTCCATGATATCAACAATCTGTCAAAGTAAGTGCGGATCACTTGATCTATTCTTACTAATTCAAAGACTTACTACTAACGGTTCAAACAGGTTCGAACTGGTTCTGAACCAGTTCTGTAAGTCTGCATCGTCCTCGAATCGAGGACTGGACCAATGGTCCGGTTCCACCTGTTGCCCGAACCTCGAACTGGATGCTGGTCAGGTTCAGAAAGGTTCAGGTTCGAACCACGGTTCAGAACCGGTGTTACAATCACTTTACTTCTCACATAACTCCGTCATTATGTACCATTTCCCTTTTTCGCCTTGACTTCCCTTTCTTGATCTTACTTCCATATTTGACTCTTGTACTATTATCCCACCATAGCCTTGGTCCGTGCGCGTATAGTCTCCTATTTAAGCACGTGTCCTTTTACTTAGAACGTCACTTCAATCTTACTAGGTTTTACCCAGAACTTCCTTCGCTTAAGACCACCAATCTTAAGTCGTCTGAACCGATCTCTTGGTTAAAGCACTCCTTTAACTAAGTCTACGAACCTCTTCTTATTTGAAGAGCTTTACGAATCTCAGCAACACAAACGCTCTGTCGAGCCCTTGCTGTTAGAACTATCCTAGTTCGTAACAAAAGATTGAAGTCTACGAAAGACACCTATATCCATATGTGTCACAGAAACCCGAAACCGAAATGAACAGATCCTGACTGAGCAAGACAGCTAGTGCAGGCAAAAGAAAAGGCGACAATCTGACTTCACTCACCCCTACATTTCAAGCCTTGAACCTTGGTACCCCTGTACCACCATTGAACATGTTGACCTCATCTAAATCAACAGAATTCAAGATCAACCATCCTCCCACATTCGATGGCGACAGAGACAAGTCCAAGTCATTTATGCTCTCATGCAATGCTTACATTGATATCAACTCGGAAATCTACAAGACCGACACTCAGAAAGTAATCTTCATCTCTTCATTCATGAACGAAGGAAATGCTAGGTCTTGGAAGGAAGAATTTCTCGCCGACGCCCAATTCATTGACTCGACTAGGCAGAAGAAGGGCTATGGAACCCTGAAAGAATTTAACGAAAGCTTTGAAAAAGCCTTCGGACCAATCGACCCAGCTGGAACTGCGTTGGCACGACTCCTGGAGCTGAGACAAGGCCCGGAAGGCCTGCAAACGTACATTGCAGACTTCCAAAGGTTGCTTGCCCAAGCAAAAATCAAAGAAGAACATATGAAAATCTACCACTTTGAAAATGGTCTTAACAGAGGACTTCTGACCAAGATGTTCAACGCAGGAGGGATACCCAAGAACCTTGACGACTACATCACTGCAGTAGTCGATCTGGACAACTGTTACGCAAGATTGCAAGCTCGCAGGAACAGGCTTCCGTCGCGACAAATCCAGAAGAAGAACAGTCGCGGAGATCAAAGATTCATCCCTATCAGAGATAGGGACGCCATGGTTATTGATCAGATCACCGACGAAGCCAAACAAGAATACATGAAGACAGGAAAATGTTTCAACTGTCACCAGATCGGACATCGGGCGCGGGAATGCCCGCAGAAGAAGAAGACCCCCTACCCAGCGGTTAGGAAGGTAGAGGAAGAAGAAGAAGCCAGAAGGATTGACGAGGATTTTTAAACAGGAGACCTATATCGATGATAGCATCTCCAGAAGAACCTGTACGCCTAATACGAGCAGTGGGTGAAAAGAAAGAACTTCATGTTCCCATAACTCTTGTATTCCGAACGCGTCAGAAAAACGTCAAAACAACCGCAGTAATTGATTCCGGAGCTTCCAGAACCTATATCTCCGAGGACTTCGTGAAGAAGCATAATATCGGAACCAAGAAGCTCGAAAACCCCTTTTACATCAAAACAGCCGATGGAAGCTACTTCAGTAGCGGACCGGTAGAACGATATTGCACGCTAATTGTCCAAATCGACCAAAGGATGATGATAGGAAAATTCAACATCACCAAGTTAGGAAAAAAGGACCAGATCCTCTTAGGGATCCCCTGGCTCCGAGCCATGAATCCCGCCATAGACTGGACTAAACAAACAATATCCCTCCCTGCAACTGAAAAATCTACCGAGATAGAAAGATACGTCAAGCAGACCTCTCGACCGCAGAAAACCTTCTTCACAAAGAAATTCAATACAAAAGAAGATGTTTGGAGTACGTCACCATTATCTTTAACCGAACTTACGGACGGTGGGTAATACCTCCGACAAGTCGAAGAGACGTCCAAGTTTAGTAACAAGGCACAGGAGTTCGCCTCAGAAGAAAAAGAAAAGAAGAAGAAAACCTTTGAAGAACTGGTACCGGAATATCTCCACGACTTCTCAGACGTATTTGCAAAAAACGGCTTAAAAGAACTACCCCCCGAAAGACCTGGCATCGACCATCGTATCGAAACGAAACCTGGATTCATCCCCAAGACGTCTAAAATCTACCCCCTTTCCTATAATGAACGAATTGCGGTAAAAAGATTTATCGAAGAAAACCTTGCCAAAGGATTCATCACGAAATCCAAATCCCCTCAAGCAAGCGGGTTCTTTTTCGTAGGAAAGAAAAGCGGAGAACTCAGACCATGCCAGGACTATCGCTTTTTAAACGACCAAACTGTCAAAAACGCGTACCCCCTGCCACTTCCATCGTCATTGGTTGAACGGTTACACAGTGCCAAGATATTCACCAAAATCGACATCCGATCCGGATACAATAACATTCGGATTCATCCGGATGACAGATGGAAAGCTGTGTTCATTACGGAAGAAGGACTCTTCGAACCCACGGTCATGTTCTTTGGATTATGCAATTCTCCCGCTACCTTCCAAGCATATATGAATGACACATTCAGAATGGAACTCAACAAAGGATGGCTTGTCATTTATATGGATGACATGCTCATCTTCTCCGATACAGTCGCCGAACACCAACAACGAACTCGCATTGTTCTAGACAAACTTCGAAGAGAGAGGTTATTTGTCAAACCGGAGAAGTGCACGTTTGGTGCGGAAGAAGTGGAATACCTTGGAATGATCATCAAACCAGGAAGCGTAGAGATGGATAAAGGGAAAACGACCGGCATCAAGGATTGGCCCATCCCTAAAATGGTTAAAGATGTTCGGTCCTTCTTAGGTTTTTGCAACTTCTATCGAACCTTTGTCTCCCATTACTCAGATATAGCTCGACCCCTTATCGACTTGACAAAGAAGGATGTCCCATTCTCTTGGATGCCCCTGTGTCAACAAATGTTCGAAAAACTGAAGGAATGCTTTAGTTCACACCCTGTTCTTCAGAACCCCGATCCCTGCCATCAATTTGCCATCGCTACAGATGCTTCTCTTGTAGCATCAGGAGGGGTATTACTGCAAACAGACACCAACGGCATTTATCACCCATGTGCCTACCTATCACAGTCATTCAGCCCCACTGAGAGAAATTACCCCATTCATGATCGCAAATTGCTAGCTATCATCCGCGCTCTTCCCCATTGGCGACACTACCTCGAAGGTCATCCACAACCGGTCATCGTATTCACAGATCATATGAACCTCCTCTATTTTACGAAAGCAGAACACCTATCCAGGAGGCAAGCCCGATGGCAACTGCTCCTAACTTCTTTCGACTTGAAACTATATCACGTCCCCGGTTCAAAATTAGCAGTTCCAGATGCCCTTTCTCACCGACCAGATCATGGCGACGGTTCTGCAGATAATGCCGACGCCGTCCTCTTGCTGGATTCCATGTTTATCCACCTGATCGACGATGAATTACGGACAGCTATTGCTTCCACTGCGGCCCTCGATGATCCCCTATTCTCCGCCACGCAAGATGCTCTTAATGGCCTATGTCTACCTCCCATGAAATCCTTGCTTAGCGACTGGTGCATCACTGATAATGTTCTGTTCTACAAAAACAGAGCTTATATTCCTCCCGCCCAACGACCACACTTATTGCGGAAACACCATGACCACCCTTCTGCCGGGCATCCCGGGCATTTTAAAACTGAAGAACTCGTCAAAAGGGAAGCCTGGTGGCCCAGTATGGGTACCTATATCCGGAATTATGTTGATGGCTGCGCCACCTGCCAGCAGATGAAGGTGGACACTCACCCTGTAACCCCTCCCCTGCACCCTATCAGTACCATGGCTAGTCGCTCCTTTTCGCAGATCTCCGTCGATCTCATTACTGATCTCCCCGTCTCATCTGGCTTTGATAGTATCATGGTTGTGGTAGACCATGGGCTTAGTAAGGGGGTGATCATTACTCCTTGCCACAAAATGATTACCTCAGAAGGAGTAGCGAAGCTATTTCTAAAACACGTTTTCAAGAGATTTGGTCTCCATGACAAAGTAATCTCCGATCGTGGACCCCAGTTCTTATCAAAATTCTCGATCGAACTCGCACGACTCCTCGATTACTCCTTAGCTCCCTCTACCGCCTACCACCCACAGACTGACGGACAAACTGAACGACTGAACCAGGAACTTGAAACATACCTTCAGATGTATTGCCAGAACAATCCCTCTGAATGGGTTGAGCACCTCCCTATGGCAGAATTCGTTCACAACCACAGAAGACACTCCGCAAAAGACGCATCTCCCTTCTTTATAATGATGGGATATGAACCAAAAGCTCTCCCACACTTACTTCCAGAATCAGACGTCCCCGCTGCTGCGGAATGAGTCAGAATTCTTCAAAAGATAAGAGAAGAAGCCGTCTCCTGCCATAACATCACTATGCAGCGCATGGCAGAAAGATCCTTTGGACAGAAGTACCAACCATGGAAGGTTGGAGATAAGGTATGGCTATCCGCTGCCAATCTTAGACTAAAACTCCCATCCCAGAAACTGGCACCCAAAAGATACGGCCCGTTCACTATCATGGCTGTACTATCTCCTATCACGTTTACGCTCCAATTACCGCCGCAATGGAAGATCCACCCCACGTTCCACACTTCGCAATTATCCTCCTATCGCGAAAATGACGTACACGGTCCGAACTTCCTAGAACCACCACCTGATGTTCTAGAAGAAGAAGAATATGAAATAGAAGCAATTCTCGTGCATAAAGGAACTGGGAGTCGTCGGCGATATCTAGTATCTTGGAAAGGGTATTCTTCCGCCAGCAATGAGTGGATCCCTGAAAAGAACTTGGAAAATGCCGAGGAGACCCTTAGAACCTATAAAGCCAGAAACGCGCTTTGAGATTGCTCAGTACCTCGACGACTTCGTTCTCACCCAGATACAAGACCTACAACCAATATGCCTTTCCCCACATCCACCTACACGCTCCCCTACCACTCCACCTTCGATGCCACCCCCCTTGACTCCAATGACGAACGATACGAAACCTTCATCACTCAAGCCGAAGACCTCACCCTTATCGAGGCTGCACTCCTCTGCCCCCAGCATGCCATCGAGCTCACTAGAGTCCTCTTTGGAAGAAACGCCCATTCCATCAACCTCCTTATCAACATCATCCGAGCCACTGAGATCATCGAGTGAGTCTGTCGCCTCGTCGAAGACAACACAGTTCGCCACAGTCTCATGCATATGCAGAGGCACATACGCAACTTTGCTTTGCGCCTTATTCCTGAGGAAGTTAAAGATGATATTAGAACAGTCATCCACATCGTCGCAGAACAGACCGCAGGGGTTGCTCGCCCACCTTCTCCTACGAACCCCACAACCACAGATGGAGTCCCTCCTCCCTCTTATCAAGACGCCGTACCTACTTTGCCCTCTAACATTCCTAATGAGCTACTGGCTGCGGTCAATAATCTTGCGCAGACAACAGAAGCAATAATGGCTTCCCTTAGAGAGGAAAACCCTCAAGCAATTCCCGTTCCTGCTCCCACCATAGAAACTATTGAACACCCTCCCCATCTTTACACCGCGTTTTCTGCTACCCACGAAGAAGTCGCTGCCGATCCAAATCACCAGCATCTTTCTCACTACGAAGTACAGGACCTAGCCAATGCGTTGGCCACACTCCATATTCATCCCCCACTCGTCATCCCAGACTCACTATCTTCTCACACCTTTACGGATGGGATCGTACCTATACAAGCATTGGGAAGAACCCAACCTGCCACTCCTGCTGAGCTAATCGCGGAGGCAGAGCGACAAGATGTCGCCATCACACATCCAGTACGACGAACCATTCCATCCAGAAGAAGAGTACGAGGTCAGCGTCCCCATACAGATAAAGGAAAGAAACGCGCTACTAGCGCAGACGAGGCACTTAGCCCCAAACCAGGCCCATCACCCCTACGAGCAACTTCCTCCAACCCCGACGAGAATCGCGTCTGTAGGTACTGCAAGACGCTCGGGCATAGGCAAGTTCACTGTCCCAAATATTACTACCACGTCTGTCGGGAATTATCCCCAGGCCACCTTTCATTCTATTGCCCACACTACACTGGGGAACTCCCCACTTCTTTAACCTGGAAAGATGAAGGATTCTACCGGGTACTCGCACTCTGGGAGAACGATATGGATGACGCATATGCCGCCCAATGCAGGGAAGAAGAAGCGCTCTACGAGCTGGAACGCATGAGGGGTGGACCAGACGACGGTCTAGATGCCTTAGAGTATTCTGACGACCCTATCTATTATGCTAACCAGGATGATTGAATCCGGTGGCTTCAACTCTAGTAAGGGGGTAATGTTACAATCACTTTACTTCTCACATAACTCCGTCATTATGTACCATTTCCCTTTTTCGCCTTGACTTCCCTTTCTTGATCTTACTTCCATATTTGACTCTTGTACTATTATCCCACCATAGCCTTGGTCCGTGCGCGTATAGTCTCCTATTTAAGCACGTGTCCTTTTACTTAGAACGTCACTTCAATCTTACTAGGTTTTACCCAGAACTTCCTTCGCTTAAGACCACCAATCTTAAGTCGTCTGAACCGATCTCTTAGTTAAAGCACTCCTTTAACTAAGTCTACGAACCTCTTCTTATTTGAAGAGCTTTACGAATCTCAGCAACACGAACGCTCTGTCGAGCCCTTGCTGTTAGAACTATCCTAGTTTGTAACAACCGGACCTGGCCACCACTACTTGTCCATGCACTTGCTGAGTTCTTCTCGCATCAGTACACGCGGATCACTGAGCATCAGCAGACAGTATTTAATAAATTCCGGCTCGCATATGAGAAAGCGATGCGAGAAGTCCCTGTCGTACAAGATTTGTTGACGGTCATGAAGTCCCAGTCTGTTACGCACTCAAATAGATCTGTTATACGGAGCCCTAAGAGGGGCGTCGTCCGCTAACGTTCGTGACGTAACCGGAAGGGTCCGGTGTAGCGACTGAGACTGGCGACGTCGAGTCGGCAGATATCAGAGACGCGCGTGTCACGTGACTTCTAAGACGGATGTCTTCAAAGTCACTGACAATCTCAAAGTAAGGACAGTCTTGTCCGAACGATGAGTAGTCGATCGAGGTAGACTTAGGCGCGATGAGCACCTAAGAAAAGATACTAGAGACTGAAGCTGAGGGGGCTTCAGAGGGAAGTATGTTCGAGGGAAGATTGAGTAGATTCAAGTTAGGGAATCTAGTACAGAGTGACCGACTACTTATACTAAGTGGAAAGGGTTAAGGGCAAGGCTACCGTACTGTAGGTAAGGGCAAAGGGGAAACGGAAAGGGTATAGGTACGATGGTGGCAGAGCCTGATTAATGATGTAAGGTCGAATGTGGAATGAGACCGAGAAACGTTGGAACGAGCCAACGGTAAATGATACAATGTGCATCATGCACAAGTCAAAGGAAAGATAAGACAAGATAAGGAAAGCCACATTGGTGGCATGAGTCAGAACGAGTCATAGCCCGAAGGCACGTGCGCACGTTGGTGCGATAGGAGGGGGATGAGGGACGGGAACGGTCCCGAGGATCCGGTCAACGGATAGTCGGTAGAGAAGTGCGAGCCGGAGGCATACGAGGGCGAGGACGAAGGGGAAAAATGATAGGGGGGCCATGTAGCCGATGTTACTTGTAACAGTCATTATTTGCCTCAGGAGTAGAAGTCACACTGTCTGGCAAGCGGCATAGGCTAGATAATGCAGACGGTGATGACCTCAGCTCGGTAGCTGACCTGGATGCACTTACGTCCCTTACTTAACTATGCCAGGTACTACCGTATTCTAGTTGTTCACGAGTTTACAATGTAGTGCATTTCCACTGACAAATGTGAATGCCTGATGCAAAGTACCCAACACCAACGAGTGCCCGATGAGTGCCCACATCATTTTTCTCGTGCTAAAAGTTCACATTTTATGTACCCCATTTTAACTTGCAAAAAAATTGATTATTCTGCAATCGGAAAATGTCCCTAGTTACATGATATTCTGAGGAGAACTTTCCTGCGCTCAAAATGGTACATAAAATGTAGAATTTTGCCTGGGATTTTGGTGCACATCCAAATTTTTTATCTTTACTGGGTCAAAATGTATTGTAAAAACGCCAACTTTATCACTGACATTTTGAAACCAATCTCACATAGTGGAAAACTCCCAAACCGCCCGTGTGTCAGGCTGCCTGTAACGGTAAGTACTGACTAATCAGGCTATCGCACTGAGTCACAGGGAAGCGTTGGCCTTGGCAACACCCTGATTGTCACACACCTCCCCAAGGCCGCATTCTCCCAACTCAATCTGTTCAGAATCAGATCCATGAGTTAGCCAAGACCCTTCCGCCTCTAAGGAAGCAAAGACACCGCGTGTGATGCCTGCAGGTTTGCGCAGCATGCTGGTGATCGAGTGTGCTTGACACGCGCATGTTTGAAATGAGCAAAAGTATGGTCATTAGGTCTGCTTTCAGGCTTTCGGAGACAGAGTCAAACACTGGTGCGTACTCCACAGTGATGGAGTGTTCACTCATTCCATCAGCCACACGTCTTTAGGCTGACAGTGAACAAGCCATGGTGTGTCTCAATTCTGGGGTATGGAAAGGTATCTTCGCGCCAGGACGATCAAGCGACCGAGAACGATCACCCGAAGGCGACTCCTCCACCGAACCGTGGATGTACGTCTACCACTTGTATCTGTCTGCACGCAATTAGCTTGCTAATTCCACACACCCCACAGAGTTGGCCACAGCGTCATTTTATCGCACGCATATGCAGTCAGACTTTATCGCGAGGAGTTCAAGGCCGCGCAGGGTGGTCAGATCGGAATCATGCTCAATGGTGACTGGACCATGCCATACCACGACAGTCCACAGAGTAAGTGCAATTTCTGGTTTGCTGATACGATGATGATGAACGGATATTGATGACACGCGTCCGTGATTTTAGATGTGGAAGTGGCACAGTACGCCCTTGACGTAGTTATTGGTAAGTTCGGTCCGTGCCTGCAGCATCCGGTCTGCTCTGACGGTCGGTTGATAGGATGGTTCGCTGTAAGCTTCAAGTCGTATGCTCTGTCGAGTTGGCAAATAAAACAAATACTATTTGCCAGGATCCGATCTATCTCGGTCATTACCCGGAATTCATGAAACAGATGCTCCAGGAGCGTCTGCCGGCGTTTACACCGGAAGAATTGAAAGTCGTGAATGGATCCTCTGATTTCTATGGCATGAACACCTACACCACCCACTTGTGCAGTGCGTTCATTTTATCCGCTTTAACCCTCATGCGCCTGAACTGTCATTACAGGAGCCGGCGGCGATGATGAATTCCAAGGTTTCGTCGAGTATACTTTCATCCGTCCTGACGGCACTCAATTAGGTACCCAAGTTACTTGTCTCCTGCCTTCTAGCATTGGAATCAGTAATTCACGGCGATGTTGCAGCGCACTGTGCCTGGTTGCAGGACTGTAAGTTACGAGATAATATGAATATGAGACATACATGCCTATTATACTCCAGACCCCGAAGGATTTCGCGATGTGAGTAAAATAGTTAGTATGAGAGAAACATGCCTGACACCTTCGGTTCCTTCACTCAAAATAGTTGCTTAATTACATTTGGAAGGTTTGCCCACCAGTTCATAATGTACACGCATCAAGGTTACTGACGGGCATTAACAGAGATATAAACTACACATCTAGTGAGTCATTCCGAGGCAGCAGTTGGGGCGATGCGCTGACCTTGACTTCAGCGTCACTGAAAATGGATTCGCTGTCAAAGATGAGAGTTCGAAGCCGATTGAGGAGGCATTGCAGGACAACGCCCGTGTGAACTACTTCAAGGGTAACACCGCTTCTCTCAAGGCTGCTGTGCTTGAGGATGGCGTCGATGTCAGAGCCTATTTCCCGTGGAGTGTGTATTCTTATCATCCGCGATCAACTTTTCTAATCTTATACCTTCCTTCCTTCCTTCCTTCCTTCCTAGGCTTTCTGGATAACTTTGAGTGGTGAGGCAGAAAGAATGATGATATCCCCCTTCGCTTATGTTCCTCCCAGGGCGGATGGATACATCACACGATTTGGCGTAACATACGTCGATTATGATACCCAACAGCGATATCCCAAAGAGTCTGCAAAATTCCTCGTTAAGGTTAGTTTGCCATGAAGAGTGAAGGTCAGAGATGCTTACGCACCTCTGCAGTAGTTTGGGGATAACGTCGACGCGGGCGGCAGATAGAAGAACTGTTTCTTTCCCCCGAGCATCGTTGGAGGACTGGTGTGTGATCGATTGTACCTATAAGTTAGTGAAGTATCTCAGGGGAATTTAACTCGCTGCTCTTGCTTTATGTATCTATTTTGCCAGTTGTTTAGTATTTTACATAGCGTGACTGCCACTCAATGAGTCTTTGTACTGTGTTCCTCGTGTATCAAGCGAGCGAGGTGTTTGGGGTCCGCCGCGGCATGCTGTAGGTCCTTGTGAGCAGGCGATACGTTGCAATGTTATACGCTTCCAAAATCGTGTGATCAGGCTCAGAAACCTAGAAACTCCACCTACGAGCCAACGACTAGAATATTATTACTCGATTTTCATTCGATCTTTCCTTGGTTGGTATACTTTGGATTAATCTATCCCACACACACCATGACAAACTATGCTGTTACCGCCCATCCATATGCCGGCCCAGCAGTGGATCCTTCTGGTCACCATGAGCCAGAATCGACTTCCCATACACCAGAGGCCGACGATCCTTCAAAGAAAAGAAAGACTATGAAACGAAGAAAGGTCAACCACGCGTGCCTCTATTGTCGACGTAGTCATATGACTTGCGACGAAGGCAGACACTGCTAACGCTGGTGAGCACCCTCGAACATACTTGATACATACACGGTTGCATGTGCTGATGTTTGTAGTATCAAGCGCGAGATTGGTCATCTTTGCCATGACGAGCAGCGACCACCGAAGACTGGTGGGAAGCAGGGTTCTGATGCTGTTCCAACTACTTCGTCAAACGGTGTTGATCCTGCAAGGTCGATGGCTCGTGCGTATATCATGATTCTATATTCCCCGTGCTGAGAGCGATCTACGCAGAGCCTATGTATGGTTCAACAATGCCTCCTCCTCCAGCTACCACCGCATGGCCAATGAGTGTTCCTTCTGGCGCATTTCTGTATCAGCCCGAAACCTTAGGGAACGAATTTTTAGTCCTCACGTATGTCGTTTTATGGTCACTCCACCATGCGCCCCACTTAGTTGCTGCAGTGACTTCTTAGAAACCCTAGACGAGGGATCTTTCTTCACTACATCCCCAGCAGTGAATCGTTCTCTCCCCGTTCCGCACGATAGCTAGCGTTGTGTCTCCCTCCTGCGTTTTCTCAACCAATGTCACGTGACGTACGATTGGTCTTGCAAATGGTCTTCACTTGCACGACCATTTTGGCGTCACGTGAGACCAAAAATGGTCCATCCCTTCGAAGTTCGCATGGCGAAGTTGCTGGTTGCCGTTTAGCACGTGACAAATCGGTGGGCAACTCCAATAGTACGCAGCACTAGAAGTTCAACTTTATGTTCTCGCCATCATCGTGTTCGATAGCCTGTCACTTTTTTTAAGTCCTATAGCTTCTAATTCTTCTCCAACATGACAGACAAGACATCTCTGAAGCCAGCGCTTGCAGTTCTAGAGTATGGGCAATCTGACGAGCTCCAGACTCCATCGTCAATCACTGCGGTAACAGATCAAGATAACCTAGAGGAAGGAGAGATTTCCGAGGAAGACACATCAAGTACCGCTTCAACTTCTCCCGGAATCGGGGGCCAGCTGTTGAATATATCAAGTGGCACAAGTCATTCCTCTGACTCTGCTCAGAGCTCCCGTTTACCTTCTCCCTCAATCACTGCCTGCGGCTTGACCGCCACATCAACAACACCACAACGTCCGGATATGGGACCTAGTATGTCAACACTTCTATTCCTCTGTACAATGTAAATGTCGACTGAAACTTTCCTCACAGTGACTCGCCAAGACCTGGATCACACTAAGAACATCGTACTTGATCTCCTAGGCTGGGGCGTTTCTCCTGAATATCTGATCAAGGCTGGTGTGTCGGCGGGTGTAATATACAGGGTGTTTACCGATCTCAATCTCCGTCTTCCTACAAATCTTGTTCTTCCTCCCACTCAGCCCTTGCCACCGCCTTCTGGTATACGATAAGCGTCTGTTTCTTCACTGTTGGACATTCCGCGTTTTGTAATCGCTATGTCGCCTCTGTTTTCGATACTTTTTTCTCAGCATATCGAACCATTCGTTTTTTGAGTTTTGCGCAGGAAGTCTGGATCCCCTGGTTTAATTGTGGAGTTGATTTCACTGTGGGCTATCGTCATAATAATCCCTGAGGTGTGCAAATTGTGTTTGAAGATCTCCATCACTCAATTTGCACCCACAGGTGGTTTTGACCTGGTCGCATCAGTAGGGTTAATTGTTCAATGCTGCCTGCACTTATATGCATCCCACTACTCGTCTCACCACAATATCGCAAAAACTTACAAACTACGAACCAATCTTGCCTAGTTCGCTTTACCCTTTCCATCAGGGTGCCATTGTCGACTTGTGACGTAGCTTAAAATTCCTGAAAGTCTTTCCATACCATCACGCATTCTAATTAGTACTATCCCTTCCGGTGCAATCGGCACCCCACAGAAGTCGGCAGTCACGCTTTTTCGCAGGGTTTAATGTGACGAAATGTGACCAATTGTAACAAAAGCATAACGTTTTCCTGCCAAAATGTGTGACCTGCCGACTTCCCTAGGGTGCCGATTGCACCGGAAGGGATAGTAGGGACATAGCAAACATATAGCATCCGAAACTACACGACATCAAAATACATACATGTGTATGGCGCAAAGAAACGGTTGCCGTCGATAACAAATCCCATAATTACATGCCGATTGTTTTGTACATCATATACTTCCGCGACTTTTCCGTGCCACATGCCCATCTAGGACTGGCTGATGAGTTTCTCGAGATCAATGAGTTCGCCACCACTAGTCAAGGCAGCCTGAATAACCGCAACATCCTTCAGTGCACCAAGGGGGCTGCCAAGGCCATCATCTTTTCCATCTATAGCGGCAAAGAAGCTGATGTACTTATCCAGCACTCCTACTTATTTGTGCTTATTAAGTCATTTAAGTACATAAAGTAAATGTGAGAATTTCCTGATGACGACACTAACATGTGTGGGAACAGGTGTCCCTCAGGTGCGTCCGACTCCAACAATATATGCTTTAAATACCATTCTCATTTGTTCACCGGTTCACTGATGGCACACGTTGAGGTTTGACGCTGGCGTGAATCATGCTCTCGACCTTCGGACTGATTTCTTCACTCAGTCAATTGTACACAACATTGTCGAGAGTGGGAACACGAAGAAACACTATCTACTTGCAAAGAATGTGCTAATATTTGATGAGTTGCTACTGTAAACATCGTCCAAGAGCCAACCGAAGGGGTGTCCTTGTATATAGGAAAGTCACGGTAGGACGTTCGAATGCGCAGAAACTTATGGTTCAGCACTACCTTTCATCATCGGTCGACAGAAACATGCATCTGAGATTGCCTCATGTATGTACAAGTACAATTGTAATGATTGAGAATGAGTCCATGGGGCTCGAGTTCAAGTGCAGTTCAGGTGCTCCTCGGAAGTGGGGTCTCTGCATACAGCGCCTTCATGGCCGCTGGAGGATAACGATCCCCAACCACCCAATCAGCCTTCTTCGCAATAACACGTACTTCCTGGACTGATTCAGGACTCAACGACACGTTGACAGCACCGAGGTTCTCCTCGAGATACTGTGCCAGTCAAAACCATGAATACCCAAGGCTATATAGCTACTGACCTTGACCTTTGTACCGGGAATGGGGATGACATCTTCACCTTGGGGAAGAAGCCAAGCCAACGCGACCTGTCCAGCGGTAGCATTATATTGCTCGCCTACTCTCGTGAGGTCGTCTGCCAGTTTTAAGATGTTCGGGAAGTCTTCTTTTGCGTATCTAACCAAGTACAGTTCACGTGAGCCCCTACCAGACAATGACATGACACGTACCTGGGAATCATCCCCCTGAAGTCATTGGTTTCGAAGTCATCTGAAAATTTCTTTTCGTCCGGTGAGCATCCAAATCAGTTTTACTGGTCTGCGATACTTACATACTGTCTCGTGATCAAACCACGCCCAAGAGGCGAGTAGGCGATGATTTTGATTCCAAGTTCGCGAGCCGTATTCAAAATATTGAGCTTTGAGTCCTCAGTGCCGAGTGTGAAAGGCGAATGCCCCACTTGGACGGTAGCGATAGGGTGCACTTTGTGAGCACGGCGCAAGGTATCCACAGTGCATTCTGACAGCCCAAGATATTTCACTTTCCCCTGTCTTTCCAGCGATGACGACAGTTTCCTAATTGATTCAGAGGGTCCACATACAGAGACGTACTTCAATAGGTGTTTGGTGATCAGGTCTGCATGACGATGATAATGAAGTTTGAGTGACCTGTTGACACGCTAGGCGCACCTGTGCAAATAGTAAATATCGATCTTGTCAACGCCAAGCAACCTTGGTGATTTCGCAAATGACTCGTGGACATATTTTGGAGACCCATCAACGTCTCTACCGTCAGATCCACTGACGATGATACGGAATTTGGTAAGAAATATTTTGCTACGCTTTTCGGGGTTCAGCTTGAACCTGCGCTCCTGAATTGTGAGGGCCTAATAGTACTGTCACAGTACAGTATGACGTACCATTTGCCAATGATCTCTTCGCTGTCTCCATAGACATCGGGAGTGTCCCAGAAAGTACAACCGAGCTCATACGCATTATCCAGAACCTAGAAGGGACGGTCATGGATTAATGTAGCGTACAGGCTGCAGGCTGCGGGCTGCTCACGCCTCACCTTGAAGCGCTCCCCATCTGAACCAGTCTGACCGCAATACGCTCCCATGCCCATGGCGCCAAACCACAGGTAGGATATGCCAGTCAACTGTCCGACGAAACATCTAAATTCGGTCCAAGCAATTGTGCTTCTGAGTCCACGACCTTTGTGGAAAAGCGGAGGACAATATGCAGCCAGTTATGAAGATTAGTGATTAACTGTTGAAGAGATCGCTGTGCGAATGCGCCAATCGCATGTACAGGGCCTGAGGAGTGAAATGAGCTTTGAGTATATTTACGATAGTAGATAACATTGCCGTCGAACTTCTCTTGCCTGCATTTGCCTCGTCCCTCCTCCGAGCCGCGGCCATATCTGTTCGACTTGTAGCACCCGAGCCACTGCTTGCCTAGTACAGCCCCGGATGCAGCGAGCAAGCTCATGGATAAGCTTGAATATGCGACCAATTGGATCCTCACAGCCGACGCAGATGGCGACCACGTAGATTCTGTGTCTGCGGGAGCGGTGCCCGCCTCAGCGAGGTTGTCGAGTCCGATCTGCACGAGTTGCTTCAAAAGGGCATTCGTCGTGTCGCTGGGGTCGGAACTGAGATTAGACTCCATCGCAACGATGAAACCCGTGCTGACAGCTGAGAAAAGACCAGACTGATCAAACATCAGTCTCAATGCGCCGAAGATAAGAACGCTAAACTTACGAAAATGAAGACGATGTCCATCTCAGTAGTGTATTGCTCAAGGAACTCGCCGTCGTGTTCCTCTGCGACTCGTTTGTACACCCCCAGAAACGAGACCGTTTGTCCTTTCCGATCTTTGGCGCAATCGTGGAGTCCTGGAGAATGTCCAATACTTGCTTCATCACATTTGCTCTGCGTGTACAGTGTCGTCAGTTGCGATCGCTTGACTTATTTTTTTCGCTCACAATTCGCTTAGAGTGGGCTGGTCCTTGTCCGCCACGACCTTTCCCCCTCGCTGAGACAATTCAGGGGCATGTTTGACGCCATTGTCGACAAGAACTCACGGAACTAAATCGGCGACTGGTGGAACATTGGGTGTGCTTCCTTGTATGTGAGGTTCTGACGGCTGTGAAGGCCCAGCATTCGAGCTGCAGTTCTGGTAAGGAACGGCGCAGACGCCCATCAGGGAAGAGAGACCCTTACATCTCTGCCAGTGGTGGCAGCTTCGTCAAAGGAACAGATATCTTCTCCCTGTCTTGCTGTTAGATGGGTGACAGATTCCAGGAAGCTGCAACTTACTCTTCGATGGGTCCTATGGCGTCAATTTGCGGGGGAGGCTGCTCAGCGTTGTGACTGAGCTGATCCTCGGCGTCGTCCGTGCTTGATACTTGTGACATGAATAGGTTATACTTATATTGGATCCCAAGTAAAGCTAGCGAAATTGGGAAGGGTCTCAGGTGCGCAGACAGAGCAGAGTGGTGGTACGCAACAAGTCAGGCTACGAACATGATGGAACACGTGCTCGCGCGCGTTGACGCCGAGAGTACTTGTGAGCGCTCCCAATCAAGTGAACTGCGAGACTAGTCTCCCTTACTTACCAACATGATGGTGATGGGTTGCGGCTATTGTATTTGGTCACATGTTTACTTTGACAATTATGCCGCTCCATTCTGATATAGTGAATAATGGACGGGTCACAGACATAAATCAAGAAACCGGAATTCAGGTTAAATGAAGTGGGGGCTTGTACAGATATATCTGCGGCAGTTGGCCGTGTATGCACGATCGAATAAGTTATGTACAAACGACGAATTAAGAAGTGAACAGATCAGACTTTCCGACGTTTGCCAGAACTATTAGACACAGGGCCGGAGGTACGACTACCAATATTGCCGGCAGGTTGAGGCGAAGAAGTGCCTCCTTGTGGTGAAGGTCCGCTAGTGGATGTGTCTGAAGGGCGCTTCTGAGATAAATGATACATCGACTCCGGACCAGACATGATGAACTGATAGGAAGATGGAGCGGATGACAGTGCAGCACGAGAAGGGTCGGAAGATGGTGGTGGAGCCGAGGCTCCAGAGTCATAAAAAGAGGGAGAGATGGGAGGGGCAAACTTGTATCTGTCCACATTCACTAAGCGAGTGATAGATGATGAGTACCTCTGTCGAGCATCTTCGACCACTACCTTGCTGGGCGCTCCATCATCAGCCGGGGGTATCAAGGGTATCATTTCCCTTATCACACTAACGAGCGCGGCGTGGGTCAAGGATGAGCGTTTCTCATCGATTGTGCGACTGTCTTCATGGGTTGGCCACAGCAAGTTAAACAACTTGCGCCATCCATCACTGAGTTTGCCGACCTTCCAATATGGATGGAGTGACAGGTCGAATATCTCACAGGAGACGGCCTTTTTCTGGCGCAGCACAGGCTCGGTCCGCAGGTCTAGAGAGCCCATTTTGGCCCACTCAGGGACTATCGCATTCCGCCTTTCAAACTCCTCATCGCCACTTATGGCAGAGGTGCGTTGCGTTGCGGAAACCCGCTTAACCGATGTAGAAGGCTGACCTTTGCCAGACCAGTGGCAGGAGGGTCGCTGGAATTTGCTGGATATGAGGTCGCTGGCTTTGTCGTTGGGCATAGAGTTGTCAGGAATGGGTCCCGGCTTTGGAGGATCAGTCCAGTGTTCGACCTGATGGTACGGACCCTTGAAATTCACGCCCACGATCCAAATCAGGAAAATATATGACTCTAGGTCGTGCGTGAGGTGGGGAGCCTCTTTTGAGTCGGCGGTGGTGCCAAAAGGGAAAGTTCCCTGCGAAAAAAATGAGCACAAAGAGACGGAAATGACACGAGGACGTACAGTGGTAGTTACAGCATTGGCCGCACCGGTTTCATCCAACATGTTCAGGCCAAGGCCGAAATCACCGGCCATCCCAGGACGCTTGGGAAACCAGGGTGCAGGGATTTCCAGGGTGCAAAATTCTGGTTTACCATTCTGGGGTGATAGATACCATTCTGGAACTGCATATTGGGGATCTGTCTGGGGAACCCAGAACCAAACGTTACCGTCGCTGGTGTCGCGGTGCATGATCCCACGCCTGCACGCTTCAAGATGACCTGCAGATAATGTGTGAGACGAGATAGGAGGCGCGGTAGTGATTACATGCTTACCTAGTAGTGAATCCAATACACAATATAAAAACTCACGGCGACAAGAGAACCAAGTGCATCTGACGGCCGGGGTGCGAAATATTGTGCGACAGTGGACTAAAGGGTCGCTGGTTTCAGTCATTTCCTTTAAAATGTTTGGCACACTGTCTAAAGCTTTCTGGCCGTCATTGCCATCTGTCATCTCGAGAGGTTTCACAGAAAACCGATTATCTCGTATAGGAAGATGCCAGGGATACATTCCTTCGACGTTCGAATCATCCCATTGGGGCGAAGTGCCCCAGGACTGGAGCAGTTCTTCTGTAAGTCCGGTTTCTGCGGCCGTTTTATAAATACGTTCTGGGAACCTGCCTGTTACTTCAATCAGATCAACATGCGCGTCATGAATCTAAGTTGGACTTACTGCCTAAACGTTTGCGCATCTTATCGATACGCCCATGATCCTCCAGCAACTTGTGAATTTCTCCATCTGAGGCGAGCTCAACGTGCTGCCACACATCCTTCACGATCAAGCTGTCTGTCTCAGCAGTGGTGCGTTGGTAGGTAAGGCCCAGGATCCTGGTAGAACGGCCAATGGCCGAATTGCTATTGTAGATCACTGATACGATATCGGTCATCGCCTCATGCACTGATTGAGCATCTTCCTTCAAGGCCATCTTGAAGCCGCCGGTGCTTCTTATAATAGAATTATCATAACCGAGGAACTCCAAGTCGACGTGCTTGAACCACGCCATGCAATTAAGGAAACCATTAACGTCGTGATATATGTCGATTGGAGCAGTTATTGACGATCCGCCGCGAGTGTATGTGTACACGAAGAGATCGGTACCCAACAAGAGCAGACCCACGAAGTATCGCCGATCGATCTGATTCGTCAAAACGAGTCGTGCTATCTCTGACATGTAATCCGTTGCATCCTCCATGAGGTTTGTGGTGTTGCGATACTTGAATTCTAGCGCAGAGATAACATCCATCCATTCAATGGAGTTGATAGGCCTCGTTGTGTCCATCAATACGCCGTCAGGCTTGCGAGAACCGGGCCCAATAGGAGCAGTTATGTTCGCACCAGTTTTAGGAGGAATGGAAGTGTTGCCTGCGTGAAACCACATACGTTTGCGAAGTTTCGATATGACCGGCTTGCCCTGCTGCAGGATAATCACCCCGTCGACCCAAGTATTGCACTGCACAATGTTAGTGAATATCAAGCAAGTAAATGATATCTAGCAAGTTAACTCCATAGAATGCTACTAACTTTGTTCAAAAACATCATAACAGCCTTCTCCTTTGCGGAATCCTTTTTCTCATTGTACAACCAAGGGCACACAGAGGTCGACCAATGACCCATGATGCGGCCTTGCAGCTCCGCATCTCGAAACTGTTGTATGTCATTAGTGAATAGTTCGTGAAATGATAGGCACATACTTGATTACACCACACGTCCGCCACATTCCTAGCATTGTCTTCACGGACCCCCCGTAGTATAAGCTCATCTCGTACCCTGCGCCCGGCTTCCACTATGTCATCCTGGAGGTCCGCCGGTCTTAAACGAGATGGCGAGCCATCCTCTAGTCGCGCTTTCAACCATCGTGTTCCATTTTCATGCATAAGGGATGCTATCGCTTGCAATTCGTCGTCATTTACCTTTTGATTAGCAACAGAAACCGCCTTTTTGAGCAACGAGAACGGATCCCGATAGTGGCCTTCCTTGACAACGAGGAGCTTCGTTTTGTTGATGATGTCGTCTGTGATGAAATCAGGCTTGGCATGTGCAGCGTGCAAAAAGTAGCAATTTATCCAGGGAGTGATATAAGATACGTAGTGGCCATTGCGCTCTGTCCATAACCGCATTGATCTCGCTCGGGGATACCGTGTGTTCGATGGGAGTAAAAGTGAATGGAGCTGTATTAGTTACACCATTAGATGACAAATGATTATAATAATTAACATTGACTTGCCGTATGACGTTCTCTCAGCTGTAGTTTACTTACCACCATGTCCATGTTTGATGCGGCGTACAATGCGAAGTACGAAGCGAAGCAAGGGTTGGCCCTCGCCCAAGTTCTTATGGCTGCAAACTTTGAAACCTAATCACATCGTGCTCCCGACTAACCGAGAGACGCACTTGACTCAGAGCCCTTAAAATTTTTCAATTTCCACGATTTTACGTGTATACTTAACTCGGCCTTCAATAAGACCAAAGGTCTCTATCTTATCAAAATCATCTCGGAAATCTGCCAGTGTCCCATACTGGACTTACTTCCATATTCTTAGGAGGCTGCTGTGCGTAGAGCTCCTCAACATATTTGACGCCGAAACGGAAGAAGTCCAACAGCTACGAAAGTTACATCAATCAACTGCCATCAAGATAATATCATCTTACACACCTCGGAGGCAGCATCAATATTGGCCTGCCAAGCGGTCTTTTCTTGACCAAGCATGGTAGCTGATATTACTTGCCGCTAACAAGTTCTGCAGCACGCAGGAAGAAGACGGCGAGATTGTTCAAAGACATGGCCTCCCACTCAGCCTTGGCAGTGGGCACCATCAATCGCGCTGACTACAGTCAAATCATCTGACTCGTGGTATGTGCAGAGATGGCGAGCGTGATCGGAGAGTATGGGCTGCTTTGCAAGTTTACCAGTTCTAATCTAAAATCCACAGAAAGCTGAGTCGTCAACGAATTGGCTAGTGACATGCTGACAGCTGCACAGACCGGCGAGCCATTCACGATAAGGGGAAGTTCGAATATGAGTTCCTGTTGCATCTGAGCGAGTGCAGCTTCGAGACCCTTACATTGTGCTGATAGCTTCACTGCCGACATGGTTCAGCATCAGAAGGACTGAGTCATAATAAAGTTCACATAGACTCACCATAGGTTCGTTTTTGACTAATATTCTAAGCCGGGGTGGACGGGTCATGCTGGGATGGCGCGCACCCACGGCGCCAGAGTGTGCCCTATCGGCAGCTTCGTCATGGCAAGCCTTGGGTAAAACGACGCATACCACATTACATGATTTCACGACCCACCGCGGATGCAATAGATTCATATTCCACACCACGTGACCACGGCGCCAGTCTTCTTAGCCCTTGACAACTCACGACTGCCCTACTCTGAGCTCCCCTAATAAGAGCATTCAAATCTCCGCAACTGGTCATGATTGATGAACAAACCAAAGATGGCCATATCCTCGGTCATAATATTTTCATTGCTTTCGTTACTCCACTTTCTCTGTGAGTGTTTGGTTTGGTTTAGCGCGAGTGTTGTGCTTAATGTCCGGTGCTTGTAAAAGTGCGCAGACGGCGTTCGAAGGATTCATAGCTTGGAAGTCTGATGTAGACCGTAGGATGCTGGTACGTCGATGTATCATCATGTTGAACTCTGGTTTGACTTTTGGGGCTTAGTTGATGCTTCCGTGAACATGGTTCGCACTTTTCCTGAACGGTTTTATTAGTAGAACGAACAAGCTCTTCCTCCTCTGACGCTGCTGGCGAGTATGCATTGAAAGTACCAGCTCTAACGCAAACTCTCAAAGTTTTGGTTGTACTAGGTGACGAAGGGGAGCTGGTGGATAGCCATGTTGTTCGCGTTCACAATAATTCCGTATGGCGCAATTATCTTTATCTTTTTGCTGTTTGAATCTGACGTCAATGTGACATGTTAGGCGAAGGCTTTTTCACGTCCGAGCATCGTCAATCCCAAGCCTAGTGATGTTACATTTTTGAAATGATCGATGTCATTCTTTCTGTTATCCGTGAGCCTTTTCCAGCCTTTCAACTTCGCCAAGACCTTATTTGATTGATGTGATCCAACAGTCGCTTTTTTCTTATGGAAAAACAAGACTGGCGTGCACCGTCTCGACGGAGCACTCTTACGGTTCTGCATTGTTGCCACAGAATCTGCAGTCTGGTGATCGCTCTGCGTTGCTGTTTGCGCAGGACTGTTCTTTTCGCGCAACGTGAGTGTAACTCCAAGTTGTTCACATACCAACAAATCTGACGATACGCAGACAAACGGAAACCGTCTAGTTTTCGTATTCCTGCTTCACACAGGCAAGCTCTACACCTTGTCGATCCTCCGCACATTAAACGCAAAAGTCAAGCTACGAGAAAGAATGAAATCAGACGACTTCGCATGAGGCTCGTTAGTGTAAACCAATCCGCTCAGCCCCCTACAGATTATTCAACCATGGGAACGGACACCACCTACACTCCTTCTCCGCAGAATTGGCGCTCAATTCCAATATACACAGTCCTTATGGACAAATTAGCTGATGGTGACCCTACAAACAATCAGTTCTTTGCCTTCCCATACGAATGAGATTGGGAAGAAACCCAACTTCGTTTCGGCGGTGAACTCAAATGTCTAATTTCACAGCTCGACTACATCCAAGGTATGGGCGTGAAAGCCATATCTCTCTCAGGCACGATATTCTTGAACGTGATATGGCAAGCCGACAGTATGTCTTTATCTCAATCTCATCCACAACTCATGCTCACTTTTTTCAGGTTATTCTCGACTTCTCTGTATTGGATCATCATTGGGGTACTATTGATGATTGGGTAAACTTCGTCGACACAGTACACGCATGCGGCATGTATATCATGTTGGATTTCACAGTCGGAATATTGTCCGACCTTATCGGTTTTGAAGGGAATGTTCTCTATATCCACCAATTACAATCATCACTCACTCGCCCACCAGTTTACTCAATGTCAGCGCCCCACTCACTCTCGATGAATATGATGCAGTCTACAAACCAAATTACCTCTGAGGTTTTGAGGAGTATGTTGATTTTCCGTAAGTAGTTATTTTCGTTCGCTTCGTGCCTGAACCCTCTTAACTATCTTTTGTCCCCTAGGCCATCAATACCCGTAACAGGCTATGATGGTTGTCACGAGTCCGACTTTGATCAATATGGTGATATGGTGTGCACCCTGACTGGCAACGTGAACTTTCCAAACTTGCATCCGTACAGGACCGTCTCTGCGAATGGAAACCTTTCGTTATGGACAAACTCACTACCTTTTCCTGCATGACTATCATAGCCCTTGATATAGATGCCATTCGTGTCGACAAGTCCACACAGCTCATTGTCGACGGCATGACTGCTTAGGCATCTGCAACTCATGCTTGCGCCACTAATCTTAGAAACTTGGCCAGAAACTTGGCCGTCGTGTACGATCTCAACATCAACTTTGTCACTGCTTGGAATCGAATGTTTGTGAACAACGACTTCTTGAATACAAACACCGGCCTCACCGATCCGAGGCATTCATTCGGAACAAACAATTTCAATGTTTTCCGCTGGCCTAGTTTGGCGAATGGCACATTGAGATCCGCATCGCATCTTATATCACATACCTGGTAATGCCAGGGGTTCTATTGGTAGGAGCTATACTCGAACGTTTGTCGCTGCAGGACTTAGCTTTTACAGATCTATTATGGCGAGGAGCAGAATTTCTATCTATAACTCCACACTTCAAACTATTTCTTCGGGTGACCAAGTGATTACTTTTATCACACTGCTACTCTCGGCCGTCAAGCTATGATGAGCAACAAGGCATGGCAGCGCCACGGGTGCTACAGACTTGGATCTGCTCAATACTTCAACATGCCGCTTGAGTCCGCCTTGCCGGGATGTGACGATGATTGGAACTCGCTCGATCATTTTTATCCCACGACAGACACGCATCGATCTGAGTTCTCAAGGATAATACTAACTACCAAACAGAGTACTATCGACAACTCCTCCGAAAGTTTCAAACTTTCTCAAAACACTCTTCCGAAGGAAACTCGTTCTTTGGTTAGGCTTTTCTTACTCGTGGCAAAGTTGATGATGTTAATACTCCACACAAGGCTCCTCGCACCTAAAGTCTTGCGTGATTATTGCTCAGCGGGGTATGTTAGACCCGGTGCTTTTATACCCTTATGTTCTAACATTATCGCAGCCCTATGGGCGTAACTGGAGTTTCCTGTGGAGTATTCCGATCCCCAAATGGGCGATCGTGCTTCTCATCATCTTTTTCATCGGTGTCTGGGCTTTCATGCTCTATATCTTCACGTCCTTGAGTAAGACGCACACTTGGTTTTTGCCCGTATCCCCTGTCGGTCTTGATGCTCCAAGATGGTATCAGGTATGATCTTGTCGATGTTGCATCGATCTTCAGTGATCTATCATGTTTCACAGACATCGTGGGGCACCTCATTTCTTGCGCTCTATATCCCGTGGGCTGGTTCAGGGGGACCGTACCTTGGTCTTCCTCTGTGGTTTTGGATGCCGTGCAAGGCGTCGGTATGGGAATGATTCTCTTGCAGACGTTGTCAAGATTGCACGTCTGTGCCACGCTCGCTTTCTCTTAGGTCATTGGGTCTATCTGTGTTATGGCCGCCCGCGCAACCGAATCAAACCGTATCGGTCCAGGGAGCGCGTTCCCTGATGTCAGAACATGGGACTTCTTGCAAGGTCTCAAGGGCAGCCCTATGGCCTCCACTCTATTCTGGATAGCGTTGATCTGCTAGATTGTCATTGTACTAGGTTATTTCTGGTTCTACTGCACAGAACAACTAGGCAAGTTGTCGTGCAACCCGGCTGTGGAGATGCTCGATGTGGCTAATCACCATTGTTTCAGCTCGACCATAATTATGCTATTGCTATTCACTGTCATCAATCACGCACATATTAGAACCATCACGCCATTCGAGGACTTTTGTTTTCATGGATACTTTCGTTCACTCAAATTTTTTCGCTGTTGGATTATAGATGCCATCAAATTTTTGAACTCTGTACTCGCTCGCACATCATATTGTCGACGCTTCGTCAAATCGAAAATCACGTCACATACTCTAGCTCTAGTGCCTCAAACAAGCGCACAAATGTTTTATAGACTGTTTTGGTGTTGTCAAAGTCATACATTGCCTGTCAACACTATATCAACCTTACTTCAATTTCAGTTCGCCATAACGTCACTACTCTATTTCCTCGCCCCCGACTGTCTATTCGGTGTGTCGATTGAGCTGTGATTCGCGATTCGCTGTTACAAAGTGTTTGTTTGCAAAGCACATTTTGCACTTATAACAACAACGCATCCCACGATCATCAAAGCTACTCTACGTTTTTCCTAAGTATTGTCTAACCTTCCTACTACTCTTCCACTCAGTTTGACAAGTTCTTTAACGAAACATCCAAAACTTGTTTCCCGGACTACTCAGCTTCTTGCACTGAAGGACACTGGTTTGTGCAGGATGAGCTGCCAGAACGCTGAGACCAACAACGGTGCTAGCGACATTTGAGTTGCCAGGTTGAAACCCTGAAGATATCAACATTGATATCAAGCCAAGTTCAGCATGGCTGCCTCGTTGTATCTGGAGATTCGAAGCGCTCGCATGACGATAACGCCCTATTCAGTTTAGAACTTCATCAGATGTGTGGCAGTCCAGTGCATGCCAGCATCGATCGAGTTCGGCGTCTAGCTTCCATGCAGGCCTCAAGCTCAAACTTCAAGCCGAAGCTCACGGAGTTCATCCTGCTCCCGACGCGCTTCTATTGGCGAGCCATGCATGACACAACGTGCAAGTAGCATTAATGTGCGTACACTCAGGACGATCGAACACTTGTGGTTCAACGTTCAACTACAGAATCGATGTATTCATTGCTGTGGTTGGAACGAATGGCAATTCTACTAGTATCTTCTGTCCTGCGTGGAATATGCCAGGGATCCAGGACCAGCACTGCTTAATCCATTACCCGCCATTGGCCTCCAGTAGCGGCCACCTACGTCACCCGTCTTGATCCTTTGACTGAATCGTGACGCAATGTAGGGCCTCGCACGCAGGTTATTTTTTCCACCACTACCATATGGAACATTAACTCGAAGCTGTGTATCAATTCTTTTTTGGGCAAGCCAAAATGAAGAAAAGACAGCCCTTTCCGTCGTTGCACTGAGCTTGTGTATTCATTATAGCGGAGCCTGTTCTGCAAAACGCGATAACACTTTGTATTGTTCAATCGCTCTTTACCAAATGCCAAGCCTACCCAAACACAGCCTATAGGCTTCACACGGCTTTACTGTTGGCTCGATTAGAAATGCACAAGTACTACATACACAACGGGACTGCGAAGTTCGGGGGTCAATTACAAGAATACTAATTATGACGAACCCTTCATGTCCGCGACTAGGATCGCCTCCATAAAGATTTCCGTTCGGATGTGCAAAAAGCACGCGTGGTCTTCGCCCAATCCTCACGCTTCTGTCTGCAGGAAGCAAGATAGCTAAGCTGCGCAGGCGTGGGATGATGGGCGTGGAGAATGAACATATAGTCTGACATGTCGCTCTGTTGGACCATCGAAAAAGTATTTTCTCCGCTTCTGATAGATGCGGAGATATCAACGCAATTGTCTGCAGTAACCTGCCAAACAACTTCAGTGTGGTTTGCAAGAACATCGGTAACACTCGCGAAAATGGGTAGAGCTAGTGGAATAATAAAATCCTTCCCATCCCGTTTTGTCTGCAGTGAAAGGTCCCCAGTTGCGGGCCACGAGCATTGCGAATCCATCGTAAGTTTCTCGAACGGAGTTGGCTGATCATCTTCCGGTGGATTTGGCAAGAGACTAGGGAGATGATAACAAGCGAACGACACACAGACACTTTGTTCCAAATCTCTGTGAACCGCTGAATATGTGGATAACAGCGAGAAAAGGACACATACGTTGGTGACAACTTGCGCTTAGCCCACCGAGCAATTTGGAGATAGAGTGTATGATCGAGATCGAACGTAAGGTTGATCGTTCCGCGAGGTGACTCGAGTCCTTGCCGAAACATCATCACAGCCATCTCCCCTCTGGATCTTGCACAAGCGACTTGCGGACAGGTATTATCCACCGGAGGTGAAAATATTGTTATTTCGTCTCTTTGGCTTTCTACACTCACATCGCAAGTGGCTGCCTTGGAGCTGGGGGATCGGTAGTTTGTTTTGGCGATGGCGTGGTGAGCTCAAGAGCGACGTTTCCTGGCGTGAGTATTTCTGAACCTTGAGGCACATTTTCCGTTGGTGGGCCGGTCATAACAACATCAACTACAACGGATGTGATTTCTTCTTCGTTGAGTTCTTTGGCAACTGTTGGCGCTGGAATCTCGGAGAAAGGCAAGGTGCTCGTCAGACCAACAGCATTCGCAGGAGCTGCAGGCTCACTTATTGTCGTCAGTTCAGTAGATGCCGGTCGTGGAGGTATCCTCGCTGGCATGCGAGATGGCCGTATTTTCTCTACAGGGGACTCCGTTACATCATTTGAAAACTTAAGCGCACTGGGTGGAGCAGCAGGACTTGAAGGCTTAGAATCAGGAGCAGCCGCATGCTGATGGTTTGCCTTGAACCATTCGAGGTCACAGTGTTTGAGGTGCTCAGATAGTGAAGATGCCACAGATTAGCACTTTGGCTGAGGTTTTGGAAGGATTCTCGGGATGGAGGCACTGGCTGGGGGATCCGCGTGAATAGTATCTGGGTGGGGTGTAGACGAGGTCGAAGGCTGCGCTGTAGTCTATGAAATTATATGTTAGATCATGAATAAACAGCGCGCGTACATCTTACAGGTGATTGAACTGACTCCAATTGTGCGGTACTAGGAAACATTAGTTGCGTGCTTGGAGTCGCATCTCGGGTACTTGTGATCATTGAAGTAGCGTCCCTAAACGAGACCATCATACTGATGCTCAGACTCAATAAATGCCCACGTACTTGTATTCTTGAGCTGTGGCTTCGCCTTCAGCCCGGGTAGGATATATAAAATTAGTCGAAACTCAAACCTCAGAAGAACTTTGGAGCCTTCTGTGTAGGTCTGTCCAGATTGTGGGAATTTACTGATGTTGTGACTCGTGAGGAGCCTGCGAACAATGGTGTAGGATGCTTCTACTGAAGTTCTACAGACATCATTGTAGGACTGTGCATGACGTTGGTGAATATCTGGGGACTATGTGGGTGCATCCATTAAAGTGGTAACGCAAGCATGTCCAGAGAATTGCATTCCATATGTTGCGAGCTTGTCCTTAGTTTCATTCCACTACTCTGTCATTACAGGACGGAAGTCTTCCAGGCACGTCATCACACTAATCGTGGGCACTTTGCTATCACGGATAACTGCCGAGAATATCTTGTAGTGAGTCTGCAGAGCCTTCGTTGCTTGCATTCCACGCACACAATATATAAGAAGATGTACACCATTTTCCTGATTAAGACATCGGAGGAACGCAATCAAGTTCCTTTCAGCCATCACCGCAGGCGCTGTGCTTTCTGAGCCCTCATTTAAACACTAATGACATGATCATTGAGCCGCTCTGGGCCAAAACCTTAAGCATGAGAGAATGCATACCTGCTGTATCCCACAGCCTGAAGTGTTGCCCGCTGATCGTCACACCATACGGAGCATGTGTAATAGTACATGCGAGGGCATTAGGAGATGTTCTCGGCCCATGATAAGGTTTATGAGCGACCTTTTGCCTACCCCACTCTCCCCATTGAGTAACACGTTACGCGGGGACCTTGATGTCCCTACAGGAGACATCAGGAGCACATTACTGGATTGACTGTTGGAGCATATTACGAACCTGCTGTGAATAGTTATTCCCTGTCGTGTGTGGAGTCGTGGCCATCAGGCATCTTCTCTGAGAGATCCAATCAGTTTTACAAAAAGAGATTGACACAAGCTTACTTCGCATGCGATCGTAAATCTATTGAAGAGATGGATAACGGCTACTAGACTGGGCGTTCAAGTAATTGGCTCCGTGACGAGCGTTTTTGGCCAGAATTAAACGTGTTGCACCTTGTACCACGCTATGAGGGTTGCACTGCGGAAGTATCCGATGAAAGGACACATGAGGACTTCAACATCAAAACGCGGCGAGCATCGGAATAGCATCGGAATCGTATGGCAGGCAAGCCTTATGCATGCCCATCTAGACCCCGTAGTTTTATTGCAAATATCGAGTATCGCCAAAAGATCGATCAAGGAAGCTGGCTAACAGAAGCCGGGTGTCACCCCTGTGAGCGTGTAAATTTTGAGACAAAAGGGTAACTATTATGGAAAATGTATTGAAGGCGCATGGTTGGAACACCAAATTTTGCACCACATATACCTGTTACGAACAGTAACATTTTGGGGTAATTGCTATTGTACGACACAGCGCGGAATCACCAATCATTGGCATGCACAGGTACGAGTAGCGCTATATTCAACTTTTGCTGACCGCGAGTCGAGCATGAGATGACGCCAGTGTTGACTTGAAACGTCGTTATCTTTGGAGAAACAGGAGCGGGCAAAGGCTGTCATCAACCTGATGGCTGGCCAAGAGATTGTGCACATGTCACTCGACCTTTGCTACAGAACCGTCTAGAGGGGTTTACCATGATCATATGTCCATGGGACACGGTTCGGCGTTCGGAAAATTTGCCCCAAGAACCGAACCGAACCGGACTTCGGCAGCACTAGAATGAGCCCAAGTCGTAACTGTGCACCCTTTAAACCGTGAGAGCTCACTAGAAGAGACGCTCAGAGACAAGGAATATGTACGTGCAGATAATACGTGCCTGTCAACGAACTAGACGCCGACGCCGAATGCACCACTAAGACTTTCAAGAGTAAGGCTGCGGTAGGACTCCAGAAGTTGGCTGTATGCCAGATGCGCATCTCTCATACATAGTAGCAGGTATGAGGCGAGAGGAGTCACGAGGACGGGGGGTGCATCTGCTCAAGGATGGACACGACATGTCAATCGTTATCAATCACATTAGACAAGTATAATGTAAGGCTAGACAAGGGCCTCGAAAGTGGATTGTATATATGAAAAAACGTACCGAGTGCGACGAAGAATTTTGCGTAGTAACAATCGTAAAGGCTGTTTAAGAGGTCTCCAAGGATCGGAATTTTGGACAAAACGGAGATAACTTCTGGTGCGGTAATGAGCTACAGAAAATATGATCAGCAGTGAGGAATACTAGGGGAACAAGCATACCCGTTTCTTGAGATCTACTCGTTTGAGAGTGAGAGCTTTTATGATGATGGTGAGAGCGACGAAGTCGTTGTACGTTGTGAGTTCAGTAGCAGTGAATGTCGATAACCCATCGAGAAGAAGTGTGCCACCAGCCTCAAGCTGGCGGATGGATATCATGTGTAGCCTGCGGTAGACTTTGAGACGATCACGCCTGCGCATGAGACATACGCAGAACATTGACACTAGTTGTCAGAGATGAGGTATTAGCACAGCACAAAGTTGTCCATCTCGACACATACACAGATTACGGTTGTCTAATATAGCGTATCTAGAACATTTTGGAGTCAGCCCAACTTGCTCGCCACACTAAAGCACAACATGAGGTACGAACTGTCGCGAATTCAAGATGAGTTAGATCTAAAACACCATTCTGAGTGAGATAGCTGCTCCGGCGATGATATCGACGTACCTATTGTCCAACCTGTAGTATGGTTCAGCCCAGGAGGACTTCTGGTGCCCAAGTAGCCAACCATGGGTATCGGTGGTGTGGATTACATTCAAGTCTCCCCAGACAAGAGGACGGTATGGAGGTGTGAGTGTCCTATTTCTGCTACGCGCCGTAGGACACGTTGACGACGCTCGTGCTTGGCAAGTTGAGCCGGAGTATCTAGTTTATTAGTTAATGGATAGAACGCTTTTAGCGCCCTATGCGCCAACTCTCCCTAGTCCGAAATCAAATTGAGATGAGAGAATATGATAGATTCACGTACTATTTGTGTGGTAAAAGAGTCTGTTGTACCAAAGAGCCGAATTGATCGCACATAATCACCCATGGCATGGAATTTATAAGTACTTAAATTAAACTTCTTGAACCTTCGACCGCCGCTCCCAATGTCCGGATGGTTGAGATCTGAGCGTTCACGCGCAGCCTTTTCTTTCGGCAGCTCTGTCGTCCAGCTTCAACTGTGCTAGGCTTGATGCGATCTCGGTGACACGACCTTATGGTGGTTGGGCTGGTCCGAGCGTAGCTCGGGTGGGACGCGAGCAGCTGGAGCCGCTGGGAGGGCGGGACAACTGATCACGAATTTCGGACGTGTCACAGATAGACCTTGTATTGCTTTAAATGATAGCATGTACTTGAACGGATATGAACAAAACTATTGTTTAAACTGAATACTAAGGGAGAGGTGGGTGGGGGCAAAAGAATGAAGTCCATAGCGAGAAAGAGCGTAAGGGAGTTTGAGCGATACGTTTGAGGAGATGTATGTAGTTGGGGGGCCGGGAGGAGAAAGGAAAAAACAGCTGCGCTCAGCTGGACGCGTGGTGCCGGAAACTTCCGCAGGCTCCGTTTTCCGGCACCTTGCTAATCCAGCTTCAACTGTGCTAGGCTTGATGTGATCTCGGTGACACGACCTTATGGTGGTTGGGCTGGTCCGAGCGTAGCTCGGGTGGGACGCGAGCAGCTGGAGCCGCTTGCCCATCAGCCGGAACGGATCGCGGCTGACCAGCTGCTAGCCCAATCACCGTGGAGGCTGTCACTGTAAGGATGCTGCATTAGCGAGGTGACGAGAAGATATTTGCTCGAAGGCTCGAATATATGTTTCATATGCAAGTGACTTCCAGCGGCCAGCAAGGCGAACAATCTCTGGGTCTACTTTCTTTGCCAAGTAAAAGGAAGCACCTCCAATCCTGAACGAGTGTCTGAACGATGTGCCCCAACCCCAAGCCATTAATATTGCGTTGATGCGCTCTAATGCTCGCACTTTAACCATGGGCTGGATGTTGCCCTTGCGGTCTCGCCAGGAGAATAATGGATCGTTGGCTGAGGCAGGAACTACTTGCGCTAAATTTCGTAGGGCTGCTAAGGGGCATAAATCTCCCTGCTCATTGAGAAAAACTGATTGTGTTTCCCCAGGGCGCGCAGTTTTGGCCGCTGGCAGATCCAAATGTGCATAATGGCAATTCCGCAAGTCCGTTCCAAAGAAGGCATGAGCTCTCGTCAAATGTAAGGATGTATTGAAGGCCGCTCGTGACTTGCAAGAGACTTCACCGAATCTCATCATTCCGAAAAAGGCACAGGATGCCATGGCCCATATACAGGCGTCGAAAGGATCTGATAATGTCAGAGTAGCCTTCAGTGCCGTGAGCATTGTCAGGGTAATGGGGGGTCTAAGCGGTTTGCGCTTCCTTCCATGCAAATTCTCTAGACCTCGCAGAGACCAGTTGATGCATTCATGGTTAGAATCATTAAGCGGGGGAGGCCAACCTTGAGCGATATGCCAGGCTCGCACAGCGGATAGATACTTGCGTGCGACTCCAGGAGATACCGGTTCAAAGGTTGCAGAATCAACTTTGCTTAGGATAGGATCATTAGGGTCTGGGTCCGTTACCGCCCAGAGCACAAATGAGTGGAGAAGTTCGAAGGACGCTGGCAGGCGAGCCGATTCAGGTATGGAGAATATGTCGCAGAATAGATGGAATTTTCGTAAGCCTGCTCCATAGCTCGCTGTATCGCGCAGAGAGGCTCTGTTGGTGAGAGAGGCAATGTGTTGTATCAATGGGTGCTCGATTGTTGAGGGTGGTGGTGTATTCGTGCCGTGCCAGTGAAAAATGCGTTCTTCTGCTCTGCAAGGAGGACGGAGAGATGAGGGATTTAATTGCAGGTGACGAGACGAGTGTACTGGTATGGAAGGTGCTATGGGAGAGGGGAGGGCTGAACTATGGGGAACCATTGCTACGACCACTCGAATGGGACTAGCTTGTCTGTCAAATGCGCTGGGAGAGGTACAGATGTCTGGCTGGATGCTTCCGGGAAACCTGCGAGGAAGCCAGAGATGTCGCCACGAGAAAGAGCATCTGCAATGTTCTCGCAGCTGGGAACATATACTGCATGGGCACGAAATTGATTCAGTGCTTGCAGTAGATAGATCTTCTTTAGTATCGCATTTGTTTCGGAGCTCCGAGAGCGACCCTTGTTTGTCACTGTAACAATTCCTGCGTTGTCGGAGAAAACAATGAATCTGTTTCGAGTTGGTACACTGTGAGAGAAGGTGTCTGCCAAGATGGCATACGTGAGATATGCGGCACTTAGAAGGAAATATGTAGTAGTACCTAGTGACAGAGCCACTCGAATGCCTAGCTCTACTGCAACAGCTTCTGCCCAACCTATGTCGAACGCCTGTTTCGGTCCCACTTTGAACCCCGGGGCCCAGCGCCAGATGGCCCAGTGGCAACCTATAACGATTCCAATGCCGAACGAAGTGCTCGCGTCGCCCCACCAGTTGATGTTGAGAGGTTCTGGGTTGGCAAGGGACACGCAGTTGGGGAGGTGCGATAAGAGATATTGGACCCAAGGAAGATCTGCGCGAACTGAAGCTGATGGTTGTAAGCGTGCTCGATGGGACTTGAAAACTGCTGCAAAACGTGCTATCAAGCGAAGGAAAGGCCGAATGAGGGGGTATATGCATGCTACATGAACGAGTTTCCCATGGAGGCTGGAGGCTTCGTTTGAGGTGAAGGATGCACCAATATGAAGCCAGCTTGTAACTAAGTCTTGGATCCTTTGCAGCTTGTTTGCGGGCAAGGACACTGCTTTGAGGTCCAGGTCCCAGTCGAAGCCGATGTAGCGCTGTATTGACGCGAATAAACGTAGCTTCTCGATGCTCCATGGGACGCCGCAATATGATGTTATAGCCATGAAATCGTGCTCGGTCCATAGCTGATGTGGTAGCTTTATTACGAGGAAGTCGTCTACCCACTTGCGAATGAGATTGAACCTGGCCTTGTCGTATATTGCAACGAGCATGTCGGCCACTGAACCAAACACTCCAGCACTGGACGCGAGGCCAAACATGACGGCACGGTCGACATAGATTAAACCATTCCAAAGGATGCACAAGGCATTTTGCTGCGATGGTGCAATGGGAACCATGCGGTAAGCTGCTGAGATGTCGAATGTGGCTGCGACGCAGCCAGGTGGAAGGGAAAGAATGAGGGTAGCCGTGCTGTCGAATGTTCCCCATACAGTTGGAAATTCGTCGGAGTTGACGTTGGCATTGACAGAAGCTATGCTGGATGAGGTGCGAGGGTATGACATGTCCTGTATGGTACGAAATTTGTCGGAGTGAGGTTTTGGGACGAGGCCCAGTGGTGATGTGCGAAAGGGTCCAATTAATTGCTCTAATTCTGCGGGGGTAAAGCCTCTGGAATATCTGCCCGCTGCCTGTTCTGATATTATGTACGCGTCGATTATGGAAGGGTTTAATAATGATGACTGGTGGTTTTCGAAATATATGGGTTGAAGATGGGGAGTTGGATATGCCAACATTAAAGCCATTGCGGATGCCGTCTAGAATATGTAACCAGTTGTTGAGAATGCCATATTTACGTAGGAGCTCTTCCACTCGATGATGATCGAGTGGGGTCACCACCGTTCGAGGGTCAGAGTCGGGACTTGCAGGTCCCAGCTCCATGCAACGTGTCGCCGCAGATGCTACAGGTGTGGAGGTTCTTGCAAGCTCCGCCAAATGAGCAATTGGAACTGCTTGCCCAGTTGAAGCAGTAGTGCCTTCCATCGGCTGAAGCCAAGGCATGCTTGCTCTTGGCGTTGGAGGCGATCACGGCGACAGGTTTGCCTGCAGCTGTGAATTGCGCTGAACAATCTCCGGGGAGGTGGTTTGACCCTCCGCACCGAAAGCAACAGCTCTGAGTGTGCGGTTTCTTACGAGGGGCAGCAGCAAAGTCATTTGGGGCTGGACGCTTATTCGACGGAACAGGAGCTTGGGTCTGAGAAGGTTGATGGGCTACTTTGTTGTTCGACATTGTAAGAGCAGCTACATCTAAGCCAGCTAAGTTGTGATCATAGTTCGCGTGCGCCAGCTCCCTCTGCTGAATATCGTAATGCATTGCTACTAGCCACGAGTGCGTGCGACCAATATCCAAGACGACTTGATGATGCGAGCTCAGGGCATTGGCCCTCTCGACACCCCAGTAAAACAGTGTTCTTTCTTCCGCTGTTCTGGATGCTGCAATCCAATCCACCGTTGAGATGGAAAGTTCATTCGAACGGTCGAGGCCTTTGGCTGTGAGGCCTTCAGTCGTGAAAACGAAGGAGGACTCTTCGCCCCGAAGGTAGGCTTTGGAGCGAGCGATGTGGGTGAGAGCTGAGTAAGGAACATAGCGGTAGTTCTTGAAGGCCTCTTCGACTTTGGGCGGAATGGCTAGCAACATAGCATAGTCAGTCTCGATTCTAGTGAAGCAGTGCCGCGGTAAAACAGTAACGAAACTAGCAGTGTGAGGCCCTTTAGGCTGGCAGTACGGTGCGGTGACGAAGAACGGTACAGAACGGTGACAAAAAACGGTACGGTGTAGATGGGCGATGATAGATGTATGCATGGTAAAGAGAACTTACACATACTAAGCGCACTGACTTTGTGGCCAGGTTGTAGTGCTGGAAGCGTAGGCCGCTTGGAATCCTCTTTCGGCGCAGCAATGGTTGCACGAACACGTTCAATGGTAGCAGGGTCACCAATAAGTGCTTGTTGAGGGGCTGGGGCTCTGGCCGGGTTGGGGTTGCCTTGAGCTTCCAAACGCTCCAACTCTGCTATTCTGGCCCTGAGCGCTGCTAATTCATTCGCTACCTGCGGCTGCGCAGCATTACCAGGTGCGGGAGGTGCGTTATTTGAGGAAGTCTGCACAGTAGGATGAGCTTGCTGCTGGGTAGCTGGGTTCGTCTGAGGGCGTGCCGCAGCTTGCTGGTTGGACGATGAAGGCTGAGGTGCCGCAGCCGAAAACTGCTGTTGGTTGGAGGTGGGCCTCGAACTCTGGGCAGCTCTGCTGCCAGATGTAGGGTTGGATGTAGGGTGCGGTCTGGATGGACCAGGAGCATTGCTTGATGATGCACCAGCTGCTGAAGATTCTTGTGCTGAGGATGAAGCGCCGGCAGCGTCTGAGTCCAATCCTATGCGTAGGCCAAGGTGCTGATACATGATTTCGAGAGGAAGCAGAGATGGATAAATGATGGCAAAAGAATGAAGTCCGTAGCGAGAAAGAGCGTAAGGGAGTTTGAGCGATACGTTTGAGGAGATGTATGTAGTTGGGGGGCCAGGAGGAGAAAGGAAAAAACAGCTGCGCTCAGCTGGACGCGTGGTGCTGGAAACTTCCGCAGGCTCCGTTTTCCGGCACCTTGCTAATGGCGAAAGCAGCGCAGGTTAAATTACGGAATTTGCGTAACTGGTAAGAGAGGTTCTTGAACGTTTCATCGAGGGCTGATAAGGTCGTTTTGGAGTGCATACGGAGTTTCGCAAGGGCATGCCAATGCGCAAACCTATACAGAAGCGACTGTACAATTGCATCATGGTCCCCAGGAAAAAGGCCCTCGAAAACTGGCATAGCGCACTGGGAAAGAGATCAGTGATGTAAGTCAGCACATGAAGCAAAGAGACGAACTTGCAAAATATTTTCGAAGTCTCGTGCAGCAAGCCTTTTCATCTCTGACGTGTTATTGGCGAATTTGCGAATGACACCGTGACCGTAGGATGGAATGTGACGAAATCTAAATAGAATGCTATTGGTCTCAGTTTATTACGTTACAGCAATTTTCAAGAATAATGAGATTGGTCGTTTTTTTTCATGCGCGTCCGAATTTAGAAAACCGCCTATTTGAGATAGTCTATCGCAAACTTACCATAGTGCTAGTACCGTTATCACTACAATGTCTTATGCACGAGGCATATCAGAAACACCCTCTGAAGGCTCGGATCTTGTCATGATGGAGTCCAATGATGAGCATGATGAGCTCCTCTCCGACAGTCTTCGAACTGCTCCCAAGCCTGGTAAGCTCTCGACATTCGACATTAGTAGTGCTACTAGGACTAGTATCATGCTAATGTGATATCTCGGAGCTGCCGGCACTTTACAGAAGTACCAATTCATCAACGAGTTTGCACCCGATGACTTGGAGGACCCCATTATCAACAGTCCACGTCCAACACAGGCTGCCAAAATGCCCCAGCGCCGAGGTCGTAAGCGAAAGACTAAAGCCCTTTCACCTGTTAGTGAAGACGAAGGCTCGAATGGCTGCCAGGCACAAGTTTTGAACGGCAAATCTAAGGGTGTGAAGGCAAAGAAAGTCAAGACCAGTCGTGGAACACAGAACAAAAAGCTGGCTGTCTTTGAATCCGATGACGAGAATCAGCCACAGTCCTTGTCTGTACGAGCCTATCTCCACTAGTGATGTGCAGGGCTGGGCCTGAGGCCCTCAAGCCCTGAGGCCAGGCCCTCACCAGGCCAGGCCAGGCCAGGCCAGGCCCACAGGCAGGCTTTCCAGGGCCTAGGGCCTGGCCTGATATTTGACAAGGCCCAAGCCTCGGTCCTGGGCCCTGGCTTGTCCTCGGTGGAAGGTCCGGCGGCAAATCCAAAACGGTAAAACTATACAGTTCTAACGTTTCTCGATAAGGCAAGTACGTACCGTAACTTGATTGGCTCCACGCTCACTTTCGTAATGATGCCTGTCGTGGTGTCTGATGACGAGTCCGCATCAGTGCACATCGTGTCTCGACCACGCTGAACTGTCACGCTGTCCTCACGGCTCACGGACACCAATAATGATGCAACTCCGGAGCTTTCCATTCACAGGAACAAACCTCCTCCACCTGCCATCACTCAAAAGTCTGCATAATTGAGCAGCCAACGAGCAGCCGATTTTATAGGCAGTCTTTCGGCAGACAAATGTGCGCCTGACGAGGGTGTTATGGAGGACGGGCCCCATGAAAGTAAGCATCTTTTTCATCATTCATCTCATGCTGATTACAGTTTTTGAATTTTGAAGGCAAACACTTGCGACATGCTGTCGCAAACACTCGTGCTGACACGTCTTTCGATGTGCTCACAGGTATGTGATTTTTTTCAACTCGGTGTACAGGTATCTTATTTAACGCTACTACTTGCACTCTAATGTGCTTGACAGATACTCAATCCACAGCGCCTGTGGAAATGCATTCAGGTAAGTTTAAACCTTTGATGTTTCATCTGTCAATGCTCACACACTTTCGAAGGAACGCTCGATAGCGAAGGCCTCGAGTGTATCGATGACACCTGCACCACAGTCTCAGACACGAGCAATGCAACAAGAGGTATGTCTAGTATTCACAACGAGTAATATAAATATACACTAATCTTGATTGTATACTAGGACACGCTCAATCAGATGCTGTCGACGGCAATGGATTATTAGAAGATATTGATGTCCAAGACATCAGCCCAATCACGAAGGCACGCCGGGAGGACAAGACTATGGACATAAGTGCCTTCTTTGGAGCACCATATGCTGCAAAGTCGAAGGACGGCAAAACTCGTAATGTCAGGGACTGTAAATCATGCCAGTAAGTGAACAATTGTATTCAATTCGCAACGACACTCATGGGATCACAGCAAAAAAGGCTTCCCACATCAAATTGTGAGCGACACATCAACGTGTCGACGCCATGTTGCATACAGACACTTGGTAAGTTATCTCTCATCTCTCGGCCCTTGACTTATGTGCTGTGGCACTGTAGGACGCATATCGTAAATGGTGCAAGGCTAACAAATTCGAATCTATGCTGGCTCTAGATGTGAAGGAACGAAAAAATGCAGCCGCAGTCATGAGTGCACAGCAGGGCAGTCTTGATCCTCATCTTCACGAGGTTCAACCAGGCAAACATGTTCTCCCATATTCTGACAAGCTTTTTCGTGAAGCCGCAATCGAGTGGTTGGCATCTACTAACCAGGTATGTATATTCAGTGTGATGTAACGAGATACTGATATCCTTCTCAGCCGATTCAAGCAGTTGATCATCCGAGCTTTAAGAAAATGATTGACACTGCTTCGCGGGCCACAACGGGTGTCCTCATACCAAATCGAAAGGCAACACGATCCGAAATTATTTTGATCTTCAAGCAGCAGATGACGAGATTAAAGGAACGACTTAATGTAAGTTTGGAATGGCTTTACTCTCACTTGTTTCTGATGCCTTCGAGCAGAGTAAGGCCGCAGCAGGTGCTGTCAATCTAACGTGCGATGCTTGGCAGGCAGCAAATGTCGAGGCATACTTTGCCGTCACTGGCCACTGGATCGAAGAACTGTCTGTTGGGGTTTGGGAAATTCAGAGTGCTGTGATCGGATTCACGCTCCTCAATAATGCACACAATGGGACACGACTTGGCCAGGCACTGTTCAAAATTGTTGATTGAGTGGGAATTGCCCACAAGGTTCGTCATCTCGTATTGTAGTATGACTGCCAGTTGTTTACACGATGATAGATTGGTTATATCACATGCGACAACGCTTCAAATAACAATACCATGCTTGATGAGTTTGCACTTCGAATCGAGGCTCGTAGCGGCAAGACTTTTGCACTGAAGAAACATCGTATCAGGTACGCTGTTCTTCGTACATCCTAGGCAATAATTTAGCTCTTCACAGGTGTCTCGCACATGTGATACATCTTGCCACTCGTGCTCTAATCTCAACATATAGCAAAGCTGCCTATTATGATCCTGCGCACGCTGAACTTGCCATTCATACAGAAAATGGCCGTCGGGATGAGGTAGGCCTTGTTCGTGCAATCACTGTCAAGGTAATATACTATCTGTTATCTATGTGAGGATGGCTGCTAACAGCTTTCTAGGAGCACTCATCTGCTTCTCGAAAGCAACTTTTCAAAGATATTCAGACTCGTATTGAGGGTGTCACCCCAGTCCAGCTTCTTCTCGATATGCCTATTCGTTGGTCATCTACCTATGTGATGCTTGATCGAGCTGAGAAGAAAAAGCAAGTAAGGACTTATTTCCACTGCATGTTTTGAGTTAGTACTGAAGGATTAAAGTTTGTTGACACCTTCGTTTATGAACTCGGCAAGAAGGAGACCAACCTTACAAAACGGGCGAAGATTGATGCACTCAAGCTCGAGTCTGATGAATGGGATCGTGTTAAATTATTTGTAAACTTACTTGCAGTTTGTCTTTTCATTATGATTGATGTTCGTCACTGATTGTCCTGAACAGCATGCTGATAATGCCCAACAAGCCTTCTCGTCTGATACTGGACCTGCCCTTCATTTTGCCCTTCCTGCTCTCGAGGGTCTTCATAAGGCCTGGACCTCTCGCTCGAATAGCCCAAAATATGCTCCCTTTCACACTGCATTAACAGCTGCTACTGAGAAGATCCAAGAGTACTACGAGAAGTCTGCAGAATGTGATGCCTATATCATTAGCATGTGTACGTCAATTTCTTATGTCGTTGTCTTTACTTTTCTGCTCACCTGTGTGAAGTACTTGATCCCAATCACAAAGATAGCCATTTCAAGCGTTTCTGGGGCAAGAATTTGCACAAGGAGGTTCTCGAAGTGACGAACAAAATTGTAAGTTCATTTCATCTTATTTTTTTCTACTCTGACATGTTACTCGGAGTTTAAGGAAAGGTATATCCAGATATATGGTGAGAATGATGCTCCTTCATCACCCAGGAGGAGGGGGTCAGCAAAGTGGGCCAGTGTCCTTCGCGAGTTATCGAGTGATGAGGACAGTGGCAGTGAGATCGAGGCTGAGGTACCTATTGATCCAAAGGAGCCATGGATGAGGGAATTCAACCTCTATGTGAACACAATTGAAACCATACCTAAAGAGATGTCCATCATCCAGTGGTGGGGGGTATGTGCCAAACCATTAGATATGATAACTTATTGACCTGGATTTGTAGATTAATGCTCAACGCTATCCTGTCTGGGCCTCATTGGCTCGTGACTATCTCTGTATCATGGCTTCTTCGGTGTCTAGTGAACGTGCTTTTTCAGCTGCTGGGATGACTATTACGAAACGTCGTAATCGCTTGAAGGCTGATGTGGTGGAGGCACTTCAAGTCCTTCGCTTCATGTATCAGCGGGATTTGGTTTTTCGTGAGCCTGCTCCCACCTCTGTCCTAGAAGTTGAGTTGGAGGCTGAGTTTTGTGAGGGTGGTGACGAGGGCAGTAGTACCTTGCAGTCAGAGGACTCTGATATTGATATTTAAATGTACAATTGACTTGAATAGTAAAATATATCATTGTGCACATTTTGATCTCAAAGGCCCTGGCCTAGGCCCAAGCCAAGCCCAGGCCAAGCCCAGGCCTTCTGGAAGGGCCTGGCCTGGGTTTTGACGAAGCCCAAGCCCTCTAAAGCCAGGCCCAAGCCCGGGCTTTCAGGCCAGGCCAGGCCCGGCACATCACTAAGATTCTCCACCTCGAAACCACCTCCCAGCAACCAGGTCGTGGAAAGAAATCGGCAATGGTCACAATTACGAAGAGCATCCAATGTAATCCTTTCATCTTCACAGTCGAGAGCACATTCAAGGCCTTTGTTCGAGAGGTTGCAAATGCTGCGAAGACTACGACAACAAACCTCACACTCTCACTCCTACACTGGAAGTTCGAAACACCTGCCAGTCTACCCATGAAACTGCTAACTGACGAGGTTGGCTTTCAAGCAATGCTTGATGCAGTGCAGGAACGCACAAAGGGTCACACAATTTTCCTTTACCTCCCGAAGCCTATCGACCTTGAAGGGGTATGTTATGTCTTACCTTGAAATGTATGCTTATTGTGTCGAAAAGCCACCAGAGATGTCTAGCCATCGTAATGCCATGTACTACGAGGATGATGAAGATTCGAGTATCCCACCAGAACGGAATGCAACCATGTCTCACAAAGCTCAGATCGTGAGAGTGACAGATGGCTGATTATATGCGTAGTACTAACCACTTGCCTGCACATTTTAGAATGCTCTGTGTCAAGAAAGTACAAAGGAAGTGATGGAGTTAGAGCGTCATTATCCCATCGGAAGCCATCCTTTATTCCCAGACAAGCGCATATATGCAAAGAATGGTTTGTTTTGGGAACTCACCTCTCTTCGCCTCGATGTATGGGGTGCCGCAATTGTATGACATTGTTGTTTACATCTCGCATCTTTGTTCTGACATAAATCAGCATCAGTCAACACAATCTGACCCTCGTGCCACATATGATACGCCTCCAATGTCAAACCACTTCACGAAGGACAAGGCTATCAAACCTGTTCGTCCACCACCCAATTCTTCGATGACAGTCTTTGCAGCCTATGGTGCCTATGTCAAAGGTGAAGACTACACTTCCAATAGGACTCCGAGTCATGGCGAGACTCAAACAGGTCTCAACAACCACTCTGATCATGATTCTGGACATTCTGCTACCTTGACGGACTATCAAAACAGTGTGCCGCCAAGGTCTGGGCCTGACCCTTTGTTCTTTGCGCACCACCCAGGTCTGCCACATCCACACCACCTAGGCCTGCCACATCTCCACCAACCACATCCCTTGTACTATCATCCACCATACTATCCTTATCAATACTCATACTATCCTCCTCCGAATGCTGTACATCCACCTGCAGTACCACCACCACCAGTTGCAGTCCCAGTCACCAGCGATTCATATCCATCACCGGGCATTACCATGAAGCACTCTGTCACATTGGAGACTTTTTGTGCCAAATTCCACGTATCTGGCTCTGATTCAGAAAAGCTTTCCAAGCTTGGGTACAATCCTGGCAACCGCATTGTTGAAAGCCTGACAACAGATGATTGGCAGTCCGTCGGGTTCACTATGCTTAGCTGGCGTACATTCCTTTCTTATCATCGCAAATTTTGCGATGCCATTATTGCAGGTACATGGATCTCGCCTTCTTAGACATTGGACTCATTTGTACCCATTATGACCGCTATTTCGTGCTTTTCTTACTCATCAATTGTTGCTATGATTTGCTGTTTGCTGGACCCATCCTTTCTCGAAATTGTTCAAAGATGTTTGTACCATTAGTTGCAGGAGTATCAATATTGAACACTACAAAGTCACTACTAATCGACGATACAACCAGCATGTCGGAACCATCCTTTAGACATCTTCGGGGTGATACATGCACATGCCTCAATGAGTACACCAATTGGGTCATCATCATCATGAAAACGATGAGCGTGTCGTCGGAGATATACTTTGACTAGGTAATTATTAGCTTCAATGTCTGAGATGCCTGTGAATAACATACGTGCGCTGAAAGATTCTTCTATTGGATTCAAGTCGGGAGAGTAGGGTGGAAGGTATAGGAGGAGACAACCTTTGAGAACAGGATCATGTTTCAGTAGGCTAGCATTCACTATGTTACAAGATAACTCACCTGCATCACGGACAAGGTCATAGAGTTCTTCATTGTGGTGTATGCGGCAGTTATCGAGCACGAGCACAGACCTCTCTGCAGGGAAGGGGTTCATATATGGAAGCTAGTAGCAGAGATGAAAGACGAGTAGACAGGTGAGAAACAACACGCACCACTTTTGTTGCAATAAACTCATAAAAGCTTTGGCTATCGAATGAGCCTTCAACTGCGTGAGCTGCTATATAGCCTTCTGTTGTAATTGCTGCAACGAGTGAGTAGTGATCTCCACGGACAAAGACATCTGTCAATGCTGCACGTCGACCTGCCATTGCTCTGCCATACTGGCGAGCCCACGTTATCTCATTCTTGCTCACTTCATCTACAAAAACAAATTCTGAGCCATCACCAGTGAAGTTCGTTCGCATCGACTCCTTCCATTCGTGACGGCGTTCCTTGTCCCTTTCTGCAGCAAGTTTGTGGAGTAATTTCCGTGTGAGTCCTGCTTCCTTGAGGTTGCAGCAAAGTGTAGAGACAGAAATGCTGATGTCATGTGTCAAAGCAAGCCATGTCACAACTTCGTCGAGGTAGAGGTCTGATTCTTCGGCAAACAAGGCCTCACAGGCTGTCATGAGAGCACGGGTGAGGATACGAAGCTGCTGGCCACGTATTGGCAAAGGGGGACGGTTGACAGCGCCATACTCTGCAAAAATTGCTTCCCAGCGGTAAATGCTAGCGCGGGAGATTCCCAGAGCATCGCAAACATCCTTGATGTCCCAGCCTGTGTTCCAGAGGTTTAGCGCACATTCTTTGAGATCAGCACTAATTTTACGATTGCCCATGGCTAGAATATGTTGTTATCACGATGAACGACAAGAACAAGACATATTTCCTAATCCGTTTTGGAATTCCGTGCCTCCGAAAAAAATAATGAATCTCATTATTCTTGGTAACAGCTGTAATAAAGATGGCCAAACGAACCGGTAGTCGAGAGACGCAACTATGTTATCGCAGGCTCCCTGAAGCTCCCCCATAGGTTTGTCCGAATTTTAGCATTTTTGAGGCCGAAATTTGGCCAAATCTCTGTCCGGACTTAGCATTTTTGAGGCTTTTGGAGGGCCGATGTCTGTCCGAAGTTAGCATTTTTGGCGGTGATTTAGGCTCACTTCAGGGCAGGTCATATAGTGACTTGGAGATAGATACTATAGACTTTGCCAGCGCAGGCCAGAGCCCTGTTCTCGTAATGAAGCTTCCTGAACAATTTCATATTCTACGAAACAAGACTTCTAATTCTATGACAGGATGATGACACTAGTGATGAATCAATGAAGACTCGTCTCCTGAGCATTCTGGTGTCCCAATATTCTCACGTACATTCAAAACCTATGAAACACAGAAATGTCACACTTTGGCGGAGGTCACACTGTGTGACCACTGACCTCTATCCGACTTAGCATTTTTGACGGTCAAAAAGTTGCATTTTTTAGGGCTGATTTTGGGGTTCTGGACGAACAGACCTTATAGGGAGCTTCAGGGGGGCTGTTATCGACCCCCGGAAGCGCATGAAGCAGACGGATAAGATGCACAAACAGCGCCTTCCATGTGCCAAGCTCACATTCATGCATAAAATCAACAACGAGCATGCGAAAAGCATCGAACCCTAGCGGACCAAGCTTTTCTACAAATGTGTTCTGTCCAAGAATCAGGTACTGATCAATAAAATTCGTTCTAAAAGTCGTCTCACCACAGTTGGCACCCAAGACCCCTCACCAAGCGTCATCTGTACTTTCAAGCCATCAACAGTATTTCCCCACGTGTAGATGAACTCGTGGGCTGCAGTCACTCTTGCAAGCGAGTACAATCTAAGATTGGCCAGGCGATCTCGCATGTCTCTAGCGAGACCCAGAAGATTGAATGAGGCTTTTGGAACAAGACAGCGCGGGCATGGGCAAGAGCCCATGTCTTTGATCGTTGCTATGAAAACCCTGAAATAATATTTATTGTTTCAATGAACAGCAAAAAAAAGTCAAAAAGAATGCACTTTTCTGGGTAATCGGCTGAATATGTGAAGATCCGCGGAAAGACCCTTCTCAATATTCCATCCGGACACTGAAGCACAATACCATGATGGTACACATGCAGAAAATTACTATCCAGTAAAATATTCCAACACGCATGGAATAGCTCTCGTCGACAATGTGTATGGAGAGCGGCTACACCGCTTTTCAATATCCGAGGGAGGCTGCTAAAAATATCTTTAACTCTGTCTGGAAGCTGAAGAAAATGATGTTGATGATAGCGTTGAATGGCATTGGAGAGAAGGGGCTTACCAAAGGCAAAAATCCCACAAGATGGCATGTGCCAGATGTGGGGGATGAGCATGTATACTTGCTCAAATTTCCGAAATATAAGTAGAGGGGCCACACTTTAGCTGTTCCGAAGTTTGCAAGATGAGTTGCGTCAGAAAAGAACATAAGTCCAGTGATGACGCATTTGAGTGAGCAGCCAGGTTCATTTGGCTGCCTCTGCAGGTCATCCTGGGCTTCCAGCCAGGAGTCAGAGGTATAAAGTTCATTGAATACGTGTTCTATCATGGCCATCAAGAGAGTCCTTCCACGAATGCTTGAAAGGAAACAGATGAAATGTGTTAGCTTGGATGTCAGAGAATGCGGCACGGATGACTGCCACAAGGGGGCAATAATGAAAGCCTGAAACACTAAATGATATGCTCTCAAGATCTTTGGACTTCGTAGGAATGTCCAAGTTGACATCCATCTCAACCCAATCGTCGGGAAAAGTGGTGGTCTTCTGGCTTCCGTCGTTGTCCAGCGCACGCAAGCACCTCCTGACCGAAAAGCTGTCAAGGTCTTTGGGGTTAAAATCCTCAGCTTGAATCACATCTTGGACGAGGCACATCACTTCAGTCTGCGACTTTCATTGGCTGCTGGAGTTCATCCACGTCATGAGACGATAGATGTTCATGTTTGAAAATAGATGAGGTGGTTCAGAGATCCCAGCAAGTGGGTCGGGTCCCTGGGCATCTTGCGTGCATGCAGTTGTGGGAGAGGTGTGGGCTAATAGCGAGGAGGGAACAAACTTGTCAGGCTCAAAAGATGGGCGCCGAGGATATTGTCGAGATAGTCCGAGCATGTTGAACACTGTTTGGAGAGTGTCGTGTAGCGTCAAAAGGACTCTGCAGATTCTACGCTGCGGCGTATTTTGAGTTTCAGTTGCAACAGGGGCAACATTCTCCAGAAAATCTGAGGGATTAAGGTCTTCCTCGACAGGGAGAAGGTCATCGAAATTCCTTGGCACTAATATGCGTCGCGAAGGTGGGTGTGCTGGCCATCCATGAGGACTACGGGAATAGATCAAATCCTGAAGGTGCGCACCTAGAATTTCCAGCGCGCGCTCGCCTTCAGTGGTATCCACCATTGTGACGTCTAAATCCTGCGACGTACTAAGAGCCGAGGCACCAATCGAAGTGGTAGTACTAGCTTGACCATTCAAGTTGTGCTCAAATTCCTTAGGTAGGCAATGGGCTATAGGTATCAAACATCGATTCTTTGTGAATCGTATTTGTTGAAGCAACTGTGTCTGATATGTAAGTCTATGCCGGATTCCTCGAGCAACCCGTCATAGTGCAGTACGATCGAATCGACTCTTGTGCCCGTTCCTGTCTATTTTCCATAGCTAACATGCTTGCCTTCTGGTAGGGCCTGCATATAGCATGATGACGGCTAAGACCACGAGGGTCCGTATCTTTTGCCCAGGAGCAACCAGTTGCATTGCAGCATAAGGATATAGTGACCATTAGAAGGAGGAAGATAAGCCATAGACTGACGCCAGAAGAACATCGAGAGAAATACATGCAACTCAATGACTAGCCTGACCTCAGACTTTCGCCAAGTCTGCAAGTCGAAGGCAACAAAATTGGTGGCAGTGTTTTTGATTACTGCGGCGCCTAGTATTACTCTTAGTAATAGTAACATCACGTTTAGGTCTAGTAGTCCGCTTAGCTACAAGTGTCATCGTTGTAAAGATACAACAATGCTTGATACTATATGAAGTAAGTGTCAGCACTATAATAATGTTATAGTGGTCTTGCACAGCCTAGTCTGCTATACTTGCTAGACAAGTGTGTTCGACCCGAGGGGTTTGCTATTGGAATAAGTTAGTCTGATGCCAAAGTGTCGGCCGATGTTTTCGGGTTTAGCGGGTTGGCGGGTTTCGGGTACGGGTTCGGCGGGTTAGCGTCGGGTTAGGGAAATGGTTGTTGGGTATAGCAAGCGGTATGCAAAATATCAATAATGACGGGAGTTTCGGATAGAAAGAGCGGTAATATTCGCAATGTCAACTAAGAACTACGAAAATATCGGGTTTGACCACAAAGCGTCGGGAAACGGCTCCCTACTACTTGGATCATCAATATGCTATGTGGAAACCAATATATATATAAGTACGTAGAAATCCGGAACCCTATAGGCGAAAGTAGCGGCCGAAGAATTTTGGGTCTGGTGTACATGTAAATAAACACGAGGTGCTGCGGACTATGGGAAACCATGTAATAGCGCTGGCTACGATGTGAGTAATGTGCGAAATAATCAACTACGCACCTAGTGGGGATAGCTGACAAGACAAGACACGGATAGGACAAGTGCGCGGGAAAAATGTCGGGTCCGATGCGGCCGATGTGTCGGGTCCGCTGGTCAAAGTGTCGGGTTTGGTGGGTATGCGTCGGGTTGCATCAGGAAGTGAATATCGAGCAATGAACATTTGACGTGATGCATGGAATGGCTGAATACGAGCCTAGCGCGAGCTCGAGTGCTACATCGTGATTCGGACTCATACAATTTTTTTAATAAATTACAAGGACACACTTTTGGTTGCACTGAACACAATGTTTGCATCGTCATCCTCAATGTACCATGTCGGAAAACAAATGCCCTCGCTATTCACATGTTTCAAAGGGAACCTTTCGAATACAGTACGGTCCTTGAGCTGTGTGCAGCGCCTGCACCATGTGATGTGGATTCGGGCCTACATAGACCTTGAACTCCCTCAGTCCTGTTGAATTTGTTCAGAGCCTGGATGTCAAAGGAGTGAGCTCACATACTCCTGTGAAAATTCATCTGCCAGACTTAGTTTTCGCGATGACAAGGTTGGTCGGCGTCACCTTTCTAAATGTTATACTCTCTTCATCTCATCAAGCGCAGAGTACGTCAGCACGTGCAAGATCATGAAGCGCGGCAGTTACTCAACTGACAACACTGAGTGCTTCTAACTTCAGCGGGATCCATCGCTTCGCTGTAGGTAATTGTCGTGTGCTGCTCCATCTACTTGATGGGTCCTGTGGAGTGCCCACCAGTATGTTTTCTGGAACATAGTTCCTGCTTCGTCAACTGCTCCTGAGTGTTGTCAAGGTGACTATGTCAGTCATTCGAGGTAAGTTTCAGGTATATCTCGACACTCGCTGACCACACTGTAAGTTCGTCGATGGTTCCCGTGATCTTGGGAGAGATGGTCTAGAGAGCTTTATTGGAGGTAAGTTGTGGGAGGAGTTCTTCTATGCTCAGAACACAGGGTTGGGGAAGGAGGTCGAGATAATGGGGATCGAGATCAGAACCGGTAATGACCGTGATGAGGTGACCGTGATTGAGAATGGGAATCATAACACCACCGATTCTCTCTTTCCTGCTTGTAGGGCGGAAGATCTGGAGAGGTATCATACTGCCCAAATTCAGCGCGGATCCCCGAGTTCGTTCAGAGAAAGTGTTACACCTGCATCAGATTGTCATAAATCAATAGATCACGATCACTCCGCATGTAACAGTATATCTCTAGGACCAAGTTCATGAGAAAGACAGAACAGAGTTGCATATGGATGAGAAGAAACCACTGACCATGTGCAAAATGTTCGGCGTTCGGGTGCCTCTGGCCCTCGATATAAGGAGTGCCTAGGTCTAGGAACTCGGAAAGAAGTTTGATGGCAGATTCAGCTTGTATGTCTATTGATTTCACGAGAGAAATGATGGACATCATTAGGGACTAGAACATATGTCAAAGTAGCACACAAGCAACTATAATACATGTACCTCAACGTCAAGGTTTGCCAGATGCGCAGTTCAACATGACAGAGAAAGATGGTGGCCAAACTGGGCTGGACTGGGGTAAGGACAATACAGGGTGAATGAGTTAGACGCGACATGCTGGGCGAGATGAGATGCGTGTATAAATGCAAGAAGAAGCACGCACCTCTGCATAAAGATGACTTTGGTACACCCAGCATCTTCTGGAGATTGATCGTTCAAGTTCATCAGCATCGTGACAATCCCTGCGGTCCCAATAGTGATTCCTATGTGCCAGTCGGGCAACTCATATACGAGACTCCCCCGTTGGTAATAATTGTGGTGACGAGAAGCGTGGTGGGGGCGAATAATGTTTTTGGTAATCGAACTGCGAGCATATATCAGCTGGAGCGCGCACGTGGGGTAGACACGAATTGGTTCCGCGGGATCAGACGTTGCGTGCTTATATATATAAACTCACCAAATGTCGCTTCATCTGATTGTATTTTGATGGTGCTGAGGGACTCGCATAGGTTAGGAAGGAGCTGGTGAAGCTGCATCAGGTGCAGGTGAAGGTGCAGCTAGGGAAGAAGCTGGTGAAGCTGCATCGGGTGCAGGTGAAGGTGCAGTTAGGGAAGGAGTTGGCAAAGCTGCATCGAGTGCAGGTGAAGGTGTAGCTATGGGGGAGCTGGTGAAGGAGCTGTCGAAGCTGCATCGAGCATAGGTGAAGGTGCAGCTAGGGAAGAAGCTGGCGAAGCTGCATCGGGTGCAGGTGAAGGTGCAGTTAGGGAAGGAGCTGGCGAAGCGGCAGCGGCAGCTTTGAAAACATAACATGTTGCAAAGACATGCAAGCACGCTCTGCGGCTCTTGTCCAGTATATGTATGGGTGGACATAGCTAATACCTTAAGCATCAAATTCATATCTTTTCTAATCATCCTCTTTATAACCACAAGTCTGAGGCAGAAGCCCACTCCTGTATGAGGTGAGAAGCGATGGTGTCATGTAAGGGAATTTGGAACATTGGCTATACACATCAACCAGTGATGCAGTATGGGCTAGGCTATATGGGCCAGATATAGTAAGTCTTGGAGGTGCAGTGGGTTTCCACCACTGTGCGAACCATCGGCTTGGTTTGCTTTTGCGCTGACCTGACGGAGTTGCCAAGGGGGAATGAGGAGGTGAAGGAATTGGTGAATAGGCATGATGGCTATGATACACCGTTGGTGCTTCAACAAACTTCACTGACGGTGCAGACCACTTTTTCCTGAGAGATGTCTTTGTTGTTGTTGCAAGGGATATTCCTGAGTCATGTCGAGTGAGGATAGATTTTACAGGAGCAGGAGCTGATTTTGTACACTGTCGAAGAAGAGGCGATGGATGAGGCATTTTGGCATGCACAATGCATTGGAGGCCGGATGTACTCCGAGCGGTATCACGAATAAGAGGGCATTCCTGGGTTTGAGGGCATGGAGGACTCAAATAGTATGCTTCTGCGTCTGCCTGAGGATTCATCGCACTCTAAAGGTGGGGTCTATATAAGCAAGGTGGGTTATAGGTTACAGTATCTGTCATGGAGATAAGATGCACCAGAACTCTTCGAAGGCTGTGGGGCATTGAAGAGTAATTACCCTTGAATTCCTCTTCTTCTTCAGTGTTATGTCCTGACTTTGTGTTAGGGATGCCACATGTCACGTTGATTTGACAACTCACCGCTAGATCACTCAAAGTTTTAACTGGAGAAAGATCAGTGATAGAATGCATGAATGGTCCATGAGAGACTGGTGGCACTATGGCAAGATGGATGAGCTCACATTGACTATAGTATCAGTATCTAGCCAATCTCTCAGAATCTCGTTGTCGGGTGCGGAAAAGTAGGTGGGCTGCTCAAACTCTTCTGAATGCTTTCAGAGTCGCTATATGGTCAGTCTAAAATGACATAAGAGATCCGCAAGGGCGCTTATGCTGAACCTGTGAGTTTGAGTGACAGACATGGTAGTTGCAGAGAGTAAGAGAGCCAGCGTGCATTCTGAAAGGACAATTTGAATATGTTCCGAGTGCACGTTGTAGGGCCAGGGCTATGAAAGTTGGGAAATAGATCAAGAACACATGAAGATAAGGCTTGGAATACTGGATATGAGTCATCTTGCAAGGTGGCAAAGGCATGTTTGGGTAATGATTAAGCCCATCGTGTGCAGCACACAAATATTGCTTCCACATAAAGGCCATCATGGGAAGCAAGTCATGGAAAGTGAAAGATGGACATGTAGTCGTCGAGGGTCTTGTCATCTGTGGGATTACGAGGCATGCAGCACCAATGACGTAGTAATTTGATATTCGAACAGTATGGTGGATGCATCCACATGTGGATATAGTGTTGAAGTTACCAACAGATGGACATTCAACACCTGTAGAAGAAGTTTGTGACTGAAGGTACGAATGGGGGAAAGGACATACGACAGCCAATCTCGAACAAATTGTTGTCACCAATTCTCATCACTTCTTTGCGGCGATTGACTATTATAGCGGAGAGAAGTCAGCAGTTGCATGTGGAATTCCTGTGCAAGTTATCAAACATTCAAACAGAGCTATATTACTGCGGACTAACCTAGGGGAACGACAGGATACCATCTCAAGACCTCGCGGAGAATGGCATCAAGGTAGGGCATTGACGCCCTGTCATCAAGGCACGGCATTTTATCATGTTTTACAGCTTGGTCGATTTCTGCACGAGCTTGGACATCAGCATAGGGCACCATGGACAGCAGGAATATCTGCAATGCGGCTGGAGTCTGCGGGACATCAAAGTAAGAATCAGGACTGCTTAAGTAGTGACTTGTCCATGCCAACTAAGATACCGGATTCCCATCAATGGATAAATTTTGTGTGGGACGTGGCCACAGCACCGTCAGCATCGGGCAAGGAGGTGAAAAGATGAGTGTCGACATGTAAGTAGGCAAGAGGCAGTGTCTTACTTGGACAGCACCTTGGCACTCTTGTACTGCTCCAAAAACTTCTGTGAGAGGATGAGCTCTCCCTTGGGATCATGACCAGCAATATTGAGGACAACATCTATAAAGTAATCTGTCTAAGCAACATCACGGGAGAGGCACACTTTCACGTACCCTCGTTGCTGAGAGCAACAGATATTCTGGTATATGCGTGGGACATCGTGATCAAATGAAAGTGCATATCCGAGTTCACGGGACTTCAAGTCATTGGATTCGACGGCACGTGCATTCAAGTTCAGACAAACATACTAGAACTGGATGAGAAGTCACGCACTTCTGGAATCTGCACTGGAGGGGTTTGCTTTCAGTGCACTGACAAAGATGGGGGGATGGGTGACCAGTGAAGCGTGCTAAGGCTGTCTGAACTAAAATAAAATTCTATGAGTGGAATGTGTAATTAATATTCATTTGCAATACTCACAAGAATCACTCGGCTTCGTAGATTTCGTCGACATAGACATTAAGAAGGGAAAGGAATGGGCAATGAAGACAGGTTTTAGCATCTTCAAGAACATCATGGTGGTTGCTGCACGACACAGCACCTCTCCAAATGGACTGGGCTCAATTGTGCGCACTGTACATGGGAAACGCAGGAGCTTGCCAGACCATAAGCATGCTATCCGGCCCACTCCATTCTGTCAGCTGACGGACTTCCTCGTGAAGCCCAACTGCCATGAGCTCCTTCAGAACAGAAAGGAGAACACGACCATGTGCCAAGTTGATGAGTGTCTGGCTAGACAGACGGCTTGGCTTGATTGCCCCAGATGGGGAGTGCGTCCTATCACCAAGGCCTAGATTGAGACGTATCAGCAATGACTCGGCGAGGTTGAGGCAAAGTTCCCTTACAAGAGCATTGATTACTAGTATGTGTGTAACTAGCAGCCATTGTTCCAGAACATTGAGAAGGATCCTCACTACACCACCTCGGCAGATGGTGGCATATTTGTGAGTGAAAGGCAAATATATCAAGGCTGCTGTGCCTGTGTCTTCACTCACCCGTAGTAGGTTGCAGCATCTCGATAGCACCAATCCATGTCTTTCAAGTCTCAAAAAAACTACTAGCTAGCAGCAACTGAGGGATAACTTCATGAACGTCCACCGACACAAGGCTGTGTTGCTGAAGCTGGATACCCGGGCCTGTATGACCGGCACCTAAAATTCAAACTCCATGGTCCTTGCTCCCAGATCGACTCTATCACAGCCGTAGTTATGTTAGCCAGCTGCTGGTCACGAGCCTAGTAAGTGATTCTCCCTTACTTCATACTTTGTTTTAGATTAAACATTTTAGATCCGGTAGATGGCTAGAATATTTTCGATTGATGGTCTGAGGCGGTGACTATGCGACTATGGGTGCGCAAATTGTGTAATCATGGCGATTATGCAATAATATTGATCATCACTTATGTATTTACACCATGGTTTGCCATTTATGAATTTTGCCATTCTCTGACTCGCAGATCAGTTAATTCAATATGACTTCACATGCCCAACCTCGAGTTCGTCGTAAAGTTTATATTTTAATATGAGTACTTATCTTTTGACTGCTACTCGCTACCCATCATGTCAGGGTGGGGCAATCAGCTATCACAGGCTGACATCGACATCACACACAATCCTCTTGGTCCTCACTCGGATTTTGGTTTCAATTATAACCATCAACTCAATGATCAAGGCAATTATCAGACCCAATCAGCATGGCTCCCACCTCAGCCATCGCCACCTCATGCCCACCATCATGTAGCCTCAAGTTCAACAAGTTCGACTCTGGCTGCAAGCCACTACTCATCGTGGGCTCCACACCAGCACTCGCAAGGTATTCATGGGTCATGGTTGCCGCAGGGCCTTGATTATGGGCTGGGTGCAGCTGATCAGGATCAGTCGTTTTGGCAGCCATTGCCCTCCGGGCAAGCCCTGCCTGAGCCTGTTATTGCCCACCCCGTACCTCAATGTTTATATTATCAGTCATGTCCACAGCACTTTTTGCTGCCTGGCAGCCTCCACCCAGCCCAACTCCGCCTGCAAGCTTGCCCCTCCTTGGGCTGACTCACCAGACTGACGAGTCTCGGGCTCAGGCTCTGCCAGTTCCATCTGTGAACCCATCCGTGTTTGACAACACGTTGCACCATCAAAATCTCACCAGTCTTTCCCGCTCATCCCATAAGATTTTTGATGACATTTCCCAGCATGTAGCCCTCGCTGCACCTCGCCGCTGCCGTCGAGTCCCCCAAGAGCAAACATCCGGGCGGAGCGCTAAACGCAGACACAACCATGCTTGTCTACACAATTTACAATTATCCCATATGGCAATGAAGTGATATTGGATCAGTGCACTCACATAATCAAGCTGACTGCATTCAAGACGACATTGTTACCTACCGATGCTGATGTGGATAGTATGGTTGATGTGTCATGTAGGGCTGTGGCTAGTCAACAAATTGATGGTATGTCTTCCAAAACTTCAAGTAGTCGATAGTGTACTGACTTGGATCGGGAACAGAGACACTCCAGGCCTGGGTGTTGGATAAGCTGGAAAATGAGAAGGACTATTACAGAACGAGGCTCGAGCCCATACTCATGACTATATCTGGCAGTATGGTGGCGGCAGCTAAAACATTCACCTATATCAAATATGGCCTTAGTTTTGACTACACCACAGCGGTGAATGGCACCCACGTCGCTGAGCGCGCATTGCATGCCAATCATCTGGTGCAGAATGATACATTTCTCTCTGGCACATTACATGTAAGTGCGTTACGCAGAGTTGGGCCCCTTTTCTGATGAGCTGCATGTCTCCTTAGGTCAATGGAGATAGTATCACCATCACTTTTGCAAACCCAGCTATCATAGCATTGGTCGGATACTCCCTACATGACAGCGAGCATCAATTCCACAGGTACATCGGTGATGATCTCAACTTCAAACCTTTACTAGCAATGTCTGCTACTCTCTGCCTGTGGATGCTGCAAGAACACATCAAGGTATATGTGTCCCAGTTCAGTGTCCTACCAGCACACATCGGGCTCATCATGCTCACTTTGTTCCACTGCTGGAGGGTATGTCCACAATGGAGCTAACTGCCCTGACTCACATCCTCACTAATGGATCCGTGCTGAGTTCGCCGCTTGATCAACGATTCTTACCCCTTCCATTGTTTACATGCACCCCCAAAACCTTATTTACATACCATATACGGTACTATCCTGCAATGGTGTATCAATCGAGGAGCAGCTGGGGATCTTTCTTTATACGTGTGTCACAGGATTATCATCCCACCTCGTCGGGGAAAGATTTCAATGCTCCCCTGACACGGTCACAAAGTACATGCTTTCAATATAATTTTTCAAGTGACTCATCTATTTTACAAGATACTTCAAACGGCTGCTTGTCTTCTTCTCGTCCAATCCATTTTACAGCTCCCAGGTTGTATTTCAAACCCATGAGACCCCAATTTCCGACAAAATACTCAACGATCCTCGATTTCAGAACTTTGATCAGTGTATTGGTGCAGTAGACGGTACCCACACTCAGGCTTTTGTACCACCAGAAGAACACTTCCATATGTGCAACCGCAAGGGTTTTTTGTCACAAAACTGCCTCTTCATCTGCAACTTCAACTTCAACTTCCTGTATTCGCTTTGCGGATGGGACAGATCTATGTCCAATGCCACTCTGGACAGATGCCCATGTTAACAACCTACAAATTCCTGTGACATACCGATCCCAGACATCATCATTCTTTCTCACTATTCCAGCCCCAAACTCGTCACTCCACGTAAATCCTGACGTATTCTTGATATCTAAGACGGTGTTATAGGCTGATTTGAGCTACAAAGCATGGATCCTTTGAGTATAGAAATATAATCATAAATTATAATCATGACGTACTGATTGCCACTTGTTCCTACAAGCATCAGATGTCTTCTCTGCACCAGATGCATTTGGAAACCTCTCCGTCAACAAGCTTGCAGCTGCCTTGAATGTTGCTTCCTTAGGGTTTCCATCGCCACTTGCAGAGAACTCAGACAACAGAAACTCTACAAGGGCACCTTCTTCTTCTGATGTCCAGATAGTGGCAGGCTTTCTTTTCTTCTTCTTGGGCAGTTCCACTGGATTAATCGTACCACGAGAACGAAGGGAGTGAGTAGATTCATCACTAGTACTATTGCTCGACGTAACAGATGGCATGGCGGTCACAGTGAGTAAGCGAGGTGGCACTGTGGGAACGTGTGATCCGGGTTCTCCATGACCAACTCAGTTCAATTTGAATTTGTTTATTCGCTGTCCAGACTGAGCCTAAATGCTTGTTGAGTGGCAAGTGAGGCCCATCAGGGTGAAGTATCACTCAGTGCTATGAAGTCTCGAGTGGATGTCCTACATCATAACGTGTCCCGCAAAGCAGGACAAACGTGAAGTAATCGAGCAATGACGAAATACGTAGGACGCTCGTTCAGTTGTAAGTGAGAGATTGAGGTGAAGCATCACTCACCGCTATGAATTATGAGGTGTTTGAGTAGTATACAAGTCCGGTATCTGTTGCGACAACCGAGTACCAGTGCAGTAAAACCTAAGTTCACAAGATCATCGAAAATTTTGGGCTTGTGAGGCCGGACGGAGCATGATTGCGAAGGCATGAAAGATTGCGTGAACTAAAACTTGAGACACTGTGATGTTGCTTAGTAGTTCACAATATCATCGGAAATTTGGGGCTTGTGAGGCCGGACGGGGCATGATTGCGAAGGCATGAAAGATTGCGCGAACTAAAACTTGAGACACCATGATGTTGCTCAGTAGTTCACAAGATCGTCAGAAATTTGGGGTTTGGGAGGCCAAAAGGAGTGCGATTGTGAAGGCGCGAAAGATTGCGTGAATTACAGTTTAGCACTGCCACTGTGGATGCTGTAGCGCTACACCAAGGTTCGAATCATCGATGAACGTGGTCACAACCGCAAGTTCTGTGCACTCGAGCAAAATTGTCAACTTTTGATTTTGTCCAAAGGGATTATCTGATGGGGTGTTGTGTTCCAGAAAGTTTCCACTGAGCAATTAATGCTTCTCAGCGACAGACTACGAAATCTATCCATTGAGAAATTATATGTACTCTGACATACCTTAGGACGATGTTTGCACTCCGTATATTGCATTGTTCTGTCCGACGGTCTACAAAGAAATATTTCACGGTGAAACTGGTCCAATGTTCAGTCAATACAGGCAAAGTGTCCATTGTGAAGTGATGGTTACTGTGACTCACACTTTTCAGCCAAGCAAGTTACCTGCACATTGGGTGCAAGGGCCAAATGACACCCATCCTCTTCACGGGTGAGCATCACCCAAGTGTCTTTCACCTTCACAGATCACAACCTCCTTTCTTTTCTCTCTCAGTATCTGTCCATATTAAACTTCATGAACCTGGGCCTGTTTATGTTTACTTAGACACATTCAAATGAAAGAGATCACTTAGCCAATATCGTTCCTCAGCTGGTGTACTTTCAAATTGTTGTTTCCTCGACAATGCCAAATATTCCCATGTGGAAGCGGTCAGCAGATATACGAAGATTGTTGTGATGCTGTATTATATATTGCTTTAAAGAACCTTCTCATTTGTTCATCGGTTCTCTGATGTACATCTCTTGGGAATCATCGCTGCGGACGGTTGACTTTTGCATACCACATTACAATGTGCATTTACACTCGCACAACAGTTTTGTTGATTTTCAGTGTCTATGCCTTCTCTGGCAAAAAAAGGGCTTATCTTATAAGTATCCTCTCATTTGGTTCGGTACATCAATATATCTACTCCACTGTGCATAGCTGACCCATATGGTGCAGGCCATCTTAGTGACGTCCCTAATTAAAAGTGCTGCCCCCGTCAATTAGAAGATTTCAGAAGGCGAGGTCTCAAGTCTCACTTCTTAGTCTTAGTATTCGTCCCCTTTCAGTCAGTCCCCCTTGCGTGTTGGAAGCTGTAACAAGAGAAAGCCGGTGTGTCTCAACTTCTTCTTCATCCCTACATGGCCAATACTTGACAATTTCACCAAGGATATAATTTACACCCTTTTTTATATCTTTCCCCAGTGAATCAAAATTGTGACGGGTGAAACTTGTACGCGAAAATTCAGCCCCAGGAGCGGTGGAATGGAGGTTGCCACTTGGCATGGGGATCAAGCCTATGAGAAGCTGGTCAGCATGTTGAAAGATGTATGGCAGTGGATAATTAAACCATAGCCAGTCGCTGTTGCTATATATTGTGGGTGTGTTTTTTTAAACGAGTGCTCCCTATGTCTCATTGGCTTCATAACCGCTATCATCTGGATACAGTGCTGGATCTGCGTCATCACACCCATCCAGGAGTGCCAGCGCGAGCGGATCTAGGTTTGGATTGATCCCCAAGTTTTTGCGAGCTTTGAGCGTGATGGAAGCGATACCCTTAAGGAGCGATTCTGGTGTTGTAAGGATTACGTTGCCAGCGGTGTCAGCGCGCGATCGTTTATACATCAAATAACACTCTTCCCAACCAAATCTATCGTTCAAGATGAGAGGTAAGCCACTTTATAGTGAATCACACAATCCTTCCCACGATGTGCATGGGCATACACCACACACCAACTTGCAATACCTTTCATTTATTTAGTTCATGGCAAGTCACTGCCAGTCTGAGGCATTTCTTTATGTGGTATCCATGAGATCCTCATTACACCTCGTACTTTACAGCGCCCATGAGCCCATAACTCGGTGGAGTGGGGCGAAGTTGTCTTGCCGAGACTCAATTGTAAAGTTATCGCGCCTGAGCTCAATTAGATCTTCTTACAGTCAATCAGAAATTTATGTGCATCAAACGCGCTTTCACAATGTTCACAGAATCACACCGGTCTTGTTAACGGTTCAGACACCAGGACATTGCTTGGAGAAATCAAGCTCTTGCAGAATATGAGGTGTCCTCCAGTCGTAGAGGCCATGGTGCTGAGGTGATGACATACCTAACCTGCCAATGTCTTGATCTGATGAGTGTTACCCTGTTATGGTTGCATTCACACATTTGGAAGACCAAGTAAATATAACAATGTACCAAATATTTGCTGGGGCATCCTGGTACCTGTGTCATGTGTTGTGGGAAGTAAGACTGGCGTCCAATGTTCATCGGTAATGAGAGCTTGTCATAAATGCCAGCTCGCCATAGACCTGGCTTTTGGCGGTGGTCAAGGGTTGCAGGGAAGCTTTTGGCACCAGTTCACATTTTTGATAGCAGCAACTCATCATCAGAGACAGGGTGTTCAAATGGATATCAAGTAATTGGCAAAATTTAGAGTAAGCAACATTATAAAACATTTGCAAAAGGGTGGTCGAACCGTCTTACTGGCCTAAGTAGTGAACCGGGTAATACCAACGGAGTTTGATTCACTACTTCACTGAGCTGAGAGCGTCTTTGAGTTATCTTTCCCAAATCCCATCGTACATACATACATACTATTAGTGTAGAATTATATATGACAAAGTAACAAATCAAAGTAACAAATAACAATAATGTACGTTGAATCTCATACAGCGCAAGGTAGTCAAGTGTCCCAATGCTGATGCAGACGTTTTTGGTGATCATGTTAATCCGATCTGGATCAATATCAACCTATTCCGCCAATTCTGCTAATTCTGCCAATTCCACCAATTGCTCGGAGTCTGAAAGGTGAGTATCATGGTCTAGTTGTTTATCAAATGCGAACTCACTATGTGTTTGTAGTTTTGTGATTTTTACAATATCAACACGATGCTCTTGCATGTTTTTAGTAACCCCTTACTTTTACATCTGGCACAAATAAATGGCTAGTAAGTGCAGACCAGGAGAATGTCGGTGTGACAAATTCGATGTTCTTATTTGTACTTATATATCCATCCCAGCGCGCCCATATCCAACACAAACACTTATAATATATAAGCTCATACAGTCGAGCTACACAACTTTCACCTCACCTCACATACAAGACGCAACATTAATATGTGTATTGTGCGTCTCAATTTGTTTGTTTTACAACTCACTCAGGAACACTGAAGTTGACACAGGGAACACTTGAAGCAGATCCTATGGAGGTTAACCCCGACTTAAATGGAAAGTACCCTGTATGTGCATCTCAATCTGTTTCTTTTGCAACTCACTGAGGGAAATGCTGAAGTTGTCGCAGGAAAATTTTCAGGAACAAGACCCTATGGAAGTCGACACTGACTTAGAAGAAACACACCCGGTGTTAAGACCATGCACAAAGGGTAGGACTGAGGGGCTTGGCTTCAGCTCGTGTGCTGCGCCCCTTACCCGAGTATGTGCCCTTAATTTCAGATTGGTGTCTGAAGAAAGTCCAAAGACGTCCGAAGGATGTCCGAAGGCACGGGAAACTTCGGAAGGACTTTCCGGACGGGTGCAAGTAACTTGTGGATGAGTGCGGGAAAGTTCCGGAGGAACTTCCGGAAATTACAATGAGGTTTCATCCTGATACAGATACGTGTAATGGCTACTCGGGACTTGTCCTGAGTAGAAGCAAACAGAGGAAAGACTGCAAGGACAAAGTCCGAAGCAGAATAGGTCCGGAGGACCACGGGAAAGTTCCGGACAAACTTCCGGAAACTTCGGATGAGTGGAGGAGCAGAGGATCGGAGGATCGGAACTCCGGCCTAGGGAATTCCTCCCTAGGCCTGAGATGGATATTGTCTAAGTTGGAAGACTAGAACTGATATGAGGACTTAGAGTGAGATCTAGTGCGAGGACTAATATGATATTCAGACTGAGGTACTACAAGACATATACACGAGTTTATATACTAAGAGAAATAATGGAAGGATCAATAAGCAGAGTCCGAGGCTATGTATGAAGCATATGCAAAGGTTAACAAACGCGAGTCGGAAATGAACATAGGTTAATGGATCAGTAAGCATACTGGTAATAGATATAACCGAAACAGCGGAATAGAGGAAATACGAAATAGGCTGTGTATAACGTTATAAGAACAGGAAATGAATTAGGAAGCTTATCTATATCAGATCGGAAGCAGATCTATACATCGGATTGGATATGGACCGGATGAGATGCGTGGATATATAGGATGTGGCATTAGGGTGATGGGACAAGGATGAATGATGCAGGCTAGCTGCGAAGGATAAGGGATCTGGACGTGGACATGCGGGTGTAGATGTGCAGAGGTGCAGGGATCCGGATGGGTACTGGAGACATGAATAGGACATCCGAAGGTCCGGATGAGGCGTGGGAATATTATCGGATGTAGGTCCGGAATATGGGATATGACACCCGGTATTTATTTCTCGATTTGCATCATTTGCAACTCACTCAACGCTGAAGTTGTCGCAGGAAATGTTTCAGGAACAAGACCCTATGGAGGTCGACATCGACTTAGAAGAAACATACCCGGTATTGTATTTCTCAATTCGCATCATTTGCAACTCACTCAATGCTGAAGTTGTCGCAGGGAACATTTCAGAAACAAGACCCTATGGAGGTCGACATCGAATCAAATGACGCGAACGCGGTTGGTGCATCTCAATCCTTTCTATTTGGAATTCATCAAGTGCAGGGAACACATCTTATGGATGGTGATGCAAGCGTCAATGCAGACATTGACATGAATGAATTCTATTTGGTCTGTATATACACTTTGTACTGTTTTTCTGTTTGACTTTTATTTTATCCAGGAAAATATGGAGAGCAGAGAGGCGATGCAGATTGATGCAGACTCTGATCAGATTGACATCGATTGAGAAATCAGATCCCAGCCTCACGTTGTAGCCTGTTTTGCATTCATACTATTGCTCATTGTATCATCATATATTCCACCCCACTCTTACCAGGTTTCTGTATCGTTATACCACAATCCAACAACTATTCCTAGGCCCTAGTGCCAATGATACATGTTTGTTCGAAATGTCAAGATATGACTATTGATGTCACTCTCATACGTACTCATTTCATTCTTTTACATACACAATCACTCTTCGTTGCATGCCTTATACATGTTCTCCTTTGATTCTCCATCTCAATCATTGTATCAATACCTCTCCCCGTCGAATGTTGTTCGGTAGTCTTTTGACCCAATCTCAAGTCTTGGTTCTCGTTCTTAGTCCGAGCCTCACAATTCGTAATATGAAACACGTTGCTCAAGTTACCTCTGTCTATTGCACTGACTCTAGTGTCCCACAAAGCTTCCTGCCGCACCAGGAAAGATGCTACTGTGGTCATCTTAGCTCATTTCTTCAGCCGGCACACTGAACTTTCGGTGATGAATGATGAAGTCTTGTTTGTGCAGAATGCAATAGATGATTCTGCCAGAAACACTATAGCTTATAACTATAGATTACCAACTAAGTACCGTTCTTTGTTGACCAAATCAACAATATCTCACTATAGAATCGCAGTTACACTTTGCATTCTTGCCAATCAGATGGTATGTGGGAATATCCGGTTCACTATTTAAACCCCGAAATCGTCAACTGTCACTCTTTTCCTTCTTACACCATGTAGTACCTATAGTATACATTATTGGTGCAGAGTGTACCCTAGTGTAATACTATAGATCTGATTCTGTTTGAATGCGTACATTCACGTAAATATTTGAGAGATTTTATTGGACGCCATTCCTCCCTACACAAATGTCTGCATGAGCTTTCTTCTCATCGCTTGCGCGCCAACCTATGCAAATACTGCACCAAAATTCTGACAACTTGGTCAGTCATAATGTTTCAATCTGTATCCTGATATTTACCTGGTTCAAAGGTTTTAGAACAATGTCAACCTCCCCCCACTTCATTGAGATAGAGTGGCAAATGCGACTGGTGGCCACTGGGAAAATGTCAAGATCCTGGTGGTAGGCAGAACACCATAGTGAAGCACCAAAGTCACTGTACGATCGGAAAGGATCCTGGCATACTCTTGCTAGAGGTAAGTTATGCCGTACTGTGAAGTAATATTTCTGGTCCTGACTTTCTTCTCCTATGGAGAAAATATGCTCAATCACTCCAGGCACAAACTCTTGGTTCTTGTGCCAGAAGAACATGCTTGAGTCACGATTTGACCAGGAGTGACCGCAGTACTGCCTGCCTGAGATATCCAATCGTTTGTAGAGTGTAATGGAGGCACCTTCAGAGTCAGGATGATCTTCACATAGGTGAGCTTGAGCTGCTTTCCATGCTTTTAGGAGATCACCGGGGACTGGGGTCTTGAGGACATGGATATCCCAGTGAGAACCACCATTGTGTCCACCTGCAGACAGGATATCCATTTCGGTATGGATATTGCCTCCCATGAATGGGTCACAATATTGACTCAAAATTGTCGCAGCCTCATTGAGAATGGCAGGTCCTGTAGGATCTTGTACCATGGCTTTAATGTTTGCGGTTGCGCAAAACATCTCCAGCATTGTCTTCTCTAGTTCTCCTGTTACACCGTTCATACTCTTCTTGTATTTTAGTGTATAGCTCGCTCACCTATCTTGTAGTTGGTGTTCGTTTTTTGGAGTGCACTGATGATTCTCTCAAACGGAAACATCCACCAGCCATGCATAGGACCATATCTCAAGAGGAACTCGCGGATGTGAAGAGCGGCATGATGATTTGGGCGCCAAGAATGATGCGTGAATATTCCTTTGATAGACTCGAGGTATGCCTTCATATATCTAGTGTATTGCTGAGCGTGATGTGATGATGTTACATGTGAAGTTCCCCAACGGATTGCAATCACCAGCAGCATTGTGCTGTGAACCAACTTCTGCAGTTGAGATTTGCGATCAGCATTGGTGCCATCAGCTGTATGTTTGGAACCCCACAATTGCATCAGAGCTACTGGTAAGTCAAATTCAATTGACGATTTCCACTGTTCCACCTTGAACTTGCCGTGTTCCGTGTCCCCTAGGTTTTTTGGCAGGCCACAGTGCCATGTTGGCCTCTGAACGTTTCCCAACTTTTCCTGGATAGCATTTATCTTGTTGTCTGACAGTACTTCCGATCCCTTCGGTCCATCTTTTGCTGATTTCCTTTGTGCAGCATATTCCCGTACCAATTCATTGGCAATAAATGCCTGATCATAACCACCCAGTCGACCATCTCCAAAATCAACATCCATAGGGGCACATTCAGGGAGTGCATACTTTGTAAAGTTCCAGTGAGTAATTTTTTCACCGCTTGAACTATAAACTTACTAGCAGCGCCTCAATCATTTCTTTTTTCCTAGGGCATGGTGTATCTGGCAAATATACTAGTGCTTCTAGCACGTCTACACGGAGGCGGGTCATAGTGGACACAGTAGGGTTTGAAATCAAAGTATCTCTGCCCTCCTGTAAGTCCTTCAACTCAACATGTCTTTGCTGGCCCTTCCTTAACTCCTTGCTCGCTTGCTTGTCTATTACAATTAAACCTCTGAAGTGGTGTTGAACTAATCCCAAGAATAGGTTGTGCATGCCATCGATCACAATGAACCTCATTGGATCCCAGTATGGCAGCCGCAAAAGCTCTGACCATCTCACCCCATGTTGTTTGAATATCTTGTCGCACTCCACCTTTGATTCTGCATTTACCCACTCTTCTGCCGCCGCTTTATGTTCCTCGAGTGTATGTCGCCTCCATTTTTTGCAGTCAAAGTCTGTGATATCTGACTTCAGGAGCCAACACAGCCTGCACATCTGATTTGTGGTTGGACCTGCACGGCCTGCCAGTTTGCGTGCAGCCGGCAAATCATTGACTGCAACCGCAATGACAGATCGGGAGAGCCTACCAGCTGTGTGGTTTATGGTCTTGGTGAACCAGATCCCATCTTTCCAGGATGGTAGGAAGAAGTCGACTACCGGCCGAAAGAAGTGATTAATCTCTTCGAGAGCTGGTTCTCTGGGCCCTGGGATGATGCCAACCAGGTACATATTTTCTGCTTTGTACCGGAGGCTCGGAGGAAGATTCAGGAGTCCCATCGCGATCAACCCAATGGACTTTTTCTTGCCAGAGGTTTTATTCCCGTAGGGGTTGAACCAATCTACTGAGAGACTCCATGCTAACCTAAGATCAGTTCTCTTCAAACCATCCATGAATGGTTTCCCATCAGGACCGAGTATCTCTCCCATTGCTGTGCCATCCTTAATGTCCCATATTTGTAGATCATCATTGAGCATCGTTCCTCGGTCCATAGCTTCTTCCATGCCAGGACGGCTCAGTAGACCAGCCAGGAATGAGTTGAAGTCTTGCACAACATAGGGTCATACAGGTATGTATGATGTTTGACTGCCCTCCTTTGTACGTTTCACCAGTAATTGCCCGCATGGCTTGCTTCCTCGGTACTTCTTGTAGGAACAGTGTTCGGGGTAAGATGACTTCTTTCTTAGGGCTGGCGACGTCTTCCCTATGGTTGGAGGGTATGTATATAAGCATCTGGCACAGGTGGCAAATGTCTTGGTAACGGCTTCCAGGTCGAACTTCTTTCTCACAGAACGGATATCACGAGGGATCCATCCCTCTGACCCATGTCCTTCTGGAACATTACCGAGCATAGTCTTCAGGAGAAGATTCAAGAGTCCAAGAGCTGTGTTACACCATGCCCGGGTAACATGGCCCAAGATATTCAATACTAGCGCGATGAACATAGCCAGGAGTAAGGCAGGTTTGGCATTGTTAAATCTTCTTAAGTGGCGGTCTGTTACGTACTCAAATAGATCTGTTATGCGGAGCCCTAAGAGGGGCATCGTCCGCTAATGTTCGTGACGTAACCGGAAGGGTCCGGTGTAGCGACTGAGACTGGCGACGTCGAGTCAGCAGATATCAGAGACACACGTGTCATGTGACTTCTAAGACGGATGTCTTCGAAGTTACTGATGTTCTCAAAGTAAGGACATTCTTGTCCGAACGATGAGTAGTCGATCAAGGTAGACTTAAGCGCGATGAGCACTTAAGAAAAGATACTAGAGACTGAAGCTGAGGGAGCTTCAGAGGGAAGTATGTTCCAGGGAAGATTGAGTAGATTCAAGTTAGGGAATCTAGTACAGGGTGACCGACTACTTATACTAAGTGGAAAGGGTTAAGGGCAAGGCTACCGTACTGTAGGTAAGGGCAAAGGGGAAACGGAAAGGGTATAGGTACGCTGGCAGCAGAGCCGGATTAGTGATGAATGGTCGAATGTGGAATGAGACTGAGAAACGTTGGAACGAACCAACAGTAAGTGATACAATGCGCAGCACGCATGAGTCAGAGGAAAGATAAGGCGGGATAAGGAAAGCCACATTGGTGGCACAAGTCATAACGAGTCATAGCCCGAAGGCACGTGCGCACGTTGGTGCGATAGGAGGGAGACGAGGGACGGGAACGGTCCCGAGGATCCGGTCAATGGATAGTCGGTAGAGAAGTGCGAGCCGGAGGCATACGAGGGCGAGGATGAAGGGGAAAAATGATAGGGGGGCCATGTAGCCGATGTTACTTGTAACACGGTCTGAATGCTGATTTAGTGTGTTTGTTATAAGTATATGTACCTTCTCACCAGTTTCAACAGCCTCTGATGCATTGTTCTTCAGATTTGGATCCTGTTTTTTCCTGTGAGCAATTACACACATAATACTCTTTGCTGCCTCTTTAGTGTCCTGCAACAACTGGAGCTGTGCATGACGAAATTGCTCATTACAAGTGTCGGTTCCTACGTCCATATTCATAACTTTTCCCAATGACTTCTCTAACCATGTATGTCCTTCTGAGAGCATCGCCAGTGCTTGCTTATCCCCAATTGAATCCAGCGTGTTTATGACATCCGTCACTGTGCGGACATGATGGTCGGCTTCATGATCGAGGAGGTAGAGTGTATGATAGTCTTGCCAAGCTTGATTTTCATGCTGAGCTGAAGGCTCTCTATCATTGATGGCCTCGTCTGCAAGCCTCATCCGTGACATGCCCAAGGCGACGCTTTCTGAATCCACATAATCATCATTTTCTACTGATATCTTGTCTTCCAAGGTTATCCTGAATATTTCCCTGGCAAGATCTTCATCATCTGCCATTAGTACCTTTGATGTGTGCATTTTGTGGCTCCAGTCGGAACTTATTTTTGCCACTCTCTTATCCTGTAATGCGGAAGGGAGGAAACCAATCATTTCCAGACACCGTTTTGTAGTGAATGCTGGCACCGAACAATCTTCAATGTGATTGTTGTTCATGTATATCTACAGTTGTTGCATTGCCATATCTTCTTCAATATTCCTTGTATTGCCAGATCATTGTATACAGTGCTCTTGTACTCTGTGGGCATGATTATGTTGTTCTCTCTTGAACTTTGTATTGTTTACCTCCCTATATCACCATCTGTATCTAAGGTGACCGCTTCTATTGTGAAATGGACCGGATTGGATCAGGGACCTTCATCAACCTGAACCACTGACATAAATAGTGCCATCAAACTGAGTGCGAAGCTGGCATTCATCTAACTTTGTATCCCATGCCTAAAGTTTGCTCGCACTGGCGATACGCTTGCCATTTCTCGCCTCTCACCATGCATTGTAATTTCCCCCCAGAATGCGCAATGAGCCCTCCCCTGTTAACACAGCACAAAGTTTTTCAGAAAGAGGTCAATTTGATCGCTGTCACGCAATTGGACTTACTGCCCGGTCCTCTTATACCTTCCTTACCCCCTAAAATCTCGAAGCCTCCAGGTGAAGTAAGTCGTCTTAAACAAGGGGGCTACAACTTGCAAGAGACATTAGGCTGGTCTCCATTGGAGTATGAGGAAGTTCGTGTGCGTACATGCTATTGTAGGGTTTTTCAGAGCGGCTGATATCAACCTGCAGAGCTTTGTCATACATCTGGCTTGTGAGCACCTCAGTGTGAAGAAGACTTGGAAATCACAATTGCCTGAAAATTTAAAGTTGGTTTTTCAGAAGGTGAATGCTGGCATCAATCTTTGTTTTGAGATGATACTAACTTACCTAGGCCAAGCAATGTTATCCAATTCTCCATGACTATGATGGAGATTGGGTGGCATCAGATGTCTTGCGGGTCTTTCTAAAAAATAGTAGTACTCGCATAAACTAAAGAATAGTGGATGGATTGGGCGGTATCAAATGTCTTGTAGGTATTTTAAAAAAATAGTAGTACTCACACAAACTAAAGAATAGAAGATAACGCTCACTAACTATGGCTACGTTATTGAATTGGGGGGCGGTCCACCTATTAAATTGAGTGAACCTCTCAGAGGGGTACTCAGAGGGCCACTTGTACATATTTTTAGACATATCTACAAATTATAAACAAATTTGTCGCACTGACAGATGATGATTAATTTTTTAATTTGTTTTCGGGCTTGTCAATTGGGCAGATCTTAAGTCTGATATGTGATTTGATCCTGCATATGCTCTCAAAAATGTCATGTAAAATATGCAGGAACAATTGTAACCTTGGATGTGTCTTAATATTTGTAACTAAATTTTGGAAATGGGCTTAATATTCAATGTATGCAGATTGTGAAACAAATTCTCTCTGTTTTTGCCAAACTTACTTTGAATTCAATCAATACTATCGGTTACCACAACTTCAGACTCCCGCTGGTTCGGACACTTTGCTATATCTCACTCAACTCTACTTCAAATCATATTCTGCTTGACCACATATCATTGTACACTTGTAATACACTATTGCGAAGTTGAATCTTTGAAATTGGTCAAGAAATGATTGAGATCTTTGTTGAGGTGTGACAGAGCCAAAAATCATGTCTCACTGTCACCAAGCCGAGTCTGCCGTAGCAGAGTTTTATTTCTGCCAAACCACTACGACAGATGGGGCGAACTCGGGGTAGGGCTTACATGACGCCTACTTACTGGTACTAGTTTCATAGATAACAAGCACAGCAGATCCAGATATCATGCTGAGCAATGCAGCATCAAATGAGACCATGGCGAATATGTACAAGATGATCATTCGTGTTGTACCATATGCAAGTCATCTAAACAGTAGCTATGGCCTCTCATAATTTCATACCTGTTGATCATGCATATTCAATAAATCGCTTTTAATAACAATACTGAATGCTACAAAGCCATGACACGGACACCACATGTAAACGCTGCCTGTGCCAGCTACTTGATGCTGAGCGGAGCTTGTTTTTGGTGGATGTGACATTGTGTTACTACTCTGTTACATTGTGTGACTGTCCGAAACAGCGGGAGTCTGAAGTTGTGGTAACCGATAGTAGAGTTTGACCCTTAGAGTCAGTTCGGCAACAAGATGTTGACCGAGGTTTGGCAAAGTTTGAGGTGAGAGCTCTCGGCTTTGGATTTGCCGAATGTCGGAGCTTAAATTACCAATCCCTACATCACGCTCTTATCTATATGATACATACCTTCTCCTCGATCTATGTCCTCCAACCATGGATCTTCAATCAGAATTCCCGCGTTACCTGCCCCAACAGCCAGAAGCTCGATGCCGCCTGATCAAACATTCAATTCTTGTCGCTAGTATTCTAATCTGCGCTACCGCAAATATCCTGGAATCACTGTATGCAAAGGATCCTGAACCTTACCACACCTCGGCGCTCTCAGGTGAATCCTGGGTCATGGAACTGTTGTCCGGTCATCCGGAACGAATCCGGTGTGAACTTGGTGTCCATGCGCATGTCTTTGAGGGGCTCATATCCGAACTTCGTACCCTTGGACACGCTGACTCCAAGTTCGTTTCGTTAGAGGAACAACTCGCCATTTTCCTATATATGTTGGTCACGGGATTGTCGATCAGACATGTCGGAGAAAGATTCCAGCGCTCAAATGATACGATTTCTCGGTAAGTGTGCACTAAGCTAATAGTTTTGATATCTCATTGTACATTCTACAGTTATTTTCGCAAAATGCTCAATATATTCGCGTCCTCCCCCTTCTATACAAAACATGTTCGGTTGCCGGATGCTTCCATCCCTGCCAAAATTCGCCATAACTCCAAATTCTATCCGTTCTTCAAGGATACTGTTGGAGCCATCGACGGGAGCCACATCCACGTGTCACCTCGTGCATTTGAACGAGGTCCCTATCATAATCGAAAGGGATTCGTTTCACAAAATTGTCTCTTCACTTGTGATTTTGAACTTAATTTCGTGTATGCACTCACTGGCTGGGAGGGGTCAGCTACAGACGCACGTGTCTACGAGGCTGCCGAGGGCCACGACCTCTGCATCCCTGCAGGAAAATACTTCCTTGCAGATGCAGGTTTCCCTCTGCGGCCTGAGTTACTCATTCCTTACCGTAACGTGCGCTACCACCTTGCAGAATGGGGGTGTGCAAGTGTAAGGTAAGTATAGCAGCATTTTGCTTTGTGCTACACACTGATTTCTTTTTACAGGCCAACTAGCAAAGAAGAGCTCTTCAACCTCCGTCATGCATCCGCTCGAAATGTCATCGAGCGGATTTTTGGTGTCCTCAAACGCCGTTTCCATATCCTCCTTCTATCCCCGCCATACGCTATGGACATTCAAGCACAGATTCCGGCTGCGTTGTGCAGCCTCCACAACTTCATTCGCTCACACGATCCTGCAGAAGGCAGGCTACCTGATGCAGACTATTCCCTTGGTGATGCGCGTGCCGCCAACTGGGAGCAGGGGGCGGGAGAAGAGCATCCAGCTGCATGCAATGATCTGCATTTGATGCGTGATCACATTGCCGAAGCGATGTGGGTGGATTATCAGCGCATTTTGCAGGAAAGACACACTCTTGGAGACGACGATGACGACAATTTTTCAGACCAAGGTATCTCGGAGGACGAGGAGGATGGACTGGACTAATTCTTACTAGTAGTATGTAGTTGTACTTTTACAATGTTATGTACGTATGTTGTAAGTGAGCTAAATGATGAGCAGCGGCAACCTCAACCATCTACTCCTGATCCGTTCCTCCTCGTCAGGAGCAGCAACCTCAACCATCTACTCCTGATCCATTCCTTCTCATCAGGAGCGGCAACCTCAACCATCTACTCCTGATCCGTTCCCACTAGCAGAGACTCAGAAAATCCATGATCATTGTAGGTATGGGACGCGCAGTACATGAAATGCATACTACATGTTAGTACAAGAAATGTGACGAGCAGTAAGACAAGTAGTGGGATAGTTCTACATAGACTCATCAAGGAGTTGTGAGATAAATGCACGGCGCACATCAAAGTCATCGTCTGAGTTCAGCCCAACATAAACAGCAAGATTGTTATCCCCTCCTGCACGGGAAAATATCCGCAGGAGGCTGGCTCTTTGATCAACCGACAGATCCCCATCTACACTGCGCATCATTGCCAGGCCACGGGAGATCATGGTTGGTACGACAGGAGCTGGCAGGGGAGCTGGCAGGGGAGCTGATGGGTCAGGCAGAGGGGCCATGTTTCTCTCGATCGCGTCAGTCAGGTGATTAATACTACCTTGCATATTCATCACTGCAACCGCTGGAGTGATCTTTGCGGCGATCTTGGCAGCACTGTTCACGCCCGTGTGTGTGCTGCTGGCATGCGTCAAGACTCGAGCCTTCTTGAAGGCAGGTACCTGGGATGATGGTACTACTAGCGTTGCTGAAAGTGGGAGGGATGGTGACTCGTGACTATTAGGATGACAGGACATGTCACCAGAATTGTATGATGTGGTCTCAAGAGAGTCGGGCAAAGTGTTTGTGTGCAGGCGCTTACTTGACTGGGAGCCACCAGGAGTGGTGCCAGAGACGCTGCCCCCTACATCCATGTTGAGAAGATCAAGGGCTCCATCTGGACCATCAAGTACATCGTCTACAGCGATAGAGGCGGGGGCTGCAGTAGCAGGGTGGAAGGAGTGGCGTCCACGAGCACCGCTGTTTTCGCCCAAGATGGCCTGCATGTCGTTGTACGGAGGCCATCCTTTGTTGCGAAAGGGGCACATTGCAATTCAGGACTAACTCGATATCAGTTGATAGTGTCGCAGTATATTTTATCATAATGACATACCTTTGGGGCCACATATGCATCCCAGACGCTCGCAGCAGCAACTCCCTCAATCCCAGCCCCACGAACATTGTCCCAATGGAAGCCTGATACACCGTGGTAGATCTCAATTTGATTGAACGTTTTCTTGAGCTAAAATGATCTTGTTAATTCAAGATTAATCAAGATAAAAAATCACGTACCGAAGTCCATTTCGTCTTGGCCATCTTGCCCGTCTTAAGTGGGCCTATTGTTTGAATTGCCTGATCAGCATTGATAGCGGCCGCTGCGCTGTTGTAGGTAGGCATTGAGAAGTTTCCTCCATCACCGCCTGCTGCCCGGTTCTCAACAAGGTGACAAAGTAGGACATCAACCTCTGAATCTTGCCAATGTGCCTTTGATGAGTTGTCAGTTTGTTGTGCAATTTCTGGTTGGGCCATGAGAACAGTTGTAAGGCTGGCACAGATGGCAGTAAGGGCGATAACACTAGTACAGATTCTTTGCCGACGATGACAATCAATAAGATAGGGATAGGGATTCATGGTAGATGTACAGGTAGGAGATGTAAAATTAGAAGTCCGATGCTTCAAGCCGAGAGCTCTCACCTCAAACTTTGCCAAACCTCAGTCAACATCTTGTTGCCGAACTGACTCTTATGCATATTTGTGATTTTATTCAGAAACCGTCCATTATTTACATAACAAACAAATGGGTTGAAATATGCACAATTTTTCTCAGCATGTGCATCACATTTGTATACAGGACTTTTCCGGCTGTGTCTCAGGTGTCACGACTGCCCTACTCTGAGCTCCCCTAATAAGAGCATTCAAAGTGATCTCCGCAACTGGTCATGATTGATGAACAAACCAAAGATGGCCATATCCTCGGTCATAATATTTTCATTGCTTTCGTTACTCCACTTTCTCTGTGAGTGTTTGGTTTGGTTTAGCGCGAGTGTTGTGCTTAATGTCCGGTGCTTGTAAAAGTGCGCAGACGGCGTTCGAAGGATTCATAGCTTGGAAGTCTGATGTAGACCGTAGGATGCTGGTACGTCGATGTATCATCATGTTGAACTCTGGTTTGACTTTTGGGGCTTAGTTGATGCTTCCGTGAACATGGTTCGCACTTTTCCTGAACGGTTTTATTAGTAGAACGAACAAGCTCTTCCTCCTCTGACGCTGCTGGCGAGTATGCATTGAAAGTACCAGCTCTAACGCAAACTCTCAAAGTTTTGGTTGTACTAGGTGACGAAGGGGAGCTGGTGGATAGCCATGTTGTTCGCGTTCACAATAATTCCGTATGGCGCAATTATCTTTATCTTTTTGCTGTTTGAATCTGACGTCAATGTGACATGTTAGGCGAAGGCTTTTTCACGTCCGAGCATCGTCAATCCCAAGCCTAGTGATGTTACATTTTTGAAATGATCGATGTCATTCTTTCTGTTATCCGTGAGCCTTTTCCAGCCTTTCAACTTCGCCAAGACCTTATTTGATTGATGTGATCCAACAGTCGCTTTTTTCTTATGGAAAAACAAGACTGGCGTGCACCGTCTCGACGGAGCACTCTTACGGTTCTGCATTGTTGCCACAGAATCTGCAGTCTGGTGATCGCTCTGCGTTGCTGTTTGCGCAGGACTGTTCTTTTCGCGCAACGTGAGTGTAACTCCAAGTTGTTCACATACCAACAAATCTGACGATACGCAGACAAACGGAAACCGTCTAGTTTTCGTATTCCTGCTTCACACAGGCAAGCTCTACACCTTGTCGATCCTCCGCACATTAAACGCAAAAGTCAAGCTACGAGAAAGAATGAAATCAGACGACTTCGCATGAGGCTCGTTAGTGTAAACCAATCCGCTCAGCCCCCTACAGATTATTCAACCATGGGAACGGACACCACCTACACTCCTTCTCCGCAGAATTGGCGCTCAATTCCAATATACACAGTCCTTATGGACAAATTAGCTGATGGTGACCCTACAAACAATCAGTTCTTTGCCTTCCCATACGAATGAGATTGGGAAGAAACCCAACTTCGTTTCGGCGGTGAACTCAAATGTCTAATTTCACAGCTCGACTACATCCAAGGTATGGGCGTGAAAGCCATATCTCTCTCAGGCACGATATTCTTGAACGTGATATGGCAAGCCGACAGTATGTCTTTATCTCAATCTCATCCACAACTCATGCTCACTTTTTTCAGGTTATTCTCGACTTCTCCGTATTGGATCATCATTGGGGTACTATTGATGATTGGGTAAACTTCGTCGACACAGTACACGCATGCGGCATGTATATCATGTTGGATTTCACAGTCGGAATATTGTCCGACCTTATCGGTTTTGAAGGGAATGTTCTCTATATCCACCAATTACAATCATCACTCACTCGCCCACCAGTTTACTCAATGTCAGCGCCCCACTCACTCTCGATGAATATGATGCAGTCTACAAACCAAATTACCTCTGAGGTTTTGAGGAGTATGTTGATTTTCCGTAAGTAGTTATTTTCGTTCGCTTCGTGCCTGAACCCTCTTAACTATCTTTTGTCCCCTAGGCCATCAATACCCGTAACAGGCTATGATGGTTGTCACGAGTCCGACTTTGATCAATATGGTGATATGGTGTGCACCCTGACTGGCAACGTGAACTTTCCAAACTTGCATCCGTACAGGACCGTCTCTGCGAATGGAAACCTTTCGTTATGGACAAACTCACTACCTTTTCCTGCATGACTATCATAGCCCTTGATATAGATGCCATTCGTGTCGACAAGTCCACACAGCTCATTGTCGACGGCATGACTGCTTAGGCATCTGCAACTCATGCTTGCGCCACTAATCTTAGAAACTTGGCCAGAAACTTGGCCGTCGTGTACGATCTCAACATCAACTTTGTCACTGCTTGGAATCGAATGTTTGTGAACAACGACTTCTTGAATACAAACACCGGCCTCACCGATCCGAGGCATTCATTCGGAACAAACAATTTCAATGTTTTCCGCTGGCCTAGTTTGGCGAATGGCACATTGAGATCCGCATCGCATCTTATATCACATACCTGGTAATGCCAGGGGTTCTATTGGTAGGAGCTATACTCGAACGTTTGTCGCTGCAGGACTTAGCTTTTACAGATCTATTATGGCGAGGAGCAGAATTTCTATCTATAACTCCACACTTCAAACTATTTCTTCGGGTGACCAAGTGATTACTTTTATCACACTGCTACTCTCGGCCGTCAAGCTATGATGAGCAACAAGGCATGGCAGCGCCACGGGTGCTACAGACTTGGATCTGCTCAATACTTCAACATGCCGCTTGAGTCCGCCTTGCCGGGATGTGACGATGATTGGAACTCGCTCGATCATTTTTATCCCACGACAGACACGCATCGATCTGAGTTCTCAAGGATAATACTAACTACCAAACAGAGTACTATCGACAACTCCTCCGAAAGTTTCAAACTTTCTCAAAACACTCTTCCGAAGGAAACTCGTTCTTTGGTTAGGCTTTTCTTACTCGTGGCAAAGTTGATGATGTTAATACTCCACACAAGGCTCCTCGCACCTAAAGTCTTGCGTGATTATTGCTCAGCGGGGTATGTTAGACCCGGTGCTTTTATACCCTTATGTTCTAACATTATCGCAGCCCTATGGGCGTAACTGGAGTTTCCTGTGGAGTATTCCGATCCCCAAATGGGCGATCGTGCTTCTCATCATCTTTTTCATCGGTGTCTGGGCTTTCATGCTCTATATCTTCACGTCCTTGAGTAAGACGCACACTTGGTTTTTGCCCGTATCCCCTGTCGGTCTTGATGCTCCAAGATGGTATCAGGTATGATCTTGTCGATGTTGCATCGATCTTCAGTGATCTATCATGTTTCACAGACATCGTGGGGCACCTCATTTCTTGCGCTCTATATCCCGTGGGCTGGTTCAGGGGGACCGTACCTTGGTCTTCCTCTGTGGTTTTGGATGCCGTGCAAGGCGTCGGTATGGGAATGATTCTCTTGCAGACGTTGTCAAGATTGCACGTCTGTGCCACGCTCGCTTTCTCTTAGGTCATTGGGTCTATCTGTGTTATGGCCGCCCGCGCAACCGAATCAAACCGTATCGGTCCAGGGAGCGCGTTCCCTGATGTCAGAACATGGGACTTCTTGCAAGGTCTCAAGGGCAGCCCTATGGCCTCCACTCTATTCTGGATAGCGTTGATCTGCTAGATTGTCATTGTACTAGGTTATTTCTGGTTCTACTGCACAGAACAACTAGGCAAGTTGTCGTGCAACCCGGCTGTGGAGATGCTCGATGTGGCTAATCACCATTGTTTCAGCTCGACCATAATTATGCTATTGCTATTCACTGTCATCAATCACGCACATATTAGAACCATCACGCCATTCGAGGACTTTTGTTTTCATGGATACTTTCGTTCACTCAAATTTTTTCGCTGTTGGATTATAGATGCCATCAAATTTTTGAACTCTGTACTCGCTCGCACATCATATTGTCGACGCTTCGTCAAATCGAAAATCACGTCACATACTCTAGCTCTAGTGCCTCAAACAAGCGCACAAATGTTTTATAGACTGTTTTGGTGTTGTCAAAGTCATACATTGCCTGTCAACACTATATCAACCTTACTTCAATTTCAGTTCGCCATAACGTCACTACTCTATTTCCTCGCCCCCGACTGTCTATTCGGTGTGTCGATTGAGCTGTGATTCGCGATTCGCTGTTACAAAGTGTTTGTTTGCAAAGCACATTTTGCACTTATAACAACAACGCATCCCACGATCATCAAAGCTACTCTACGTTTTTCCTAAGTATTGTCTAACCTTCCTACTACTCTTCCACTCAGTTTGACAAGTTCTTTAACGAAACATCCAAAACTTGTTTCCCGGACTACTCAGCTTCTTGCACTGAAGGACACTGGTTTGTGCAGGATGAGCTGCCAGAACGCTGAGACCAACAACGGTGCTAGCGACATTTGAGTTGCCAGGTTGAAACCCTGAAGATATCAACATTGATATCAAGCCAAGTTCAGCATGGCTGCCTCGTTGTATCTGGAGATTCGAAGCGCTCGCATGACGATAACGCCCTATTCAGTTTAGAACTTCATCAGATGTGTGGCAGTCCAGTGCATGCCAGCATCGATCGAGTTCGGCGTCTAGCTTCCATGCAGGCCTCAAGCTCAAACTTCAAGCCGAAGCTCACGGAGTTCATCCTGCTCCCGACGCGCTTCTATTGGCGAGCCATGCATGACACAACGTGCAAGTAGCATTAATGTGCGTACACTCAGGACGATCGAACACTTGTGGTTCAACGTTCAACTACAGAATCGATGTATTCATTGCTGTGGTTGGAACGAATGGCAATTCTACTAGTATCTTCTGTCCTGCGTGGAATATGCCAGGGATCCAGGACCAGCACTGCTTAATCCATTACCCGCCATTGGCCTCCAGTAGCGGCCACCTACGTCACCCGTCTTGATCCTTTGACTGAATCGTGACGCAATGTAGGGCCTCGCACGCAGGTTATTTTTTCCACCACTACCGTATGGAACATTAACTCGAAGCTGTGTATCAATTCTTTTTTGGGCAAGCCAAAATGAAGAAAAGACAGCCCTTTCCGTCGTTGCACTGAGCTTGTGTATTCATTATAGCGGAGCCTGTTCTGCAAAACGCGATAACACTTTGTATTGTTCAATCGCTCTTTACCAAATGCCAAGCCTACCCAAACACAGCCTATAGGCTTCACACGGCTTTACTGTTGGCTCGCCCGGGCCACTGGCGGTAGACACACTGCTTGTAATTACGACAAAGCTGCCTTGGGCGTTAGGCTTTTTGGGCATTAAGCATTTAACTTCGAACTCCCCGAATAGATTGAATCAACAAGAAGCTCTTCCGCCGGCCACGCTATCATGATGTAGTCGATTACTGTCACCAGGTTTGCTGTGACTCGTGAGTAGCAATCATCTGGATGCTATAATATCAGTGTGCATACTTGACTAATAGATTAATTAATTGAATCGCCGAAACTTTCAAAACTTTCGCTCTTACGGTATCATGGCAAGTCGTCGCACATTTTCTAACTTTCTACTCTCCTGAGCTTATTTCTGAGCCCACTATGACGCGCAAACGGCGCAACGATGCATACCCTCGTGACAGGGCCTCCAAGCGGGCTCATCTGGAAGCACCTGGTAATTCTAGCTCTGACTTGGACTCGGATGATTTCAATGGTCCACTTGAAATCTGGTTGTCCAATGGACAGTCCGCTGTGTGCTGCGAACGATCGCATACTCCAGTGCACCCCGCGTCAAATCCACTATTTTCGGCCCCTACCACCATCTGTCCCTTGTTAGCTGGAGTAGGAATGTCTTTTGGGCAGTATGGTTTTGTCTGTGCCGTTACCTCTAGTCTTGTGCCTGCTGCTCACATGTTAGTTCACATGGAGCACCTCCACCACCGACAGAAGTTAAGAAATCGGACGCCTTCAACAATCAAATCACTTCTGGTGACCCATCTGCTTAACAGCCACCACCTCACGTCAACAACACCCTGTCCCACCCCCCTTAGTGACTTATCTGAGCCCATCCCGGGTCTTCAGTCAGAGTGGTCGTCTCGTTGTCCGCACCTGGGCTGTCGTCATTGGTATACCATACCAGCAGGGAAATATTCCACCAAGGGTCAGCAAGCTCCCACCAGAAAACACATCGCTGCAGCACACCCTGACAACGCCGATACTTATCTGGCTGGGGTCTTCGAACTGAAATGGATCTACCGTCCATTTCGCAAGATTGTCAGTGGTGAAGACCCGCTGTCTTTGGTGGTCTGGCCTTTTATCAAAGACTATGCCCCTGCATCCTCAGCGCAAGCTGTTGTTGTTGTGAGGTCCTCTCGCATCCGACATATGGTTTCTGTCCATAGTCAATACCTGACAGACCTTGGGTGGCAGAAGTTTATTGCTAGCCTGGGCCTGCAACCAGGCGTTCTTCTTGGGTTGGTTAGACTTAAAACGAAGAAAGAGGCCCTGACTTTCGAGGGAGCGGAAAGGCAGCTTGAGCTCGGCCTCATTACCGTTCGCAAGCTCTACAGGGCATATATTGTGGACGTCCAGACCTATCTATCTTCCAAAAATGATGGGCAGTTTCGCCAAGCCATAACAATGAAGTGAGTACTCCCCATCTTTGTTTATGCATAGCTCATAGTCTACTCAGCACCAAGGCGCACTTCAGATCATTGAGCCGAGTCTCCTACTATACCTACTCCAGACCTTTGTCTCGCTGCATCTGTATGCTGATCAGATGGATCCACGCAGAGCAGACCGGGGCCTTGGCGCCATTCGGCGCTCTTTATGTCAGACGGAGTCTGGCCCAGGAGTACGCCGCCAATATGCTCTACCACTACCTCATTCAAACCAAGATTCTCCGTCCTGCTGCGACTCTCCAACTTCTGCATCAACTGCTCGTGACCCTCGTCAAGCACAAATTTACGAACCTAGAAACGATGGCGTGCCCAACAGACTACACCCTGTGCATCGGCTCGCTGGCTGACAATGGCGGCTTTCTACTTGCTTCTACCACTGCCAGGACTTGTAGTATTCTGCAGCACAACTTTTATACCGTCATCATTCACTCTGCTCGGCTTGAGGACCACGGCCATCAACGTTTCATCCCCTTTGATTTAGATAATTTCACCAGGGATCCTGTACCGGATACAGGTGAGGCGTCTCAGCCTATGAAGGAGCCAGCCGCTGCTACAAATGAAGAGGAAGGCGCTGATAGTATGGTGATACAGTTCCGGGAAGCAGAGGAGGAATGGGTAGATGGTCACGATGATGGTATAGATGCAGAGAAGGGAGAGTCTATGCTACCGCATGAAGCCGAAAGCGAATGGGACTTTGAAAAAGAAGAAACCTTTCATTCTTACTATCTAAACGGCGACACTGCAGAGAACCTAGGTGAGGCGCACACTAGGGATGCCATACAGTACACTAATATGAGTGACATATTCAGACACATATTATGACCCGCAGTCTTCTCTGCCAGTTCAACGATGTCCATCAAACTTTGCTGCTCAGGTAGATCGCAGTCCCGGGTCAATCTCGGTCTTAAGGTAGGCTGTTGTGTGCTGCTTCCACATCCGGGATTATACTTACCTGCATGGCCTCAGCATTCTGGCGGAGAATTCACACTACGTTCAGCCCTTACTTGCCAGCCATCCCTCGTTTGCCACGCCTTACAACCAAATCAAGACTGCCTGGTTCCATTCAAGGTCGACGTCATTCAAAGAGAAACGAAACTATGGCTTTTTCTTCACTGAAGACGGCACTGCCGTTATGATGCGAGACGGCGACGACATCTCCCAGAGTATCCTGTTTGCAGATCTTGGGGTATTAGCCAAGACCACGATAGAAAATATATCGGATCAGATAGTCCAGTGCTTACCGCATGGTTGCAACGATCTTCTTCGACAGTTTCGTGGCCTTTCGAGCCAGTTGGTTGACGACCTCACTAGTCCCGACGCCATTTTCCTCCAGCCTTCCAACCGTATTCTTATGCAGCCACTGTTGGATGCCATGTTACAACATCTATCAGACCCAGAAGAACCCAAGCATCATATTATGCTTTCGCCTTCCGTGATTAGTGAGCAGGCCGCCAGAAAGTGGCTGGCCTTTGACAAGCAAATTCTTGGACAAATTCTGGTCGCCTTTCTCCTGACGTGCGGGATACCTCCCCTACACTGGCAATTTCGGTCCTTTCAATTTCATTCAGATAGCAAGACTGATATCCCTCGTAATCTCTATCTTTTAGGCTCTGAACTTGTTATAGGTCACCCGGCGGCCAGACAACTCAACCAGGTCTTAGAAGAGTGGCTGTGGGCCTTTCCTGCCAGTCTCGCCCCACTTATTCTGTTCTACCTTGCAATCATACGGCCTAGTGTCATTCACATCACAGGCCTTCTTCATTATGTCAACGACGATCACAGGACTCATATCTTTGCTCATACCTTTCCTACTACTCGCCTTGAATTTCCCCGAGTTTGGAACGGAAGCGATGTGAATAATTTACTGCAGATCCACACGTCCTCTCTCCCTATTCTCTTATCATGCGGGCTTCTGCGAAACGTGATATCCGCTATGTACGATCAGTTCTTCCCAGCTCTTTCCCACGTCGGACCCTCAGATGACTCTATGGTGGATCGCCAGGCCCAACACACAAGAAAGACAGGCAACACTCATTATGGACGGTCTGATCATGTTCCCTTCGCTTTTGGAATGACACTTGAACAGGCTCGCAAATGCATGGCCTCCAGTCAGGCATTGCATGCCTTCTATGGGTTAGGCAGTCTGGATCATCAATGGGCGGAGCGCTCACAAAACTCAGCGTTTCTGGTTGACTTGAGGAACGAGAGTCTGGCTCTCAAAGAGGCAAGGGTTCTTGTAAGAGAGACGTACAACTTACACCACTGTCACTTGCCGGACGGTCTGGACCAGATAGCTGGCCTTCTAGAGACTGCACCTTACTTGACTCTCAAAGACGTAAGTGAATTATAGGACTGAAATTCATTGTCCTTAACACTTTCACCAGGGCGTCATCGGAGATGAGGTGCTTCGACGGGTGATGCATGCAGTGTTGTTTGGTGATTCTAGACCCAATATTCTTGATCGTCCTTCTGGAGGAGGATACCTGATTGCTGATGCATCATCCGCCGTGGTACAGGTGAGCAACGTTTTGTTACTATTGTTTAGAAATGACCCTCAATAACTTAAGATTATTAAAGCGGTGGAGGAAGTAGAATGCGGAGTCCACTTTAATTCTCCAAGACACATGGATATCGGCACCATCATTCACTTTGATGAAGTAGCAACACAAGCCCGAAGGCACCTCACTGCACTAAAAGATGATTTTCCTATTTTGTGGATGAATCTATGCACTGACATTCATAGGCTTTATCAAAAGCCGGGGGTGGCGCGAGAGATGTCATGGGTTGTGAGAGGTGTTCCTGGATAGATACCCTCACATATACATGTGTAGTATTAATTACAAGGAACGCGATGAGCTGGACGATCAGCATCAGGAGCTGCAAAGGGAGCACGACCTTCTTCAGGCGCAGCATGCTGACCTCAAAAGCACATGCACGACTCATGAGAATGAGCGCCGCAAAGTCGAGCGCTCAATTGCTGTGCTGCAAAAGAAATGCGCAGTCGCTGAGAGTACCGAGCAGACGTGGAGGGAAAATTGTAAGACTGCACAAAGAGATGCGCGAAATGCACGAAAGGAGAAAGAAGAACTAGACGAAGGATTGAAAGAGTTGGCAGAGAGGGCAAGAGAGTTTGAGCATCGTGCGCACAGAAACAAAGTGGCGGTAAGCATATACCTGCATTCCAGCAAGTATTGTTGAATTACCTCGCACTGGCAGTACGACAAATACAAAGGAAAATACGAGGCTCTGAAGGAAGAAAATGCGCGCCTTCAAAAAATCCAACAAACTGTAGAGATTCCAGAAGAACAATATCTCTTGGTTGTCGATATAAACGCCCCTGACAGGCTTGAGCGTGCAGTTGAAGACTGGTTGGACGATGAGTGTGATGTACGGGGGGACAATCTTGATGATCATGATAGCGATTATGGAAACGAGTCGAGCAAGGAGAATGAAGACGAAGGGCCCAGTCGTGGTGCTATATGGCTACGGGGCAGGCGAGCAACGGAGAGCGTGGACGACCGCGAACGATCACTTCCTGAAGATCGCCCGTATCGCCCGTACGGAGTACGATTACGCTCTCCCAATAGTTAACAGCGGCAGTGAAGTGATCAGCGGCTTCGTCGTGATGCGCGCTATCAAAAACTTTTATTCCGAGCTGAACACGTAGATATGTCTATTGTGCGAGTTGAAAAGATCAGGATTAATGACCGAGTGTGGCCATATGACACTCACTTTCACGACACGACGCGCAAGAGGGTCGACATTGGGACAAGCGGCAGCCAGGTCTTTGATGAGCACCATCGCTTCTTCGTGTTGATCTGCATTAAATAGTGCGATGGCCTGGAATACCAGATGAAGCAGATAACACGGGAAACGAATTAAATGCACCTTGATCAAGAGAAGAAATTGGTTGATTTCTGAATCATGGTTGGTGAACATGGATGCGACGTCGAATGCTACCCTTGCTTCCTGGGTGCGACCTTTCCCGCAGAGAGCGAGGCCTTTGGAGATGAAGCCTATCAATCTATCAATGACGGACTAATGTTGATTGACTATGTCACGAATGAAAGTTAGCCTCTCGTAAGAGGACAATGATTGGTGGGTCCATCTCACCTTGATTGCATCCTCAAGGGCGTGGTCTAAATTGTGCATCCGGGCCATTACGAACGAACAATTGGCATATGAAGAAAAGAAAGTCGTCGGCGTTGATGTGGATCTGTTGGGTGAGGAGCTCTTCAGCGATAGACAAGTCCCCAGTTAGACATGCATCGCAGGCTGTTGTGGTGTCAAGGATCTGTACGAAGGATGCTCGAATTGTACAATGAGAGTCAGAAATGGAAACTCGCCTTTGAAGGAGCGTCCTTTGGTATTGCCCGCTTCGAGATCTTGCTATCTCCACCTACCTCCACTGAGGATGTGCTTACCGTCCACAGAGAATGTGACACATTCCATGGCGGATGAACGCTGGAATACGGCGATAGTTCGTTGATCTGAGAGCCGCCAGAGACGAACATGGTTGTAATGAGATGCAGAAGCAACGAGGGTGCCAGCGGGATGAATGGCAATGGCGTGGATAGTGTCAGTGTGGCCTTCGTAGGCATGACCGACCTGCTGCCAGGTTGATGTGTCCCACTCTTGTATGGTACTACGGATCATTTCGATTACCTCCTGGAAGAAGGCGTGTGCCATCGGGCGTCCACGCGAGTGACAGGTCCCTTGATTGCGTGAGACCTGTCAAAGATGCAACTTCTTCCCTTGTGCCTGGATTATAAATTTGGATATTCCTGGATGTTGCGATGGCAAGAAGTTCACCAGAAGGCGGGAAAATTGGTCATGGCAAGGGGGACCGTTTTACCCCTTGCCATGGCGAAGCTGCCCAATTCACTGATGTACCTTCGGTGTTTGCCGAAGGTCGAAAAATGAACACAAGCTACCGACGCTCAACAACTACTGTGCTCAACAACTACTGTGCTCAGTTGGACTTCCAATGCTCTTGTACGCTACGAAGATCTTTCAAACCTTTTCACCCGCTCCAAAACGTCTAATTGACAACTTGCCTTCCAATGTATGGAGTTTGCACCCCGAAAGATTTGGTACGGCTGTTGGAGACGGCTTGTGTAGGGTGTCTGGTTTTGACTAGCTGTAAGTTATTACCCTGTCCCACTACTATCGGCGACATATGCTAGCCTGACTGTCGATCTATCAGTGTTTATTCGTCCGCTGACCTCGAGCGTAGCATTATTATACTTTCAAATAATCTTGCACCTCTCAGCACCATCGGAATTGGAGCCACGTACGTACGTTCATTCTCTACCTTTTTTGTAGGGAGTCGACATGATAATGATTCTTTCAGACTCCCCGTGCACAAAGAGGTGCTTGTTCGGTCATACGTTTCCCAGTCTTGAACACTCCTCCCTTGGTCCCTGTCGTGGTACTCGCTTAATTGTTGGTCCACGTCTAGACCTATACTTGCCCCGACCCCACCCAAGAACGATCAGCCCATCTGTCACGTATTTCAACGCTCAGGGTAAGCATTTTTATGGGCTGTCGTCTAGGATATGCTCTGACTCCCTGCGACCCACTTTTCTCCCATAGTCCATCTATACGGATATCCCAGATGGACGATAGGGAAATTGTGATCTCGATGAAGAACCATTGCTTCATCGGCCATCTGGGCTTTTGCGAATCTTTATTTTTTTAAAAAACCTCTTGTTCTCCATCGCCCGCGTTCGCTGACTGGCTCGGATGGCTGAGCAGGATTGTTGCATGACCAGCTGTCTGAACTGACATGCTACTCAGGTCGACAGTGATGAATAACGATGGCGTCAACAGTTGAGTCCATGTCATGATCTGGTTCGATGCATGCTGACAGACTTGATACTTTCTTTACGCGTATCAACAGATCACAAGGACCTGAATAGAAACACGACGCAAAATTCTAAAATCACCGACTTCCTTTTCTTCGTTGTTTGTGCTCAGACAGTCGATAACCAGGGAAATCATCATTCTCGAGCTATCAGCTGTCTGAGCTCAGGCACGCTAGTTTTACTTTCTGATTCACAGCACTTTTGCATTGTGTTCCATATGCCTGGCCCAGATGCATTATTCAGCGGACCGATGTGTTATTAGCTGTCTGTGCTTGTACAACCATTCTCGCTTCTCACTTTTTTTTGCCCAGACAGTCAGGATACTTTGTCAGTGCAATTTACTCTCTGCTCACTACACCTCATCTCCTTGCCATGCGCATCTATGGCAGAGGTAAATACTCAAGCCTAAGTCTCTCGAAATCATCATACTCTACATTGTTGAATCGTGCTGGACCACAGACAATTGTTAGCGTTGAGTTGGTTCAATCAGACAGTCTCCAGGTTATCAACTCCCTACTTTCTAGGCCTTCTGGCTGATCAGACGCAACATCACTCATCTGTGGTGTCGGACTCGCTCAGGTCGCTTCTTCTTTTGCTTTGCTCGGGCACTGCATGACAGAGCCAGTGCGATTTGGTCCAAGTACGTATATCAGAATATCGTGGTTGGCGCCTCACTGATACTTCCCAGGTGCGCTTGATGCCTTTCGACTTAAAGCCCCGAAATCTCTTCTCTACTCAGCACTCAGCACTTGTCATCTCCCTGCCATGCACATACTCACCCCGTAAGTCTCTTCTTACACTCAATATGTTTGAATCATGTGTCTGACCCGTTCTGCTACGCTCTCATGCACAACCCCTAGCCATTCGACAGAAAGGGCTCGACTTATAGTTAGACCTTGTGGAGAAGGACCATCAGCGAGGGGACTATTGGCCTCCCAGGCACGCCTTGAACCAAACATGTATGTTTCCCTCGATAAAAAACTTGGAATGCTAACATACTAGTACGTTCATTGTTCCGCTATCGTTCATGTCGTCATCCTAGTAGGATATCATTTCTGACCGCCTGATCTAACCCGGGATTTATTCTAGGCTATCCTTCTTTCAAAGACAACTTCCCGCCATCGATATCACCGGTCACCGGCACCCACAAGTCGTTTTCCTTATTGGTCGTTATTGTTGAAATTTCTCCCCGTTTCCCCGTTTCCCTGCACGCGTGCATGTCTGTATCTCGTTTGGTGCCTTACTCTAAGGCAAATGGTCGTGCTTGGCAGAGGCTCCGACAAAATATCGTGGCTGAAGGCCTCATTGGTAGTTTGATAGGTACGCTTGAGGCCTTCTGACTTGAAGCTTTGATTTTCTAATTCCACGCTCAGCAGATCTTATCTCCTTGCCATGCTCATTTTTCGAGTCACGAGTCTGCGCGATTCATTCATTTTCCTTCTCCATGGCCCGGATGGATGAAAATGCATCTCAGACTCACGAGCTATCAGCTGTCTGGGCACTTGCACTAATCATCATTGCATTTCAATATCTAGCATCAAGGTCCGCGTTAATTGCTACATAATTTCAGCTTACCACTTGGTGTAAGCATAGGTGAGTAGCTACTTCGTTCCAGTAGTAATGCAACAAAAAAAAGGTTTACCTAGACCTTTCAGATATACTTGCATCTTCGCTGCATCAAAGCACCCATTTCCTTTTCTTCCAGTCTGGGACATGCACTGCCTAACCCCGCTGACTTGCTCAAATCTGCCTCATATCATGATTCTAATCCAAACTCTTTCTTGCTGCAGGCTGATGCATGGATGATGGGACCCAATTATCGACTCCTTTTCTGGGTACCTCCTGCTTCGCGACATGCTATACTCCTTGGACTTCATCGGTGATACCCAGGGGATATCCTGAGCTTGATTTGAGCCGCATGGCACATCGAACGCACTGGTCGAGTCGCCGAGATGCGTGAGTTCTTAGTCATTTCCGTCCTCGCACACGTCACAACAATTTTATTGTTTGTAATATCGGGCGTACCATTTGATTCTTTGATGACTTGTCAATGTTATACCTAGCACAGAGCCTGAATTTATGATTGTCCGGATAAATAAGAGCGAGTCGGTATAAGTGGTACTGTCAGAAGTATCAATATGTCAGTTTTCAACCACACCAGATATCTAAAACCAATCGGATCTCGAAGCTCATTGATATCGTTCGCATCCTGCTCGTTCCTCTCGATCTGCTCGTTCAAGTGCTTCAGATACAAATACATACCACCAAACATCCCTGTCGACACTCCGAGTGCAGCGATGCAGATAGCATAGGAATAACGATATGTCGGGCCCCAGCTCGACGGCCATATGTACCTATGCGAACAGTGTAGTGAATAGTTAGCGAGAGCAAGAGACCGGTAACAGCGTCACTGACGCTCCAATAACACTGCCTGTCTGCCCCAGTGCGTTCATCAGAGCGATAGCAATGGCGCGCTTTGCAGGTTCTCTAGAGAAAGTATTGCTGATCCATCCAAAGAGCAGCAAGTATCCACTGATGACTTGAGCCATCAGGAACCTGTATATTTCTGAGTACAAGACTGACGCCCCACGAATGGTGATACCACTTACAGTGAAATATAGCGCGCAGCCTTGTCCATCGTAGAGATTGATATGATGAATGCAAGGATGCAGAGTGTATTGGAGACCATGAAGCATTGGTAACGCTTTTTCTTCTTGTCAGAGTACCTGGTCCCTGTGAGATGCGACTTTGCGATAGAAATGATTAACTAACCATGTAAGAGCAAATGCGATCATACCCCCGAACACCCACGGAGGAGCGCAAAGCAACAGCGTTACAGTCGCGTCATATCCCAGTGTCGCGCACAGCGTTGGGAAGTAACCGGTGAAAGACTGCCCCAATATCTGGAACATAGTTGCAAATGCAAAGAACCATACCTTCCAGTCAGACACGGCATCCCGCAGTCCTTGCATGGTCGTCTGTTTCCCAAGTCTGTCAGCATTATCATGGCCATCTTCTGCGAGGCGAGAGATAGCGAGTTCTCTTTCCTCCGAGGTGAACCACCTGGTGTTGTACGGGAAATCAGGGAGTATGAACATCGCGCAAATAGCGACCGAGATGGTGATGCCGCCTTCGATGTAAAATAACCATCTACAGATCATTCAGCTTCAAGGAGCGATAGAAACGATCGCCACCTGCCTCCATGCGGCTTGACCAAGTTTGTCCTGCATGTTATGAAGTATACCAGATGCAAGCAGCGATCCGAACGCAGCGCTGAGGAAAATTCCACTAGAAACGAGAGCTATTCTCAAGGCAACCTCGTCTCGCTTGTACCATTTAGATACAAGAAATACGACACCGGGGAAGAAGGGAGCTTCAGCAAGGCCAAGAAAGAAGCGGGCGACAACAATCCCAGTATAACTTGAGTCAAACTATCAGAAATAGGATCTGAACGATGCAAAACAAGGAAGTGTACTTTGTTGTGGTCCCTGAGTATAGTCAGCAGCCATCTTCATGAACGATTTGTGTCGACAAACCTGATAATATTGATATTGTACCCCATACTAACATACAGCACGGAAGGATGACAGAAGGTCTCTCCAGCCAGTGTAGGATCATATTCCTGAAAAAAAATTACGTTCGGTTGTCTCTCGATGAAGGACGAAACTCACCCTGGCACTTGCATTGTAATGTATCCAACAGATAGGATGGACAAAGTTGTGGCGTATTGTTCTCCATGCAAGTGCAGGTCTTTCTCAAAACCCTGTAACCGAGCGTTGCTACAGATTTCATAAGATTCGTGCAAGTACGACAGTATGTCAC